ACCCCCGACGATACTTTCCGCGTTCGTTCACTCCTCCATGCGCATGCCCCTTAGTAGCCTTGTAGCCTCTATGGGAGGGGAAAGAAGAAAAGCCATCTCAACTTGTCCATCGTCGATTCGTTACCTAGAACTCGAGATGTGAATCCTTCAACACCGACTAGCGCACTACGACATGTAAGAGGTACATAGGTGCAATTGTGCGCGTGCGCGTCGAATAAGCTTCTCCATCACCCGCGCGCAAACGGGACGAAGCCATACCTTGTTCGACACGACCACGCAGGGTACAGATACAGGCATACAGTGCAAGGGTTGATCGTGTTAAAACAACGTTACTAGCGCCTGCGATGTTAGTCTACGAATGGTGGGATCACAAAGTCAACATATCCAGAGTCCAACCTCCTGCTCTCCAATTCATTTAACATCGCATTGGTTGTGTACAATCGAATCCTAAGTCCATTCTGGGGGTTAGAATGCTGCGAGGGAGCGCCGTTCTTGGTGATTTTTTTCCTCTTTTATTCTCTTACATATAGAAGTTCAAGGCGTAGCCATGTTCGTACAATAGTGATGGAGACGAAAATGTAGAAAAAGATGGGTTATCCCAGAAACAAAACGCGGGATGCTTGCAGAACGTGTAGGTCCAGGGAAAATCTACCTACAACGAGCTTCTATTCTCAGTCTAGCAGAGCTTCAGATAGAGTAGCCTTAAGCACGTAGCAATACAACTACCAGACTGGGCCTGACGGATAATGGATAAACTATTCGAGAACTCGGTGTGGAAGGATTCACGATAGATATCATGAGATGGTGGTAGGCAATGTTCGAACCAATTGACATCGATAATTACCTGAATAAAGAGCGGAACGCATGGAATGGACTGTTGTTACACACGCATGCGCCTGTTTAGAGGAGAATTTTGAAATGAAGGGTTCCACTCCGCTCTGCTGCAGTAGCTAGCACATGTGAGTAGACAAAATAGCTTCGTGCGTAGACTAATTACACTCTTTCTATCGATAACATAGAGGAAAGGGAAGAAGTGTATGGTCCAGCCACCATCTACTCCTCGCCCCCTTCCCCATTGTGCCACTCCTTACCCCGTAATACTCCACCGAAACCCACGAAGAGAGAAAGAACAATATCGACGGAAGAAGCACTGGTTTGAGGCATTTTTCTCTACCTCACCGGTATGCCTTAGGCCGACATATTTCCTGCTCCTGTTCCTCAAGCTTTGATCATCCTCGCCCCTCTTTTCACATCATTTCCAGCGAGGATCAAGGCACTTGGACGAGGGCCGAAACCCCGGGTCTTTTTTCTATGACTAGTGCACTATGTCGGAGTGGTCTGAGTGGGGTTCGGCAATGAGTCTAGTTCAGCAGTATGTCTTACAGCAACAGCGCGAAGGACCGACATTGGCCAGGTAGCCACGCAGTACTCTATCATCTTGGAGACCATACCATTGTGGGAAGTGGGTTTACAAAGAGGCACACCGGTAATCCGTACAGCCCCCCTGCCGCGAACTACCCAGTCACCGTGGTACCTTACGACGCAGTTAGGGCTACGTGGTGGTTAGTCTGGCTCCACGTTAGCTACGAGTTACTGAGATGTACCGTGAACCCTTTTCAAATCTGCCTTGGGCTAGCTAGTGCTATGTCCAAGTGGACTGTTAATACAGAAAGAATTGTATTATAGCATCTAATTCTGCCATCGCCTTAGAACTCAAGGCCTTACAATTGGTCCCGAAGCCTACTGCATCTCTGTACGGAGTATGTACGCTGCTGCAAATGAGGTTGTTAAGAAACGCCTCGCGGGATATTAAGATAGTAGGGGTTTCCCCTGTATTTCAATCTATTCCCGCATGCTCTCAACACCCGTGACCGTATCCGTAACTTCACATTATCACTCGCATATAGCCTCTTGGCTATTATAGGACATAGCTTACGTACCTAGGTACTTATTTTGCTCGTGGGGGCCAGCCAACAGTAGAAGGGGAATAGAAGATGTATTAGAACATGAACGGCTCAGTCCGTAACATTCTTAGTAAGAGTCTAGGAGAATTTGAGAAACCTGAGCTAAGTACAATGTTTTACATTAAACGTGTTCGCGCCCCATCCCCACGTATGGAGTTAAGGGACGTCGGCACGCGACGATAAGGCTGAAAAGGAGACCAACCTATGTAGTCTAAGGGCCGCAAGCCATGCGAGTTTGAGTCATTATTCAGTGAAAAATACCTAAGCACCAGTAGCCATGCTAGAGGAGTCTGTCTCAAGTACTATTTTCTAGGGGGCATCAAAATAGGAATAAGATTGACTTATATTCATTGAATTATTCACCTAAAGTTAGTATATACACCACATAAAATAGTATACCTTAGGATATACATAATTATCTTTCGTTCAACATCACGTCATCACGACTGATAAACCCGTCGTGACAAGAATTGCTGTAAGTGCTTCCCACAGTCACGTATGTACAACAATAAACCCCCCCCTATAATCCCGTAATACTACCAAAATCGCAACCAAGTACCACACCAAAATATCAAAATCCACGACCTCCGGCAAGTTTTTTCAATCTTCAATCGCCAATAAGCTAGTTAGCTAGCTCTCCACAGCATCACATATCACCTACCTTGTCGTCCGCACTAGGGGCCGTATCCACCTACCGCTCAACCCACCCACTAGAAACTAGACACCCAAATCTCCACAGGAAAGGAATTCCTACGTCCATATGAACGAGAAATAAAGACTAGAAAGACATCATCATAGTATAGTACCCTGTTCTACCCCACAAGTTTCACCTGCATTGCATGAAAAGCGCTCTGCGCTCAGCGCAGCGCAGCTCGCGCACCACAATATGTACGCATAATCCATGCACAGATCGCAGCAACAACCCTCGAGAAACAAAGGAACAAAGAAAAACCAAAGACCATAGCATTGTCTAGTCCCACTGGTTCCGAGCTCCCCCAAGCCCCTAGCCCATACACTAACCCATCTACGTATAAATGAGGGAAAAAAAAAAGATCGAACTCGAACAGGGCTACGCTACCAAGTGACCCACCCCCCTAAAGAAGAACAGGACAGGGTACTAGTACCGGATACCCAAGACCCGCGCAGCGTAGCGCGCACCAACGGTTCCTTTGTTCTGCCTTCTCCCAAACCCGGCCCAAGACCGGCTCGACAAGATCTCCCCGACCCACCGCTACCATAAATATCACGACTGATCCCCGTCACTCGCGCTATAGCCGATTCCGCGCCTCGATACTAACACCATATCGTAAGTATTTAGATAAATAAGTCAAGTAGTAACGTAGATCAAGTATGCCCAGTTGATCAAAAACTAAGCCCCATGCCATCCATAACCCATACATCTACGCGCAAGAACAGCCCCCGGTCCCGGCCCATCGACGATACCCAGTACACCCATGGAAGTATCCACCAACCATCCCCTTCCCCTGTCACCAACGCCGATCTCTTGGACCCGACAGTTTGGTAAAGGGAGAGTAGCCTTCTAACCTCATCTAGAAGATCCATCGAGTCCTATCAACCAATAGGAAACATCGTAGCCAGATCACTTCGTAAGTACTGTAGAAATGGGAAAGGATTGGTGTTACACACTCGTCAGGAATACCTAAGTAGACGAATATGTCAAGTCACTTTTTCGGATCTGTTGGAGTAATTGTAATGGCACTATATTGTACTGGGGCTACCGTATCTAGGTACAGGTAAATACCTGTAGCATCACCTTCTAAGTAGGTAACACAACGATACAGAAGATGGGCGCAAGTGCTCAAAGCAGCTAGCTAGCGCCTCCTCTCGTGCTTCTCACCCTGAATCCTGATCCTACATCTCCTTCCGTAGAAGCCAGGTCGGTGAGTAAGCCCTGTCCTACCCGGTAACCCCTAGTAAACCCTGCCAAATATAAACGCACTGCTGTAAGTAGGTAGATTAGGTAGATGAGCCATTTCTCATCTACCTTTCTTCCCATGGGCAGATCCCTAAGCTAGCCAGCTAGTAAACTAGCTAGCCGGCGCATGCTCCTCCTCTCCCCCCCTAGCATGACGAAGCCCTCAACCAATCCAGCGGAAAATAAATAAAATCAAAGCGAAAAAGAAAAGAATCGGCAAGTGGTATTCGCAGTAGCACCGTAGCCGTCTAGCCACCTCCTTCTCCCTAACACCACCACAACTCCTCTATTCAGTAGTGATTTCGTTCCCTTTTTTAGAGTCGACTCGTTTTCCACCCGTCCAGATAGATGATGACTCATGCTCTCATGCAAATCAATGAATCATAAAAGCAATGCAGAACCATGCAGAAAGCAGAAAGCCTGTGCGAGTGGAGGTATTGGAGAAGGGAAAAAAACCACGCGACGATGCTAGAAGGAAGAACGAATATAGGCGCGCGTCAAGGACGGCTCTGAGAAATCAAAGAAAAGAAAAAGGAAAGACGGTTCATTTGCATATAATAAACCGAAGACGTCCGCATGAAGACTCAAATATATCAGTAGACGAAGCCTACTATCACCTACCCACTAGTTTCGCATATGTGGGATTGGGTCATATTCGCGACCGGTAAAATCATCGACCAGTGGCGATAGCTTCAGAAATCTGCGGACTGCCTAATAAAGTATTTTGTTCGTAGGTCAATGGACCCCTCGGCAACGCAAAGTGATGCGTAAGGGCGAGCTAACTGCCGCCTTTTGTCGCCGATCGCGTTGGCAATCGTGCCAGGAAAAAATTAGTGCGCCATGCCACTATATCTCTAGATTCATCGTTGGCATTCGTTGTGACGTATTTGTCAACGTCATATCATCTTTTGTCTCATTCGTGCAAGCAATTCTTTTGTTCATTGCCTATCTTGTCGTTTCTCTGCATACCTGGCTGTGTAGACAACCCATAATAGAAGAAGGTTCAAAGCAAATAGCTTCGATGGCGGAGAGGGTTGCCTTTTCCATAGCCGAACTCCAAAATAGCTACCAGATATGCACATCAATAGTCCATAACATCCTTACGGTTGGTAAGGAGGACCACCCTGAGTTTGGTCATCCCAATACTGGAAGGGGTCCGGGTTCCTGTTGTTGCGATCCGTATTACCGGGGTTCTCCTCAAATAGGCCGTTGAGGTCGGGAGCCATTGAAGCCGGTAAACCTTGGCCTCCCTGGCCTCCCTGTACGGGTGCTGGTGCTTGATGTCCATGATACATTCCAGTGACATCCTCCATATACACAGGGTGAGTAGGGTGGGTATGATGGGGCTGTTGTTGAGCACCTTGGTACTGAGGGAAAGTAAAACCATGGTGGCTTGCATCATTAGTCGGCAGGACTGGGTTATGCATTGAGTGAGCCAAGATCATATCATGGCTAACATCGGGAGGCGTCAACGGCTGGAGACCCACACGTTGGTTGAACAACATATTCTGCACCTGATTGTGCATGCTCTCACCCATTTCAATAAACCCTGCACTTAGACTTCGTCGATGGCCCATTGCCCTTCTCATGGCTGCTGCCTTAGACCTGCTAGCACTCTGACCTCCCTTGCGACCAGAATGGGCTCGTCCTGATAGTCTAGCGTGGATTCCGCGCCCGTGATGGCCCGCTCCACCGCCGCGACGACTCGAGGTCGGCTTGCTCCGATATCGTGTAGTGCTTTGCACGCCACCAACAGCCCAAGGCTCCAAAACCCAGACTGAAGCCTTTTTTGATTCGCCAGCTTCAGTCACAGAGTCGCTCGATCTACCCTCGTGTCTGACAAATGCCTGTTTGTTAAGAGTAAGTTAATCGTCTAACCAAAACAAATGAATATACGCAAACTCCTAAGCAAAGAAGTCAAGTAAAGAGCAATCAAAGAGACAACTTACGTGGTTCATGCTCAGGTTGTGTCGAATACTATTTTGCCAACCCTTACCACTACTCTTTCCCTTGTTCGTGTTTTCGCGAAACCATTGGTAGATTTGCTGCAACATCATTTGGTGGGGAGTCACACTCATGAGGGCTCTATGTATCAGTACCGCGTAGGGTTCGTCGATCTTTGCTCCATCTTCACCACTTCCCTGATCCATTGATTCCGGCTGTACTGAGGCTTCGTCCACCTCCATGTTATATGATCCGTACGAAATGTCGGCATCCCGAGTCTGTTGGGGTGATTCACTCCGGGAGGCTGCCGCCGGACCTGTACCGGGGAATCCAGTAATGGTCGATGGTACTTCTTGATGGACCATATTGCTCGCATCTAAACCGGTACCTGTGAAGCCCGTTGACTCATAGGATGTGGTACCCATTTGCGGGTGTAGCTGTTGTTGCTCATACTGGAGCGAGGGGCAAGAACGAAAGCCGTAAGCTGGCATTTGATCCGACTCTCTGAGGGATAACTGCTGGAAGTTGAGGCGATGGAATTCGTTAGGTGACCAGTTTCCGGGACTGGGCACTGACGAGTGGGGTCCAGCAGAAGACGCGCCGCCTGGGTCGCTCGTGGGTGAGAAGCTGTTGTCGCAAGTCGAAGGCGGGGTTGGCCATGCACCATGCGACGAGCTAGCAGAGTGTAGGGTGTTCTGATAGCCCTGTACCGTAGTGTTAATGGGAGCAGGGAATTGATATCCAAGATCGCCGATCTGGGTGGATGGAGACAAGATATATCTCTCTGAGTCTTGCTTCGGTTCAGCGGGTGTACCCGTTGATTGCGTCGCGCTGTTTCGGGTCTTCTGTTGGTCTTCGTCTTCGAAAGACTGACCATTGACGGGCAAGCCGCCAGAGAATGCTTGCTGCATTCCGAAGAGTTGAAGAGTGCCGGCAACAAAGTTGGGTCTTGGTAACGCGATGTCTTGTCTTGAAGAATCACGAAGCAAGTCCAAGCTTGTGAAGCGAGTGTCAGCCCTCGCGCAACAATCGCAATGGAATAACAATGAAGTTGTGAATCTAGAGTAGAAGTGTCAATGGGAAAGGGTGTCAAGGTGAATTAATAGGTGAAGAGAGGAAGAGACAAGGTAGCTTGTGTCTGTGTAGTAGTGGGCAACCTTTTTGTAGTGAGGTGAAGGTGGGCAAGTGAAAGGTAGTGGGATGGGTTTGGAGGAAGGTATGAGGTAGTGGATAAAGTAGTAACGTATGGACGGGTAGTTACGAAGGTAGAAACGCAGTGGGCCACAGTAGGTACGTAGGTAATGTAGGTATGTACCTTCCACCTGGCACTGGATGAACTAGAGAAACTAGAGAGATAAGGGAACGTACCTACCCCCCCCGGGCTTTAGGTTGGATAATGAGGTGATCTGGGAATTACCTAGGTACCCTCTCATCAACTTGAGATTGAGAATAATGGGGACCGATCTGGACCCTTGTACCTACCTAAGCTGCAGAACAGCGTGGTCTGACAACCCTGTACAGTGGCACCTAGCTAACTAACTGGTAGCAACTACCTGGCTATGCAGACAGGTACCTCCTCGCGTACCCAGCGTCCTTGCAAATGGATAACCGCCTAGGAACCTTGGAAGAGGAGAGAATGAGCCATGGAGATTGGATGATCAGACGCCCCGTCAAATTTGAAAAGTGAGGTACGTACTAGTAAAATGTACAGTAGAATAGGTATTGGAGGTGGGTACATATGTAGGGAAGGGAAAGAACTTCAGGGCTCACACGACCCCAATAGAGCTAAGGCAACCAGTACAGAAAAAAAAGCCTTTTTTTTACTGACGCAAAGTGGGGCGCAACAGTGCCAGTATACATGTAAAAAAGATTAGGCAGTTTCGTCTGGTCTGCTAGTGGTCAAGTGATAGATTAGAGATTTACAGTAGAAAGAGAGAGTTGGGTAAGTACGAATCGTAGACCGTTAGAATACCCAGTAAAGAGCGATGTGGCAGGAGCTTAACCGGTGCAGCTTAGGAGATTTTCTCAAAGTCCCTCAAAGCTCTTTCCTCGAATTGATACAGACTAACTATCATATGACTATAGTTAGTTCGATACTTCCAAGGTTAGTTTCTCTATGGCGACGAATGATGGCAGGTGCTATCCTTCGTGCTATAGATAGATCGTTCTATCCTCTTTACTGGGTAGATAACGTTTCGCCCTATTGATGGGGACTTCGCGACCTGCCAACGCATTGGCCGGTTGCCTTTACTGCTGGAGCGACTGGACAGAACGAAACTTCTTCACTTACACGGAAAATTAGGTCCCTACCTAGCGCTAATTGAATTCCTCTCTTTCCAATTCTCTCCTTCCCTTTTCTTTACGATATGTAGTTTGCTACTCCTTTTCTTAAATTTTAATTTTACTCTTTTTCCCTTAACCTTCTGTTCTTCCAATTTCCTTGAGTTTTTTCCAATCTTGTTTATCCCGATGAAGGGAGTCAGACTTCGGTCGTATGTGTAAGTGCTATTCCGTCTGTATTCCAAATAGGTAGGTAGGTACCGTACGTACCTCTTACAACCAGACTGCGGTATTCTCTTCTCTTCCCCCCCCCACATACATAGTACAATCGTACATAATGTATGGTTGTATGTACGTATGTGTGTGTGTATATTATTATATATGCGTGTATGTGTATGCGTCAGCACATGTATGTGCGTAATATGTATGCGTGCGTGCTTCCTATGCATATAAGTACATACATGCACTTGCGTGCATGCGGCGTGTTTCTCCTTGTGCAAACGGAGTCGCGTTTCGTGTGTCTTAAGTTAGGTGTCATCTAGAGCATGGCTATCGGGGATTTCTTGCTTGTAACTTGTAAGATTGTAAGATTATAATAAGAGAGATTGGCAATAAATTTATGGCAGATCCTCTTCTACCACACCTATATTCTCCCCTATACTAGGCTGCCATCGACAATCCACCAGTAAGATGAAAAGAGTTCAAAAGAGAAGAGGAAAAAATCGGGATCTAATTTCAAAATTCACGGGAAAAAATGACAAGAGCTAGCAAAGGAATTACCCAGGTAGCTACATTCTCCTTAACAAGGCCATTGTTAAACAAATCAAGCCCACTGCGAAGCGACGGTGTCCGGCATAGGGGCAGGATTAGGGCTCTCTTCCCGCATCGCGGATAGCTGCATTATGAGTGGGATTTTGTCAGATTCGCCAAATGTAACCAATCATTCCTTGAGTATCATGGTCTACAACGGGAGAATCTCCTCCAGCCTTACTACAAAGAACCTGAAACTATCCCGAAGAGGCGCCCCTGACTATTTCCGTCTTATGCACTTCATCACAGCGTTTTTCTAGAATCCCGATCGAAGCTTCAGCTCTACAAGGGACCCTGGATTGCTCGTACGACGACGATGAGGTGGACAATACCTACTCCGTTATATCTGTGTTAGAGATATTGTAAAGGAAGACAGACGTATGAATTGGAAAAATCCGTAAGGCGTAGCAGAAATCATGATCCACCTAGAACTTTGAAGGCAAGTAAAAGTCCTTGGGAATAGGGAAAATTAAAATGGTACTGAAGAGTTTTTTACGACGCTCTCGTAATGTTCCATTAATCCCAGCCTCCTAAAAATTAGCAAGGTCAGGGAAGCGAGGCGGCTTCCCGGGCGCTGTGTGACGAGGACCGAGACATACATTTATTACCTAGGTAAATCACTCGCTGTATTTTAACTTGAATAGAGTCTTGTGTGAAATCATTTGTTGGTATCATTCTAGCATTACGTCTCGTATACCTATCTAATTCCCTAAAAGCTAGAGCCGGAGTAGCTGAGGTAAATCGTCAATTAAGCTGTTTGTAAGGGAAGTGTCGGGGGATTTGCCGCTGGGGAAAGACGGCTTAGGCTTGGCGAATAGTAGTGGCTTAATTTTCTATTTTCGGTAGTAGATCTATGTGACATATCAGTACCCATCGTTTGAGACATTGGCAACGGGAAGAAAACGCTTACCTTCTTGAATTGAAAGTGGAGTTGGAGAATTCCCTATGGGCACGGAAAATTAGCCAAGACACGTCTCAAAGTAATTCAGGAATAGGAGGGGACGGAAATGAATACAAGTACAAAAAGCTTGGATATGTACGTCGGGTTGTCTAATGACGAGCGTGGCTTGCGATCATCATCCAGTATGTTGTCCAATGAAAGCCAACAGCATGCATCCAGCGTTTGTTATGGCCAAGCTCCGGACTTTTTGAGTCGTGTACTCCGTAGCCACGTGGAATAGGCGTAATGAAAATGCAAATCTGGTTCGTATAGAAAGAAGAGAAAAGGAAATTTAATTTACGTACCTTATCGAAGCTGCTTTTAAAGCCACGATCCTTTTTGGCGCTGTAATCCCACTCTCGATCAACAATCCGAAAGGCGATGTCCTCATACGGCGGTCCAGCAATAAAACGAATCAGGCAAGTATCTTCTTCTCCGGCAGGTGCGAAGGATTCGCCTCTTCTTCTTCCGTGTTCGCGAATAATCTTGAAGGTAGGCGCCTTGGTCTTGTCAATAAGGTCAGGATAGAATATGTTGAATTTATAACCCTGAACTACTTTCGGTGGTGGGTTGTCGTGATCGTAATGCGTCTGATTGTATTTGTTCCATTCGTAGCCCATTTGTACACGATTGAAATATCGCGGTTTCCGAGGCCGATATTTATCTGCCCACTGTGGCTTCGTAGCACTTGGTACGGTCTCTTCAGCTGTAAATATCTCCTCGTTCTCACTGATTCCCCTGGCGACCTCTCGTTCGTACAAAGCTTTGGTAGCTTGCGAGAAGTCTTCATTTCCTCCCGTAGCGAATCTAGCAGTGCCGGGAGGCGGCGCATTGGTCAATGTACTAGTCGAAGGGACGATAGATGTACTGTTTTTGGGTTTCGAAGTGGAAGTTGGGACGACTTCCTTGGATCCCGATTGGATAACGCCTCCAAGTGATCCGGACTCAACAAGCGCCTTGGCCTTTTCGGGATCCCGTTCTTTCAAGAGCGTGACACGGCTGTCTCTGATAGACTCGTAGATATTCTTCAGCTTGGCTTTCGCTTTAAAAATCTGCAAGCTTTTGAGCAGTTGTTCCCAGTAATCAGTATCGACAACCTCGTCTGAACGTAACTTGGCCTGTATTTGGCCCTCCAGCTTTTCCAACTGTTCGAGGTTCTTCGGACCTAGGATCTTGTCTACATCGGCGATAACAGAGCTAACCGCACGCTCTTCAGGGCCCAGTGGTTTCAGTCGCTGCCTCTTATCCTTGCAGAGTGTTTGTAATGCCTTCCAATATTCTCTATTCCTAGGATTCATCTCGAGTGTATGGTATGACGTGATCTCTGTATCAAGTTCATCAAGTTCCGACTCCTTCAGCCCGTCTATTACCGCATTCGGCGGGGGCACATCGATATCGACGTCGGAATCGTCGTCATCGAAAACATCACGGTCGGTGTCGATGTATCGCAAGTTGAACGCCAAAAAATCAATAGGCTTCGCCCGTCCTTCGCGGACACGAATGTCTGCTTTCTTCTTTGCTTGTTTCAAGACGAATTTGTCTTCGTCGGCGACAAATTGTTGAGACTGTTCATCTTGACTAAGCCAGTTCTGCGTGGTAGGATTTGTCGGTTTGGTCTGGGTCGGTCGCGAGGGCTTCGTGATTCTGGAATTGGGATCTCGTCTAGGAGATGTGATATCGCGGCGAGGGGGTGACTTACGGCCATAAATCATAGCGCGCCGCCCGGGATCCATCTTCAAAAAGCCGATTCAATCGGTGCGTTGCGATTCTTGGCGGGGAATTTATTATTAAGGGATGTGAGGCGATGGCGATGTTGAGTATCTTCGTCAGGAATGAGTCGCAAGTCGCAAGTCGCAGGCACAGGCTGTGAGAAGGAAACTCCACATAATAATTATGGTACCTAGGTACTTACCTCTATCTTGTTTATCGATAACACGGCAATCGCAGGTCCACTTTTATACACCGAAGCTCACCGAGATTCAGGGGTAAGATTAGGGGGGAAGCTTATTTCCACTACAACATTTCAACGGATTTGAACCCAGGTACATTCACGAAGATCAGATCTCTAGAACGTCCGGATCGTGTTAATATAATCAGGCTCTCTATAAGACGTGGTCCGTACCGTCGGACATCGGGGGACAGAATAAACACCAGGACGAGAACAAGCAAGACCCGAGGCCGACCGACCTACGTATAGAAACACATGCACACGCAAACATAATGTCAATAGAAGTATGCCGCGACCATTATCTTCCGGCTATATCAACAGGATGCGACTATAAACACGGTTTGCAAGCATCCCAAGTCCATCATTAAAGTGTCTAAGCTTATCCGTAAGCTACCGTTCCGCAATCAAATGTATTTCGCCAACTTGAGGAAAATCATAACCAGAAAACCGGCAACTCCGACAACACCGATTACCAGAGCCTATAATCAATTAGCATCATGTAGGAAATTAAATCAAAAGTATAGTGAGCACGCACCTTCGAGTAGAAGGCGAGCTCGTGCTGGAGGCGATCTTTCTCTAGAAGAGCTAGGTAGGCGCTAAGAATTTCACCATTCATCTTGAGCAGCCTCCCGAAATTTGCGATGTGTTCAGCGAATATACATTCCAAGCGCACCGAGTCTTGGTCGATATGTAAAAGTTGCAATTGTCGTACTGCTAGAGCAAGCGCCGCAATGTAAGCTTGGTTGGCGACGAGCGATCCTAGCTTCTGGTCGATCTCAGTGACCTTCGCCTTGATTGCAATAATCTCCTTGGCAGTCTCCTCGAGCCCTTTGCCTTGTTCCTTGACCGAACGGGCCACATCCAGGATCATTTGCTGGAGGGTCTGGCCGATGTGGTCGACGGAATCTTCAATTGGCTCTAGCTCCTCGCGGAAAATAGCTGCCAGTTCATCGCGTGACTAAAGTCCAATCAGGAGATGAATCAACTGAGTAAGTCTAACCTGAGATCCTAGAAATAAAGCGCCTCATCGAGCCTTGAGTCTTCGTAGTACCCCACTGAGTAATGCTCTCCGCCAAAGCGCGCACACGCTAGCATCCCCTGACACCAAACACACAGAAGTATAAGGCCGGGTACACGTGTCGACAGTAAAACACCGAAGACCCGTCAGTAAGGCGTCATCGACAATACACAGACAAACCATCCCTCTGGGGTGTGATGGAAGGCTGGGCTACCCCCAATTCGGGTGCTCAAGACTATACTTCGAGACCCAACCCAGTCAAACAATACTCACTTTAGCATTGAAGACGAGGATGGCCGATAAATATTACCTCCCCAGGCTATCGCGACACTGAATGGCAGCTACCCCCAGCCAAAGTAGGCGGGTTGGCCTGTAGGGGCCAGTAGCCACACATGCCTCAGCACGAGAGACCTGAAGGGAGACCCCCATCTTTGGTTGTCCAGACACCATTTTACAGTATCTCGAAGTGATAAAAGGCAAAGAAAAGAAAATAGAGAAAAGCAAAGGAGGGGAGGGAAAATAAAGTAAATAAAAGGAAAACAGGCTTGAACAAGGACTTACATAGATCGCCGTCTCTTGAGGAGGGAACGAACCCGGCACAAATTGAGACATCCTTAAATTCAGTTAGAAAAAGGAGCCAAGTGTGATAAAATTCCTTGAGATGTAGACTAACCTTGGAAGCGAGAGGTTGAAGTATCTTTCTGTGGTGTTGAAAGTGGCTCGAGGTTTTGTGGTGGTAGGTTCGAGATGGACTGAAAATCGGTGGGAGAACAGATTTATTTATAATCTGAGAGTGAAGTTTTTGAATCACCCAATTCTCACCGCCAGGCAGAATTGAAATCAATTAGCCCAGGCAGGTTCGATGGTTAAGGCCTGCCCTGTGTTGATTTTTGGTGTATAAGTGGGACTGATTATTCGATCTCCAGGGACAACACGCCCTTTTTGCATTGATTTCAGCCAATTACCTTGCAATCACTGCACTTTTAAGGACGTACCTTCTACATCCATGGATATGAGTTGATACCCCTTAATTAGGAGGGGAAAATCACATGGTACCTTAGGTATTTTTAGGTAAAGGTGATGTTGCCTGAACCACCACTGCTGAATCAGACCAATCAAGAATAGAAGAAATATATACCTTGAAAATACTCCCTCCCCTTGGATTGCTACCTTTGATTCTTCGCTTCTAAGTAGTTTAATAAGTAAAAATAAGTAAAGGAAGGTACGTCAACTTCCTACCATTGTTGTTTTCTCTAATCTGTCTTCCCGGTAACGCGTGATATTATATTTAAACCCCAAAATTTCCGCTTCTTGTACTTCATATCCAAATATTTCATCACCAGTCGAGTACTTCACCATATTTCTAGTTCATTCACCGTTGGACTGCTTTCGTCTCCTAGATTCTCCAACCCAAGGCACCAAAAGGTTAGTTTTTTTGTTCTTGTTTATTTCCCCTTCAAGCCATTCATCGAGGTACTAAACACCGATCCTATAGGAGAGGGCTTCAGGTATTAACTTCTTCGTGAATCTTTCCGTTCGTTTTCATCAGTTCCTCGGAATCCTTACTACATTAACAACACGTACACCCAACACAATATATCTCTAATCGTCATGATAACATAAGAATCAACGTGATTGGAATATATCTAAGATACAACCTAAGCCAAACGGAAAACATACCTTTGCAATTCTACTTCCATCGTCACGGTAGGTCGTTCGTACATTACACATAGTAGCCACGGCCGGACCCAACTAACTCAAAATATTAGATGTCTATTCCATCAGATCAAGCCCAGTCCACGAGTGCGAACAACGACAACTCCAATTACCTCGACGGATGGGCCCAATATTACGGTAGACACTACCCTGCCCCCCACGAACTTCCCCAACAGTCTAGCCAAAGCGCCCACGAGCTGCCAATCACCCGCCCCATCGCCCGCGAGGCCCTGGAGCAACGATGGAGAGGCGGATTCGGCGGCCAAAGCGTAGGCACTATAGTAAGTCCCCCAGCACCCCATCCAAACCCATCAACTAACCCAACCCAGGCCCCGCCCCAGCCTCCAGCACCACACAACCGCGTAAGCCCCAGCGAAGTAATCGAGCGCGTGAAATCCCGCCTCCTAAAAGAACAAGCCGCCGAAGCGGACCTAGCCTCCGCGATCCCGCAAAACATAGGCACGATCAAGAAAGAACTGCGCGCCAGCATAACGCAATACGACAAAGACTACCGCGCGCTCGACGACAAGCTAAGCACCAGTTTCCACGCCGTAGTCCAGTCTGTCGAAGACATCCGGTACCGCTTCGACGACATCGAGCGTCGACACGACGCCAAGTTCGAGAAGATGGAGGAGCGGCATAATGCTACGATTGAGAAGTTGGCTGAGAAGCATGATGCTGAGCTTAAGGTTTATCGCGATAGGGAGGTGGGTTACTATGATAAGGTCAAGATGTACGAGGTCCAGGCCGCGACGTATCGGGCTGAGGCAAAGGTATGTTGGATAATCTTTCGATGGTAGATGTGTTTATGTGGACTAACGAACTACAGGCTATGTACATTGGCGTCGTCTTTGTGGCGCTCATTGCTGCTGGTCTGGGATATGCTCTGCGAGGCATTTGAGCGGCGCTTATTGGAGTTCCTTTGGACAAAGCCAAGAGAGACCATTGAGTTCTATAGGTTCCAGTTGGCAGGATACTAAGGTTATATTCTCAAGATCCCGTTTCGTCGATGTCGATAACTGCAAATGGTCTCTGATTCTCTTCGTCTAGTATACCGTGGTAGATAGGGGTAACATGAGTAACTTGGCCCAATCGAGTTTAGGTCCATAGCGGGTGAATAGTACCTTCTTCCGGATTAACTGAAGTGATTCGTAACAGATTACGATGCGAACGCCAACCCACGATCCGATAATATTAAACCTCTGGAGGTGTTGAATATTGGCGAGGCCAACACCCAGATAATGAGTCAGGGCATGATGGACATATGTGCTTGTTTCTAGACACTTTACTGTTTTCATGCCAATAATTAACAGCCGCCGATATGTGACTCGGACTCGAAATAGCTTCACCGACGCCGTTTTAAAACGACGACGTAGCTTTCGAATAATGGCATGATTTCCAGCTAGCGCAATGAGTATATATTTCCTTGCTACGCCCCGGCAAAAAGATGCATAGCGTTGTGAGATATAATACCAGAACCTTAGAACATAAGTAATAATAAGCCAGTCAGGAACCATGACTTCAAATTCGAGACCAATCACAGAGGAGTTAACTCTCCCCCGCCAAATCTGCGCTCGACGTTATTGTGAAGAACTCAGTGTCCCCGACAGAAGGATGTGCGCTAGGCACCGGGAAGAAAACCGACGACAGCAGATGGTGAGGTACCACAGGAAGAAGTGGAATGGTCTTTGTGTCAGATGTCCGGAGCCATCTATACCAGGCAAGAGGATGTGTAAGAAGCACGGAGATACGCATAGAATCAGAAAACTTGTGGACTCGCGATGCAACCGCGAGATGGGGCTTTGCGGCTGTGGTAATGAACTTACCCCAGGGGAGAGGAGGTGCGTGAATTGCAAGCGTAGCACCGCGCCAGCATTGGCCACAGCCATGATAGTGAGGGCCGCAATAAAAGCCGCAAAAGAGGCTATGGATCTCAACGACGCCATGCCTTTTAGTGGCAGTAGCGATTGCAACTTCGAATCTCCATTTACACTCTTTACTCCGCCTAATTCTAATGATGATATGGCAAACATGTCACAACAACCATATATGCCATTCCAAAACACCACCGGAGTTGTGCCTCTACCCAATACTTCATACGAATTGAACGAACTAGGCAGTGATTGGCTACAGGGGATGGATATGCTATTTCAAGATACTACTGGGGTCATACCTCTACCTGTCACTTCATACGATTTTAATGAAAACAGTGACTGGATGCAGGGAATGGACGTGTCATTTCAAAATACCACCGGGGTCGCACCTGTTAATTCATACGATTTCAATGGAGAAAGCGGTAACTGGATCCAAGGGATTGACACAGCATTCGAAGATACCATTGGGGCCATACCCGCAGCCGATACTTCATATGAGCCTAATGAAGAAATCAGTAACTGGATACAGGGGTTGGATATGCCATCCCAAGATGGCATCGGAGTTGTACCACCACCCGATTATTCATACGAATCCAACGGAGTAAGTAATGACGGTGACTGGATACAGGGGACAGGCGCGTCATTTCAAGATACTACCGGGATCGTAACTCAACCCGCCACTTCATACCAATTTAACGAAGAAAACTGTGACTGGCCACAAGACATGGAGACGGCGTTTCTAGATACACTTCCTGGTCCATACGAATTCGACCAAGACAATAACTGGCTGGAGACGATTGATCCGTCACTCCTCTTCAAGTGAGGCAAATTACATAATCTGGACGGGAGACAATAATATTGTTACGACCCAACAATAAGGTTTTTTCTTAAATCGCCCAACCTCCGGGTTTTAGATACGCTTCGCGGATCAATTCAGCCCGGAAACAATATCCGGCGGAGTTTAGCTGGGTGGCATATCTGTTATAATTTAGGTATCTCCAAGAAAAAAGGAAAAAGGGGGAAACAGGAAAAAAAAAACTAGATTTCATGTTCATAGAATTGCGTTATTACTTACGTATAAATAAAAAACAACAAAAAAACGGCATCTATTGTTGCCCAAACAAACACATTATCGTGATATTTCCAGTGTCTAAGAGTAGCCAATCATGTCTTAAGTGCTGTCCCATTATAGTAAAAGATAATATGTAGTCCACCAAAGGTGGGTAACCCAAGCTTTGATTGGCTGGCTTATAGCTACACCCGCCCCCCTATTCCCATCTAGCCGACCAATCACACGATCCCAAAGCATAATCAAACGACACAGCTTTATTGTTCAGTTATTTATATACTATGGGGTATGACCACGAGAGAGTAAGAAATATACACATACTCAATCTTTTGAGACCCAGGTTGGGTCATTAATCAATACACCTTCCTATCCTTGCCACTCAAATTCTGTCTCCAGAGGCAAATCACGCTCTTACTCTCGCACCACAGCTTAACCTGGTACGGATTAATCTCCCCGTCATACCCAACCCCACTCAATGCTCCGGCATTTAACCACGCCGCCAAGTCCTCCAGCACGATGGGATCGTAGAGTAGCATTTTCTCATGCCACGACGGATTTGCCGGGTCACGCGACCGTGGTGCCGCCTTGACCGCCCGCGTGATATGTCGAAACAATGCTTCCTGCTCCTGTTGCTGGTCCGTACCTGTCCCTGTCGTCATGTCGGCGTCTTCCGATAAGAGAGATAGGTCTACTGGCGGTGGTGAGGAAAATATCCGATCCATGTCCGGTGAGGACGCCCTCGATGATGGCGACGATGATATCGCTTCATCTAAATCAGAGTCCGCGATCTCGACGAGCCTCGCGGTGTTTTTTCTTTGGCGAGCACGAGGTTTCTTTGAGCTGGCTTCTTTTAGAGCTGTAGTTTTTGCTGTCGTGGGAGGTTCCGTAGCGACTGAATTCTTTCTTGGACGTCCGCGTCGTTTCGGGGCGTTTTCCGGTTGCGTAGTAGTAGAGGTAGCGGCGGCGGATGATTGCTTCCGCTTAGGTGCGGTCATGCTTGATGAAGTAGATATGGACCTTGATTGGATCATTGGAGCTCCAGAATTCTGACTCATCCAGCACTGGTCGAGGAGTGATATCATGGCCTGACGTTTCTTTACCGGCTTAAATCCGTAAGATGCAATCCGCGCCGCAAGTTGTGAATCATTGAGCAACTCAAAGTCCGGTCGCAAGCCCCCTCCGCCTTCCGCACACTGGTTAGATTCACTGGGTCCTTGACCGTCAGTTTCGGGGAGTGGAGCGTTCGGGTCGGATTGAGATTGCAAGAAATGGGAATTCTGCTGCGGAACTCCAGTCGATAATTCATCAACCTCCGATGACTTCAGAATGTCGTTGATATCAACAAATTCAGTAGACGAGCATTCCCGCCGTTCAGCACGTCGCGATAATGATGGTACATTCTCAACTACCTCAACGTCGTCCATTTTCATCAATTCACCATCGGTATCTCTTGCGCCAGCATGCCAAAGTCCCTGACTATCCGATTCGGCAAAGGGATCGGAATCGACCTGGTTTGAAGCTTGTATTGCTAACTGAAGATCCCTAAGAGTAGTTGGTGACTCTTCTCTAACCAACTGGCTCGATGTCCCGAAAACGAAGTCTTGATTCGAGGATTGTTTCAACGCTGAATTTGGAGATAAGAGGATTGGATTGTCCGCCGTACCGGACTTCTTTTTGCGCTTCGGTTTCTTAGGGGCTTTGGATTCTCCGGCCTTCTCCTTTTTCTGGGTCATAAGGACTGTTTGATGTTCAACAAGAGCTTTGACAGTACCGTCCGAATCGAAATAACCCAGCAAAGACTCCTTGGAGGTGGGCCCTGCGAGATCCAGGTCGGGACCGATCGATGGCATATAAGGCGCGGTTGCCAATTCTGTAATTGTCCTAGCCTTCTTCTTCGTATTAACTACTTTGGACGGTGAGGTTTCTCGAGAGCGTTGTTTAAGATCATTGCTCGTAGATACGAGCTCGATTAATTTGTGCTTTTTTAAAACATCTAATTGCGGCGGGTCTAATGGAGGAAATGAAGGGACATCTTTGTAACCGTATTGACCATGAAGAGTGTGAAATACATCCTGTGACTTCGTTTCCTTCTCGATTGATAAAGGCAATTCTCGATTGTCGGATTGAGGTTCAGCAAAAGGGATATTCGCGGGTGGCGGCGTCCAACTATCCCTTCGTTTAGAAGCAAGCTCCGAAGAGGCAAAGCTGCTGGCAGCCTGCTCATTAAACCTATCGCCCGTTGTCCCATTGTCTAATATCCCGTCCGCCGGTTTCGCAGCATCTTGCTTGGTGGCAAAATGTTTAGAAACGGTCCCCGTCTTCCCCTTAGCTTTTCCCTTAGAGGCCGCCTTCGCAGCACGCACTTTTGGTATTGGTGGCTGTTCACTCTTAGATGTTGACTCCTTGCTTTTGAACTTCTGCCACGGCTTTTCTCCCGGCGATGACTCGATTAAAATAGGCGTCTCTGCCGGTATGCTGGTAATTTCGGGCGTGGGTGTTTTCCTCTTTCGACCTATATCGGAATTAGGTTTCCGGGGTGGAGAATTGGTGAGTTGTTCGGTTTCTATGTCAATCTCGGGAGCATCCCTCAATAGGCATGCAGCACTTTTGAACGTCGTGTGTACGTTGTTGGGGATCGGTGCGGCATGGTTTCCACTTCGTAAAGGTGGTCTTTTAGGACTAATAGGGAATAATTCGTTGAGAGGAGGTATATTCGGCGATGACGACATAGTATAGGAATGAAACCTCGCTGGCCCCGCGGGGGACGATAGGAAAACATCGGCGGTAGACATACTAAGTCGTAGTCGTAGGGTAATAGATTTGCGCCAAGCGCAACTTAGGACGTTGCTGGCCGACAGGGTAATAGATAACTTGATCGCAACATACGATCTATTCTCTGTACATTATACACGTCGTAGATGGAAAATTTACGTACAATTGAAATGAATAGGATTCAGCGCAGAGCGACGATGTTTATGTTTTGTTGAAAATTGATGATGTTACACGTCTTTGTACTTAGATGGTACCGTTGGCGGGTTTGGCCAATCATAATGCGACAAATTAATGCCAAGACTAGACCCTTAAATGTCAGTCGCCACGAACCTAACCCGAGAGCACCTGACTTTTCCATCACGTGACTGATACCCGAGCAAGAAGCCCCACCGCCCACCAAACAACAATTTTCTCTTTTCGAGGGGTCAAAAATTCCGAGCTAACTCATTTATTTCCTTTCAACCACGAAACATCGACCCCGTTGCGACCACTTCCCCGACTACCATTACCACCACAAAACCTATTACGACCACTACAGTCGATCAGTCGCAAAGATGGAGAACGACAAGGGAGAGATCGTGGACCTGTAAGAATTCTCCTTTTTACCATGCCTACCGCATTTTGCAGTTTTACTAACCCGAACTTTCTCGTTCAGTTACGTCCCCCGAAAGTGCAGCGCCACCAACCGTATCATCAAGGCCAAGGACCACGCTTCCGTCCAGATCTCAATTGCCAAGGTTGACGAGACCGGCCGACAAATCCAGGGAGAGAACCATGTCTACGCCCTCTGCGGTTTCGTGCGAGCGATGGGTGAGAGCGACGACGCTCTAAACAGACTAGCCCAGCGGGATGGCCTCCTCAAGAGCGTCTGGAGCGCCGTGCGATAAATTCCTTCACATCAAATGGATGGTTAGTTCTCGTATCCCGCCTCGATCAATGCGAACATCCCTAACATTTATGGATAGGTTCTGGTGTTTACGGGGGATTCATGACTGTACAGTCGGCATGGGATTGCTTTTGATACTGCATCTAGCCGGTTAGATAACCGCCGCATCCGAGTCTCGGAACGAAATAAGAACGAATTCCCTTTCGCAGCATGAACCTTTTTTTTTCATTTTAGTAATGTGCGATCTCATCTCGTCCGGCTAGCGAAGTCTTCTCGCGTCCACCTCCGAGTGATTCCATGGGCGAGGATTCTGGGGCTACCGCGATAGCCTCCGTGCCGAAGATTAAAAATGGCCTTGAAAAAGCTGTGATGCTCAAGATGTTCATTATGGCACAGATACGGGTCAAACATGTTTTATTCCCAATACCCTACGAATAAATTCAACCACTCCCGTCGTAATAGTGAATTACGTAGCCATACTTGCAACAACACAGGGGCCGTCTTTGAGTGACAAAAATTGATCTTAAGTATACAGGCTAACTTCTTATCACCAGCTCATCATTACTCTTTAGGAAAGGAGGGCCCACGCAAACCAAGTTTCTGATTTACATGTGAGAATATTGCGTGAGAGACAATCATACGAATATCATTCCCTGCCACTTCTTACATCAAAGAGCATATTAGCTTCCTATCTACCTGCCGTATAGTCCTTGGGCTAAATATTAAAAATCTGAAACATGACCTTTTCTCAGGATCGATACCATATCGTGAAACAAAAACAATAAGACCAGTGAGATAATAAGGTTTGCCGAATCTGGAAAGTAATTAGTCATCATCTATATAGGTACCACCTAAGGCAAGAAGGTATTGCTCCCGACCCGCGGCGTAACACCCGCCTCCCCGACCGGAGTCTTAACGGCGAACAGGAGCCGCAGGTGGGGCTATCGGTCCGGATGGTCTCGGCAGTTCGGTCAGCGACCACAGCTTCGCCAGGCTACACATCCCCCATCCCCCCCCTCCAAAAAATTAATACCGAAGGAAATTATAAGGATGGAATTCGTAAGGTAGGAAATATTAACGCAACTTTAAGAAATGCGAATGACTACCAACTCTAAGTCATTACGAGCAGCAAGCTCGCAGAATCAACTATCTCAACTCAACAACCTAATTCAGTACTTTGTCCATATCTTGTAGGCACAATTTAGGCAGCTTCCTCCTCATCCTGATCATCGCTTCCCTCGTCGACGGTATGATCCCGGCCCCCGTCCTTTTTCTTGCCCCTATTCTTATTGTCCCTCTCTCCCGCCTCAACCCACGCGTAGTAATTATCAGTCCAATCGTCGACCCAATGCTCACCTGCCCCAAGAGGAATTCTTTAATGGACTTCGCGGTAGCAGAATACTCAGCCTCGTTGAAAGGCGGGCGCTGACCCGGGTCTCGAGCCAAGACCTCATAAGCTTCGATGAGCAACTTGACGAGTCGAACGAACACCGCCGAGTCGACTTGTCACGTCCAGTTCATGGAGAGCCGCAGTTTCTTGACGAAAGCGACGACACCGTGTGCCTTCAACTCGGCTATGATTTCGGGGTTGGCGGCGGTGATGAACATATCGGCGAGTTCTTGGTCGACGGCGTGACGTGACTCGGTATTGGGCGCTTTGCCCGGTGGGATGATGCCGGCGCCCTCGAGGGCCTTCTTTACATTGATGTCTCTGCGCCTGCCACCTAGTATCCAGGGACCGCGCGAATGAATCATACCCGCGCGGGGGAGGAAGGCGACGAGTTTAGACTAGCGTCCTGGCATGGCGACGAGCTGATACGTCGAAGCTAATATCCGTAGATGAATAAGAGAAAAGGTTCCTGATGTAGCTGGTGCTATTTGCCTGTGTAGATATGGTGGTAGTATTTTTCCTCAATGTGGAATAGGGGTTGTTTGATTGAAGAAGCAGAGAATTGTAGATGTTTCTGACAGGAGAGGACCGTTACGGAGCACTAAAGTTCTGGAGATGTATAGCAACACAGTTATAAAAAGCGAGGTGGAGCCTGGTGGGAATTACTACACCGTATGGCAGGAGCGTCTAATCGTACTTCCTTGACACCAGACCGCACGCGCCAGCTCAAGTTTGCAAATACTCAATCCAAGTAACTACCTTTATGAACTATGCTCTAACAGCTCTGCATGATCCCTTATCAGAAGTGGCTACTCACCTCCTAACCCACACAGTTAATGTGCAAGGGGCCTGATAGAAAGCCAGTGGTGAATTGAGCATGTTCAATATCGGTACTCTAGGTTACCTAAGTAGAGAGCGGTACATCGTAGGAAGTTTTAGGAGATTCCCCTATCGCCGCAAGGGACTCCTATTGCCGACATGAAGACAAAGTAGCTCTTCAGACAAAGAGATTATTGATGCATGTATAAAGTAATCCCTGTAGCAACTACCTGCGCTCTCTTTGTGCATGTTCAACCCCCCCCTCCCCCCACATGGTTAGTCTTATGATAGGTATATAATGACAAATAAATACTATGTCTCTAACGATTGAAGAGACACTTGGTCAAGTGGTTAGATACTATGTATGAGCTAAGCCTTGTTAAAGGCTCTGGGTTCGATCCCCAGGTTGCGCGCTACTCCTTTCCGGCTGGAGCTGAAAAAGATGGTGGACAACTGTTTAACCCTTGATACTTCGGCGTCTTACCTTGTGCGGTACTCCAAACCATCAGTTGTCCGCTTTATGAGGGTCCTGGGGGTATTAAGCTCTGATTCTTCAATTTCCATTCTTTTTTTTTTTTTTTTTAATCTTTTACATGTTCGTCCTACCTCTTACTCACTTTTATCACACTCGAAGTTTGCCACTGATATTTTTGAGGTGCCTATTGCATATGGTATAGGTCACCCAACCTTGCACGAAACGATATGAATTTTCATATACATTATTTCGATTATCCATAATATTGATGCTACGTATCTTGAACGTAATCCGGTACGGCACATAGCGCAGTAGGCCGTATTTTTGCACGCGATAAAGTATTCACTGACAACTTCAACCATACCGATATATGCATGTCAATGAATGCATGTAGATATCTACAATCCAATCGCTTCAATCTTTCACAACCAGGGAAAACCCGCCGCTAACGAGCGCCTGGCATTCAATATAAAAAGTCGGAAACAGGTTGCGAAGGACGAGCACACAAATAGTCCGTGGATCACCGTCGTCGTTTTAGGATTTAGGGGGTTTACCACGGAGGTACTTGGGTACCTCCGTAGGGCTGATAATCTGCACCCCGGGATCTAGATCGATTGCCGTTTTTAGATCGATCTCGCATCCACGATGACGTATGAGCGTGTCAAAGGGTGTCGTTATCTAGAGGGGGGTGTAATGTACGAAAAAGCAAAATCCAAAGAAAATAAACATAAAATAGTGTTTTTTCCCCTCGGGAACGTTTCTGACTCGTATCTTATTCCGACATTTTTATTTAGCCCAGTTTAATGCTTTGCTCCTCGTTGAATCGTATTGCTTGTTGCTAGTATAAATCAGTCACGTCTAGTCGCCCGCTTTTAGTTGTAAAGCGAGTCCGTTGTACGAAACCGATATTTCAATTGCAATTACAGTTCCAATTAAAAAATTATTCCAAAATGCCGCCCAAAAGAACCGCGAAGCAAAGAGTCACAAGCGCCGACGAAACACCAAACAAAAAACCCAAAATCGAAAACGCATCATCTGACCCGCTACGAGAACCACACCATTTCGCAGCTGAGGCCGAAGAACACGGCATCGTACTACGCAAATACTACCCTCCAGAAATGAGTAATGCGCGCGCGCAAGCATACAACGACAACACACTCCCGCGACCCATCGAGCAACTCGAAGCCGCGCTAGAAGAAACAGCGTCAGCGCGTAAGGATATACAAGTCGGTGAAGCAGTGATACATTGGTTCAAGATGGATCTGCGAACAACTGACAACCGCGCATTATGGGAGGCGAGCCAGAAAGCGCAAGAAGCGGGCGTGCCGTTGATATGTGTGTACATCGTGAGTCCCGAGGACCTCGAGGCGCATTTTACGGCGCCCGTGCGTGTAGATTTTATGATCCGTACTTTGCACGCGCTAAAGGCGGATTTGGTGGAGTTGGATATTCCGTTGTATGTTGAGACTGTGGCGAAAAGGAAGGATATACCTGAACGTATCGTCGATTTCATGCAGGAATGGGGCGCGAATCATTTATACGCTAATATCGAGTACGAGGTCGATGAATTGAGGAGGGAGGCTAAGATGGTGGGATTGTGCGCGGAGAAGGGGTTGGCTATGATGCCATTTCACGATACGTGTATTGTAGCGCCGGGTGCATTGCATACGGGTACTGGGAAGCAGTATGCGGTTTACTCGCCGTGGTTCCGGGCTTGGGTCGCGCATATCCATGCAAATCCAGAACTTCTTAGCCCCTTTGATCCTCCGGCGAAGAATCCGCCCGATGCCCGTGAGAAGGTGGCTGCGCTATTCGATTACGAGATACCAGATGTACCGGAAAACAAGCGGTTGTCTGAAGAAGATGCGAAGAGATTCGGTGCTACTTGGCCCGCAGGTGAACGCGAAGCTATGGATAGGCTTGACAAATTCTGCGAGGAGAAAATCGCACAGTACGGAAAAAAGCGTAACTTCCCTTCCGAGGCGGCGACGTCCTCAATATCAGTCCATCTAGCGGCTGGAACTCTGTGCGCGAGGACTGCGGTGCGTACTGCGAGAGATAGGAATAAGACAAAGAAGCTGGATGCAGGGGTTGAGGGAATCCAAGCTTGGATCAGCGAAGTTGCCTGGCGGGATTTTTATAAGCATGTTTTGGTTCATTGGCCTTATATATGGTAAGTCCGAGCGCATTTATGTCTCCATTCCTCAATAAGAATGTCGTGCTAACGAATCACAGCATGAACAAACCGTTTAAACCCGAATACTCTAATATTGAATGGTCTTATAATTCGGCACATTTCGAGGCATGGTGTCAAGGACGTACCGGCTTCCCAATGGTCGATGCCGCGATGCGACAGGTCCAAGGCATTGGGTGGATGCATAACCGATGCCGAATGGTCGTGGCCTCCTTCCTATGCAAGGATCTACTACTGGATTGGCGTATGGGCGAACGATTCTTCATGGAGAATCTCATTGACGGCGACTTCGCATCCAATAACGGCGGATGGGGCTTTAGCGCGTCCGTCGGCGTTGATCCGCAGCCGTACTTTCGCATCTTCAACCCTTTGCTTCAGAGTGAGAAATTCGATCCCGACGGTGACTATATCCGTAAGTGGATACCGGAGCTTAGTGGGATTAAGGGGAAAGCTATTCATGATCCGTATAATCGGGGCGCTGCGGCGGAGGCTAAAAAGGCGGGATACCCCGAGCCGATTGCGAATCATAAGGAGAGCAGGGACCGGGCGCTTAAAGCGTATAAGGCGGGCATTGATGGGGACAAGCCATGATCTTAGATTGAATTATTTTGTCGAAATATCCATCGGATCACTTTTGTAGGGGACAGGGATCGGTTCGAGGCGTTAGTTTCTGACGGTGCTTTTGGAACAATTATGTTTGCGGTTTTCATCTAAGTCTATATTGAATCATTTTAAGACCGCGTGCTGAAATGTCTCGACTCGTCGCTATATCATGAAATTGAGGGAACAACGACAGGGTCCAAATATTGTAGCAGAGCTTAGGGGAGTTCCGCTAATGCCCTAAGCCTGTAATTTCCTTCGGCATCGGGTATGGACTCCTTTCTGGATATTCAAGTTTACCTAATGAGAGAAAAGGGAATAGTTCATCAAAGAGATAATCTTAGAGTAATTGTACCTATATATAGTTTTCGTCGTGACAATGAGTGTAACTGTCGTGGTGCTAGAAATTATGAACTCTCATGGCGTCGATTGAGAAAGAATAGCGGAGCGTAGGCGCTGTCCCAATTCCTTCTAGGGGAGTTGTAGGCGATCACTTGATTACCTAATAGCTATGGAGATCTAATGAACCTCGGCATCGCCAACTTGATCGCTCACCTGATTCCGTTCTCCTCACACATGACCTTCTTGGTTCAATTAATGTAATAAAAAATGCCATTGAGTGTTTCGAATTCACTGGTTATATCAATAAGGAACATCGCATCACGGCGGTCTACTCTTTACCTACGTGGAGGTCCTTTTCAATTGATCGGATCCATCCGATTAATCTCATCTCACTCTGTGCGGGCCATCGGAGTATCTCCGAAAGCGTGCGAAAGCTACCACCAATCGCCAAGCACCGCATTATGTTCCATAGTATATAAAAGTCGTTACATGTATTCCACCAGAACCCTCACAATGCCCCAAAAGATGCAGACACCAGCAGAACCCGCCAAAAAGGAAGTAGGGACACCACGCCCCAGCGCAAGCGTCATCCTCCTCTCCCCCGAAAACGAAGTGTTATTACTACACAGAGTGCGGACATCATCCGTATTTCCAGAGGCCCATGTATTCCCCGGCGGCAATCTATCCGAATTCCACGACGGAAGTATTCCGACGGCGGATAGTGCCGATCGGCATACGGACTCGCTAGCTTATCAGCTCGGAGCGATCCGAGAGACGTTCGAAGAAAGCGGGATTTTGATTGCGCGGGAAAAGGGTGGAGATGGGGAACTCTCGAATGTATCTAACGCCGATCGGGATAAGGCCCGAAAGTCTATTTACAAGAATGAAGTCCGCTTCGTCGAATGGCTTGAGAGTGTTGGTGGAGTCGCGGATACAGGTAATTTTTTTTTTCGGATGGATCCGTCGGAAGTTATCCGGAAAATCGGGAACTAAACGCCATATAGATAATCTCATACCTTTTACGAGATGGATCACGCCGCTCGGCCGCATGAGCCGGTTTACTACGCAGATGTATATTTACATGCTACCGCTGTCAAATAATAGCGGAAATAATACCGACCCCGCTATATCAACCGCGCAATCTGAAGCCCATGTCCCAACGCCCGACGGCGACGTCGAGATTACGGCTGCACGTTTCGATACCCCTAGCACTTGGCTGGAGAAACAACGACAGCGTGAAATTATTATGTTCCCGCCGCAATGTTTTTTGCTGCACTTGCTTTCGCAGTTTCTAACCGGGCCGCCGGAAGGTTCGTTAGGTTCAAGGGAATTGGTGGAGTATTATAGAGCACAGAGGGATAAGTTGAAGGACTTCCTATCGGAAGTACCGACGGCGAATGAACCGAGCGCGGCGGAACATCCGACGGCTCGCATCCCGTGGGCGGAGAAGGTGATTAGTCCGACAGTCCTAGGTATTCGGTCGAGTGATAAGAGGTCTATATTAGCACTTGATAAACCCGGTCCGGAGCTCAAGGGAAGTGATAGAGGTGGTGATTGGGAAAGAGTTGTATTGGTGAATTTCGCGAAAGGGGTAGCTAGAGATGTTGAGGTTAGGGGTAGAAAGGAAGTGCTTGAAGAAGAGAGGAGATTGGAGAATGCATCAAGAGAGCCGAAGCTATGAGTTTTGCTTGGATTCTAGTAGATTAATCTAGCTGCACTATTAGGAAGCTAACATCTCGATGGCTGGTATAGAATTGTACATACATATAGCAAGATGATATCCTTCGGAACTTTGCCGAAACTTGTAACCCCTATTCGCCATCAGAGGAGAACACCGTGTTTTCCGCAATGCCACACTGTCCAATTTTCGGATAACCTCCGAAAGTTAGCCGGCTTACAACTCCGATCCGCTTTCGGCGCACCTGCACACAAACTTATGTAACAACAACAATATCATAGAAGAGTCAGCTAGCGCGCCAGGCACCGCGACAATTATTAGGACATTGGTTCGGAGGGGATATAGTACCCCTAAATCATGGCTACGACTTCACCCCCCTACCACCCACGCGTTGGTGTCGCGGCGCTGATCCGCGATGCACAGGGTCGGTTTGTCATGGGGAAGCGGAAGGGGAATCACGGTGGTGGTACGTCTCCCTTCTTCCGATCCTCTTTTTCAACAACCCCTTTTCGTGTGGATGGCTAATAATCGCACTAGGTACTTGGCAATTCCCCGGCGGCCACCTAGAAATGGGAGAAACACTAATAGCATGCGCCGAGCGCGAAACGCTTGAAGAGACGGGACTAAAAGTCAAGGGGCTCAGAGTAGCAGCCGTAACGAATGCGATATTTGATCCGCAGACGAAACACTATGTCACGGTGTTTGTGATGTGTGAGCGGGAGAATGAGGAGGACCAGCCGGTGGTGAGGTTACTTTTTATTGCCCCCTCCTTTTCTTTAGTTTACTTGGTGCTAGTTGAGTATGAAGCCATGGTACTAATAGGAGTCTAGATCTTGGAACCGGAGAAATGCGAAAGTTGGCATTGGATACCATGGGACGATGTGAAGCGGTGGTGTGAACATCACGGTGACGAGGTGACGCCGGAGTGGGCTAATAATAAGTGCTTCATGCCTATCTTAGAGCTGGCTCGGAATTATCCGCAGTTGGATTCTTTCATGCTGTGAGGACTACCTGTTATAGAATTTATTATGAAGATAGATCGTGGTTATTGACATGGATGAACGTCTTGGTATCACGCCAATTATTAGCACCGCTCTAAATCTTTCTGAATATTGACTCCACGACACCACTATCTATCTTCAATCACCAGCGAGAATGCGCCGCTGTCTTGATTGGTATTATAGATTATTCTCAATCACCGCCAGCTCCGCCATCTGCGCTGCAATATTCTGCTTCGCCGCATCAGTAGGCTCGATATAAGGGCGTCTCGGCTTCAATTTCTCCACTGCACCCTCAATACCCGCCGCCTTCGCCGTATGAATTGCCGCCGCATACTTCGTTGCGGCAATACCGGCCTTACAGGGCTGTTCAGCCAATGCAGCTTTCTGATGTAATGCTAGCGCTTCCTGGTACTTCCCTTCCTTGTATAACTTGTAGATCTGGACGATGCTCTTAGGGAACACATTCCCGAACGCAGCGATACATCCCGCGGAGCCCACACTCAGACCTCCGATCAAGAAATCGGACTGGCCTCCGAAAGTTGCGAAACGCTCCGATGGCAACTCGGCAGCGAGGCGCGTGATCTTTGCCACGGAGCCGCAGGTCAGTTTCACACCTACGATGTTGCTGTGCTGATTCGCCAGCTTCGCGATAGTCGCGGAGTCTAAATCAACCCCGTTGCAGACGCCGGGGAAGTTGTACAGCACGACGGGAAGAGGACTCTCGTTGGCGATGTCAGCGTAGAAGTTCTCGATGACGGCCTGAGTGGTTGCTTTCCCGAAGTAGCCCGGCGGCAACACAAGGACGTAGTTGGCACCGGCCTCTGCTGCATCGACGATGAATTCTAGAACTTGGCGTGTGGAGTGACCACCACAGCCCGCCATGATTGGGAAGGATGGCCCGACTGCTTGACGGGCCGTTTGTAGCAATGTCTTCCGCTCCTCGCGGGTAAGTAGGAAAGTTTCGGCATTGGTTCCTAGAATTACAAGACCAGCAAGACCGGTTTTGGAGAGATAGGAATAGTATGTTGCTTGAGATTCTGTGTCTAATGTATCGGTCTTTGGGTCGAAAAAGGTAACTGCTGGCGTCCAGATGCCGCTTGGAGGAACTTTCGGAAACGACATTGCGAATCTATTTTAGGAAATCCTTCCTTTCTTCTTTCTATTTTAATATATTAATATTTTATAACCTGCTAGTTGATTGATGCTGGTGATGCCTATAATATAGTCCCGATTCGGGGACGTGGGGTCGTCGGTTGGGCTAGTTCGGTACATTTAGGCCGACCTTGGCAGTCCGCTCTCGGCATAAGAGGATCCTAAGACTTCCGAGAAATCGAGAAATCCATTCAAAATATCTACAATAACCTTGGATTATCTTGCTAGAATTCGCGAGTATCATCAAAATATTATCATACGAAGATAATAAACCTTGAATCGGGGCTAGTCTCTGCTTTAGCGGTCATAATGAGCGGGTAATCGTTCCGAATACTGCTGCATTTAGGTGGGTTTGGAGCGGGAGGATCGCCTGGACCTTCCCGGAAGACATTGATCTCTAGTACTCGAGACTATGGTATCATTATTGTTTTGTCATAAATATTGAAATCGACGATCTTTGATATCTTAAGCTTGCGTAAAAGTACGAGTATTATATTTGGGGTTGGTCATATTGGGTACGCTGGAATCGCGATCTTGAATTCAAGTGTACCCAAACACTCAAGCGCTATAGGGCGAGGAAATCGTGAGATATTTTGACTTCTTCTTTCTGAGGAGTTAGCATGTTAGTTGAACAAATCGGAAAGATTCTATTTCTCAATTTGATCATGAGACTTTGGTAGGGGTTGCGTTGAGGGTTCAAGTTGCAGGTGGGTTCCGGGGATCGAATGGGGATTTGAAGTGAAGAAAATATTATGTAATAACCTATCGATAAGCACCGATAAAGCCCTGCTTATGCACATGCACAATTCTTGCATTAGATGGAGCCATGCATTCTGCGCATCATCTGCTCTGGATCAATTGTACATCTTTATACTTTATACAAACCCTTGCTCGTTTGTTCGTCGTGCCTCGTCGCGCCCAGGTAGTGCGACTTAATAACTTTTATTCAATACCCCTACTTGTCGCCTTCGATGAATAATAGACATCACATTTAAGCAATCTATCTATGGGTTGATTTGACTTACTGTGGTCCTCTATCGAAGAGGACCATGAAGCTACCACTACTAATTCGCATATCTGCAGTGGCCAAGCGACGCGCGCGCCATTGACGACATGTATAACCAAAATAAAATTGTGAGGAGATTACTCGGCCGACAGAACCCAAATACCCCTCATGATGGAAATCTCGGTGTTACGAGCTCGCCCGTCCCACAATCCTTCCGACCTAATGCCTCTCAAGACGCGATTTACTCTTCCGCAGCACCCGTAGCCTGCCTTGACAGGTCTCCCGATGGCCAGACTGCTGTGTTGGGTGGTCGCCATATTCTCAAGACAATTCACTTCGATGGATTGCAAATTAAAGAGGGCTTCGACATCCGCGCCGTTATTGCGAATAAAAGCAACGCTGCAAGTTTAGCATCCGACCAACTATCTATAAAAGATGTCAAATTAGCATCAAACCACGGCAGTGACCTATGCATATTTACCGCTTGCGCAAATGGGAAAATATTTATGTATGATATAAGTCGTTTGGGATTAGGAGCTGGACTCGAGACTATACAGATTAGGGAGGACTCGCGACAGATTAATGTACTCGATTTTAACCCCCATCGAGGAACGTTGCTGTTGTCGGGAAGTCAAGATGGGACCGTGCGCTGTTTTGATGTGAAAGCACCGATACCTAGTCGAACCGGCCCAACATTCCGAACAGTCCAGGCTTTCCGCTGCAATGCCGATGGAGTTAGTGATGTCAAGTGGTCGCCAAAAGATGGTTTCGTTTTCGCTTGCGCTACGGATTCCGGTGTCGTATTGAAATGGGATATTCGAAAGGCTTCTGCGCCGATTCTAAAAATTAATGCTCATGATACTCAGAAGGGAGCTTCTTCGATCTCATGGCACGCCGATGGTGACCATTTAATTAGCGCTGGGCTGGATAGTAAATGCTATGTTTGGGATTTGTCTGGAAATGCTGGGAAGAGGCAAAAGCCCAAGTGGACGATCAGCGCTCCGGCGCCAGTCACATCTGTGGCTTGGAGGCCCGGTCTTTGGTCTGCTACTGCGCAAGGACGTCGAGCTGCCCAAGTTGCTGTGTCATATGGTGGAGGTGCACATGCCAAAGAACACGGCATTAGCTCGGTGCATATCTGGGATCTAGCACGTCCAACAATGCCTTATAAGGAAATCGACATATTCGATAACGCACCTGGCGCTTTACTCTGGCACGATCAGGATTTACTATGGACTGCTGGTCCCGATGGTTTCTCTCAATGCGATATTGCATTCGCTCCGAGAGTTATAGATCGTCAGCCACTTTCAAATCTTGCCTTTTCCTCTCGAGGAGAAGCGCTCATGTTCCTTGAGGAAAGGATAGAGTTATCCCGACCCCGCCCGATGATTATGGCGCATCAAGGACTTCCTACCTCATCGTATAGCTCTAGTCCAACTGGCCAGATGCTCAGCGTCAGTCGTAGTGATTCGGAGGAGGACGTAATTGGTAGCTTTCTCGGCACAAAACGCCGTGCAGCTGACAAGCGTCGAGCAAACCGCTCAACTACTAACTTGAGTACAACGCCTCCATCCGGTACCGGCGCAGAAGATCAAGTTCTTCCTTTAGAACAGGGGATAAAGGTAACCGGACCATTTAAACCTCATCAGGTTATGGCGATTGGACCAATTCCCGCTGCTCCGAAAACGCATATATATCGTTATCTTTCCCGGCAGTACCTGGAAATCCTTGAACAGGAACTGCCACATTCTGAAGGAGGAGGACCTTTGAATGGCAGGGTTACTAAGATTATTGAGCGATATGCACGGGCTTCAGAGAGTGCCAGCCAGTTTCGACTCGCACAGACATGGCGTATCCTATCATACGCTATCAGTCTACTGCTTACTCGACGATCTCAATACCACTTAGAGCAGCGTTTAGTGCGTCGCGAGAAGTCATACCTTAGCATCGATAAAGCTATCCACGATACCAAGTTATCATTCTCGAAAGCAGACATATCACCGCAACTCAAGACTAATGGGGAGGACACCCCGAGGAAGCCGCCTTCTATAACTTCCCTCGAGGGCCGCCATTTATCGAAATCATTACTTGCTGATGAGATAGACAGCGAATCTAATGTTCCAACGCCATTAGCTCGACCTGTAAAGGAAGATACTAATCATTATCACGATTACGTTGCCTCAAAAGTATTGACCCCCGTCTTAGAGATGGAGAGCTTCAACTTACCACCTGCTATCTTACCGGATAGTGTTAGTCCACGGAAGAGGACTAATTCCATATCTCTCTCTACGCTGAGTCATGAAAGCCAGAAATCAAGTACGGAAGGATACGATTTCTATGATTTAGATGCCATCGGAAATATTCCGAATGCGATCGATGTTCCAAGGGGAAAGAGTCCGCTGGTTCTTGACTATGGACCGGGATCTCCGAACAGACAACGAAAACCCATAGCTAGGCATGATTCGGAAGAAAGCTACGCACAGATATTCTCTTTATCAGACACCAGCAGACAAACTTCGATTCTTACTAGTTCATCAGGCGGCAGTGGCAGTCGAATTTCTAGAAGAAATGATACAGATCACGAGAGTTTTGGCGATGTCGACACGGAGTACGGAAGTAGAATTAGGGGTAAACGGATCGAGGGATCCCCCGAACATACGAGATATGCAGTTAGGCATCCTGTACAAAGGCAGGACTCCGATACATTGACGGATGATTATAAAACCTCCCAGACGACTAGTGATACTGTGGATAGCGAGCCATCACATCAGCTTCACCAACGTCCTTCTCTGAGACATTCAACTCCTGGGTTAGTTCTACAAACAAAACTCTTCCAACAAAATTCCGTCACGGACCCACCGGAAGATCATCCATCACCGCATATCACTGAGACGGATTTTCTCCCTTGGGAGCATGATCCTCCTTACCCACACCCGATAGCAGCCGAAACTAAAGCGAAAATGCCTATCCCGCCTATAAATCCATATGATGTCCTATCACGCGCCCTTGCATTCGAGTCCAAACACTCGGCCTTGAACGCATCCGCTATGATTCTTCTCCTGAAACCCCTCGTTCCTAACGACGTTATCGATTCATACCAAGCGACGGCTATTCTCCGACAACATCATAACCGTCTCATGAATTTGAAATTGTTCATCGAAGCCGCTCTCCTGCGTAATCTTTGCGTCCGTGGTTGGCCAGAGGGTCTTGATACCTGGGGCGATAATTACACGTCGGTTTTCACGCCTGCACAGGTTGGCGTGCAAGCAGTTTTTACGTGTTCGCAGTGTCACAAACCACGTGAGATCGACCACTCACAGACAGATGGCCCTGGTATATGGAAATGCGAACGGTGCCGTGCCGTAATGGCGCCCTGCGCGGTCTGCGGACACCGCGACGCGACGGCAGATTCACCTCCGATAGTACCCCTTTCCGAAGGCTTTACCAAAGCAGCAGCATCCGAGAAATTTAATGAACCTATGTTATCAACGTGGTGGTACTGCCCCGGGTGTTCCCACGGGGGCCACGCGAACTGTCTGCAAGATTGGCACGCACCCATCACTCCACCCCCAAACCCCCCCTCTTCTACCACGATATCTCCTACGACTCCCCTCGATGGTCCCTTCCCCGAGACTAATAGCGATGGATGTTGTCCCTTCGATGGCTGCGGCCACGCGTGTCTACCCGGTAAATGGCGTAACGAAACAACAGCCGCCCGATCCGAAGAACTAGGTCGCGCGGTGCGCGAGCATACCCGTGGAAGTGTATCAATCGGTAGTTCTGGGGTTGGTATTAAACGCGCGAAGGAGAGGAAGGGGAGTAGTGCTGCTACATCCCTTGCTACGACGCCGTCTTCGACTGCGACGTTTATACGCGGCGATAGTATTGAAGTGCCCCAGAGTAGGGCTGTGGAGAGTGTCCGGGAGGCGCTTTCTGGCGCCGCGGAGATTATTGGGGGGGTTGGGGGGAGTGGAAGTGGAGGGAGTAATGGGTTGGGAGGTGGTGGGGGGTTGTTGGCGGGGATTTTGAGCTCGAGTCCGGGACGTAGTGGGGGGGTTTCTGGGGGAGGAAGTGGGAGTGGGGTGCCGGAGCGGAGGAAGAGTGTTAAGTTTGCTGCGGGGGAGAGGGAGAGGGAGAGGAGGTGAAGAATGCTGCTTATGCTGCGTTATATGCGTGTCCTGGTATATATGGGATAAGCGGGCTACTACCGAGAACTACAGAGTTGAGGATTGCGGATTATAATCACAGAATCGGGGGGCGGGACACCACAGTCGACATGCTATCACTGCTTATACCCTAGCTTGGAAGACGCACGGGTAGAGGCCCGTTGTTTGGATTAGTGTACTATATGAATTAACCACGGGGTTGAGTAATGTGGATTAGAATAGGGGAAGATGGAGATGATTAGTCATCCGGAATAAGGGGCTAGTGTGCCTCATGTTAGACGAATGGAAACATGCTTCAACGCTTGAATAGCACCTTAAAGATGGGGACATCTCAATATTGTGATAAGTTCACAGAAGAATGTCACGAGTTGTAGGACGTTTTTTAAATATCCGCCCATCTTAAGGTAGTCCATTACTAGATCATTTCTTCCCCATTCTTTTCATCGTCTAGATAAGTGTGTATACATCTCGCTCCTTTCTTTTGTTGAATTCCTAGTTTTCTTCTTTTCTTCTTTTCCTCTGGAGGAAGGGGGTATCGCATCTCTTCTTATGTTCTCAATACTTAACAATCGATCCATCTTTTCTTACATCGAGCTTCTACAAGCTCTCCCTTCGGTTGTTTATCAAGTAGTTCCCGTCACTTTAAGCATGTGCTCCAACATTCTCCCTCAACCCCTTCGTTCGCAACGTAAGTTTCGTGGCACCCTCATCGAACGGCAAGCCTATACTATCACCTCCCGAACCCGAACCTGAAGACGGAGACGGGCCATCAAAGACTAGCGTAGGAATACCATTCTCCTTACCACCAGAATCCGCAGCAGCAGCACCAACACCACCACCACTAGAAACCCTCCCCATAAGCGCCTCCCTCTGCCTCCCACCCCCAGCCCTCGCCTCACTATCCGCGCTCCCAGGTCGACTCCCCGCCGTACTCACACTAGCACCATCATCCACACCCCCTCTCCCACTTTTCGTCAACCTACCCGCCCAAAGCCCTCTTACCCCGCCTCGTTTACGCTCCGGCACTTCATCACGTCCCGCGCTACACACATAAAGTAAATACTTCAGATTCGGTAGTGTATGCCGTATATCCACAACCTTTAACCCCGCCGCCGAGCACAAGGCCTCGATATCTTTATTTAGTAAAAACCACGCGTAATCGAATCTATACTGCGCTGTAGCTCCACCGCGTAGGAAGAGCGGAAACTCGCGTTGGGAATCGGGGAGCAGGGATATATCATCGCGGATACTACACCGCGAACCGAGGGGTGAGATTGGGTATGGGAGAGGTACGAAGAGGTAGAATTGTAGATGGTGGGTTAGTTGCGCTACGTAGCCTAGGCCTGCGGATAACGCGTCTTCGGTTGCGGAGGAGAGGGTTGGGTCGTAGTCCGTGTTTGGTAGGGGGATGTTGCATATTCGGAAGGAGAGAGGCGCGCCTGAGGGTACCGGGGTAATCGGGAAGATGTGGGCGAGGTCTTCGCATATACGACGGCGTTGGCCGTGGATGCTTTCCTTTGTAGCTGCTAGTAAGGTACGTGAGGATGGAAGTTTGGATTGCGCGTGTGTGACGTCGTCCGCGGCTTTGGCCTGTGCGGCTCGGCCTTCTTGGATTGCGGTCCGTCGTGTTGCGATTGAGGCCTGGAGCTCGGCTTTTCGGGCTTGGGAGGCGCGGAGAGCGCGGGTTTGGGCTGATACGTATTTAGATACGAGGGAGGCGGATTCTTGGGCTTGGGGAACGGTGTCCGGGGGTACGCGTTCGAGGATTGAGTTTATTTGTGCGGTGAGGGCTTCGCGGGTTGCAAGGGCGTCTTGGATGGATGTGTCGAGGTTGGAGAGCTTCATTAACGCGTTGTAGGACGATGTGGGAAGGGTGGGAGCCTGTTTCGGTTCGGGTCGCTTGCTGGATAGGTCGAGGGAGTATAAGCCATCGAGTAGTTGGAAGACGAGGCAATTTGGGGGGAAGTGGTGGTTTCGTAGGCTTCCAAGATAATTCAAGGAGCGTAGGTCGACATGTTCGGTTAGGAGCAAGCTCCAGGACAGCTGTCGTTTAGCCCATATTTTGATGACGAATTGGGATCGCCGCGTGACGGGTAGTCCGGCTTGGGATAGGTCGAAAAAGCGGAAGTTGAAGTTGATTGCTCGCTCCCCTATTTCGCTGATGTAGATCGGGTCTTCATCTTCTTTGCAGTGCAGCGAGAAGAACACGTCGGCGGCTCTACCTTCGATGGTGTACTCTAACTGTTTCTGACGTGTGATGGGACTTATGTTTGCTAGGGTAGTGCTACGTCGTCGAGCATTGGCTCGTGTCGGTATCAAACTCTCGGAGGAATGAGCATGATGCAATTGTGGTGGAGGACCATCATGTAAAGCTTGGAGCTTGTTGGAAGGGAGGTCCGCTTCTAGATCGTCGGCGGCTCTACCTTGTGGTCGTGTGAAACTTAGATTCCGCAGGTGGATTCCTTGAAGATGCCGCAGGCGCCTGTTCTGTGGCAGCATTATGGATGTGCTGCTGCGTGGGCAGCGAGCGCACGTGGAAGATCATGGATGAAGGTAGGAAATAAATCTGGCGATGACGAATTTTTGGCGGCGCGACCTACAGCTATTCAGGTACCCGAGTAGGTACTTTTATTACGTAATACACACAGTAATCAAGCTTGATTATATAATGGCTGGGGCTAAATGTCTTGGCTCGCTACATAAGCGCACACTGTACGTAATCTCGTCCCTCACAACTTAAATCTACAATCCAAGCTTAACATCAACAACATCAACAACATCATCGGTCTTCGGAAGCGTACCTAGGGAGCTATAAAAATGCCTATCAATCCAATTTGCTACGTTAACGACGTAGCTATATGTAGGCAATACCTCCTTTTTAATGTAGTACTACCCAAATGCCATGACCGATTGGATGAATTTCATTCTGTCAGCCTAATATCTGTTAATGACGCCGTAGCCTGCAGTTCAACTTGCCAATCAAGGTCTGCTTGACTAGCGCCGAACAAAAGCCTCGAGGCAGTGCAATTTATAGATAATAAAAGCCGCTCTGGACTAATATTTAAATGCCTTCACATTTTTCAATCCCGCCTTCCTCGCTTTATCAGGACAATACTATCGATCATGGCTGAAGCACTTGGAATTGCAAGCAGTGGAATTGCGATCGCACAAATCGCTAGCCAAGTTGGCGGCGCTGTATTTAAACTGAAACGTCTTTGGGATGAGGTGAAAGATATTCCCGACGATATCGCCGATCTAATGGAGCAGATTGATTGCCTGGATCCAATCCTATGGGAAGCTGGAAATACCCTCGATCAAAGTGGTTTGCCGTCGATAGTTTGGAATGAACTCGCTTCAAAGCCGACTACAACGTATTGCCGCAAGGCTCTCCAGGACCTTACTGAGATGGCCGACGATCTAAGTTTCCAGATTAATAGTTCTTAAAAGGGCCGTAAGAAGATAGCATCCATGAAAGTCCTACTGAAAAAAGATGCCCTCAAGAAGTTAGAACGACGGCTTGAAGCCGCGATCAGGATGTTAACACTAGCCCAGCAATCCTATCTAGTGTAAGCAATGCACCAAGACACGTCACGTCGCAACTAACCATCCCCTAGAGCTCTCACGCGAGTGCAACCCGATATCATCGTTCATAAATTTGCGGTTTTAACGGCTCAACGAAGTCAACCCAAATCCCAACTGGTGAGATATGTCTCAACGGAGAAGAACGAACGGGACAGTTCAGATTCCGCCGAGACACACACAAACCAGGCAGGCGTGATTAGACACGACCGGTGGTCCTATCGGGGATTCAGAAAGCCTAGCATTTTTGGTACATTCCAGGTCGGCTCTTCTTCCACTTGGGGTCAAACAGTTCTGCTCCAAGCGCCGGCATGGCTTTCGCAGCGATCCTGGGAGTTACACGCCACTAGGGCCAAAGGCGCGTGGCAGTTAAATTTGCGCACCTATTCTATTGTACCTAAAGATAGCGAAGTCATGCGCCTAGCTGGAAATGGGTCTGTCGAAGAAATGCAAATGCTTTTTGATGCAGGGCAAGCGTCTCCTTTCGACCAGGACGAAAGGGGACTTACACTGCTCCATGTAAGCTCGTTGCGACACTCTTCCCTTCGTATTGCTAATATAGATATTCTTCTCAGCAAGCGACCCTCAGTGAAAGTTTTGTAATGGCTAAATACCTAATAAGCACCGGCCTAAGACCAGTGCAATACCTTGACCCTGAAAAAATGTAGGTGCGAAACCCCTACCCCATGGAAGCTTCTAACGAGGCTACTAGATCACCAGTAGAATTTATAGAGTTTATTGCCTCCCCATCCGCAAGACTTTCTTGGATTGAACAGACGTTAGACGATCCGTTTTTCGCTAAGAACCTTTTGGTTTTTCGAGTCTCAAGTTATTTCGATGCCGAAGATGACGGTGCACAAATGCCACAGCCGAGATGTTTCTGCAAATGGTTCATCCATGACTTTAAAAATTACAAGGCGGTTCTTCCGTACCAATGCCCGCAGCACCAGGTAACGTCTCTTGAATCGCGGTTGAAAGCAGCCTCGAGTGCTACGAACAACGGGTTGCAGTGCAGTCTACAAGTGGTCAAATATCTTATGGAGCCAGAATGGACAACTAAGCCCCGCAGCGTATGTTGTTACAATACAAGTTACCCGCTAATTTGGTCGGCGTTTCGCGGACTATGCTCCTCTACGGGCTTGCGTTCCAAGTTTAAGATATATCAGAGCAAACCCCCAGTTGCCAATTCAAGCGAAACTTCGAGTGATCGGGTCACGTTCCTAGCCAGTGTGATTAGGCACACTGATATGGAAATATACGAGTATAAGAATATATACAAAGGATCCACCCTAATGTGCGCACTATATACCATAGCAATTGCTGTAGCTCGGCGCATCAAACTGCCACACATCCACCACCAAAGACCCGCTCTAATACTAAAGTTATGGCTCAGAGCATTGCAGCTAGGCGGCATACATCTAAACAGGTATGGGCAACGTGAGAGTGATATTATAGCCGACACCTGTGCTCTCCGTCGGGTTGAAGTTGATGAGTGGAGCGATACATATATGTGGTCTGTCTATGTCTCTATATATCTAATCAGCTTCAAATTCGGGCCTGAACCCGAGGACTGGAAATTCTACTTCGACGAATCGACCGACGAATTCACCGGTGACTTCTGGAGGCTGATCGAGGATCCGCCACTGTGTATCCCAGGGTCATGGGTCAATTAGTGGCCGACAACCTCATGGCTTGGGATGTCGTTGACACAGGGCACATTGTTTTGACAACATTAAATTACGGATCACTATCTCCTATCAATGACTCCAAATCTATAACTACTTATATATACCGTCAATCATCATTGTATATAACGCTCGCTACCTTTCAAAACCCTCTATCTTCTTAGGAAGACGACGAATGTTTGCCCTTGCTAGCATTTTGATCCTGGTGATCCCGCTTACGAACCTTGGGCAGCCTTACTTCTCTCGGGTTCGTCTCCGATCCGACGCGTCTTTTTAGTCTTGTACTTGTTCGAAACATCAGTTACTTGCCATATTGCAAATGAAAGGAAGCGGCGACGAGAAAAGGGGGGCATACGTACGCTTTCCGCAGGTGCTCCGCCTGCTCTTCCGGTGGTGTGTCATCCTCCCACCCCGGAGATCCGATGACACCGAGCAGCTCGCGAAGTTGCTCGGCAGCCGACGATGTTTCGGGGCCTGTTGATGGAACTGGGCTCGGGCTCAAGCTCAAGTGCAGTGACGATATCATCGAAGATTGGCTTTGTCGCGCTTTTCCATTGCCTATTTTAGGATGCGGTGAGGTGTCTATCGCTTCGGGTAGAAGTCCGAAGTCACTAGGCTCAATTCCTAGGGAGAGTCGTTCGTATACTTGTATGTCACGGCGATATCTTTCCAGAGGGGGTTGCTCAGCTGTCGGGTCCCGCGGTGTGCTTTTTTGCATTGCGACGAGAGCCCTGTGGCTTAACATGGATGGAGTTCTAGGTGTTCCGGCCTCTGTGACAGCTTCATCGTTCGTTTGAGGACGTGGGACCGGCTCGTGACTTTGCGATGCGTAGGGAAATGAGGGGACAGAGCGTGCGTAACTATTAATGGGTCTGGTTAGACGAGCTCAACAATCTAGCAATGCGCGTCCAGATAGGCAAGGGCACTATGTATAGACATGTCTTACAGCGCTTCCCCACCATCGCTCAAGTCCAAGATAGTGTCGCTCGGAGAATAATCTTGAAAGCAGCGATCACCTTCCACAACGATATTCCTATCCCCCCCAATACCCTCGTATTCAATATCATTGAACTCGGCCATATTTGCGGCAGTGAGGCTATCAAAGCGCTTATCAAAGTACAAGAGGAATAGTCGCATAACACAACAGCGGCTCAAATATCGCAGCGAAACCTGGTATCAGGGCGTCCTTTAATACATGGTCCTCGGAGGGGTAACCATACGTTCCCACCACAGCCCCAGATCTCGCGCGACGGGTAACGACATCGAGGACTTGAGCCGCTACAACGACTACTACAACGCCCGCGACCCGATTTGCAGGGAATAATAAAAAGGCTCTCGCTAACCCTCTTGCCTTATCCTATTTCCCCACAATGAACCCGGAGGCCCGGGTAACTATGTTCGAACCAACTTCCGAATAGGTACGCGAACGAAAATTAAAAAGAAATGGGAACAAGGGACGGGACGAAGGTAAGGGTATGACCCATTCTGTCGGTCACGCTCGGCTCAGGAATCCTAGTCGCAATTCAGATATTGCTACCAAGAACAGGGACTGGTACCCAATGATAGGTTTCGGCAAGGGACGGATATGCACGAGTTGTGGGGTGCGACCATTCAGCTGGGACAGCAGCAACCCAATAATCTGGATGTGGCAGGGCTACAGCGTGTTAGTATCTTACGATCCCTGACTACAGAGATGGTGCAAAGAGCGGTGACACCACGGTTACCCTTTTTGAACAACGACGTGAGGCAGAGAAACACCTTTTTCTTCAGCGATACCAATGGAGTGTTTCTCCCATGCATATGAACAGTTGCATTCGATAGCATTGGCATCATGCATGAACTTGTCTCGCGAAGGAGGTAACCATTACTGATAATAGAAATTGCTGAAGCGCCAGCATTGCCTTCATGCACCTTCGTTGTCACCCAGACATGGTTCTTAAAAAAAGGAACGAAATGAGACGTAGTGGATTTGTCAGTTTGTACCAAATAAGGTCGAGATTTGCAGAGAAAATGTAATGCTACGCATTCTAAATACCAGGACTTCGGGCGAAGAGGAGATGAACCCCTTTCACATAGGTCTCCAAAACCCAACAACTGGGTAACACTCGTCCCAGGACCATGGGCCGGGATTGTTAGCTGCAGTGCGACATTGGTTCTCCCGTACACTTGCATAGGGTAGCTTCGAGAGAGGAGATATGACACGTAGAGGAAATACTGACTACGACTTGCCAGGGGTAGTAGTTCTCGGTATCGCATGTCATTGGTTCGTTGGCGATTCTACAGGATAATGACGAGATGAGTAAGCAGTAAAGTGCAGTTTTTTGAAGATTTTTTTTCTCATTTCCAAATGGAATTACTTCCCCTTGTCATGCTTCCTGACCGCATATTCATCATGCATGCAGCTAATGCCAGTATCTCTTCGCCTGGCGGTTCCGGTGATCCCCTTTCCTAACCTTGGAGGACATCTATGCATAACACTAGTAACACGTAAGGAATTTCTCATAGGGTCGCAGTTTTAGCCCGCGCTTCTCGTACGGGAAGATCAATATACATCATCCTTGACTTACCCGTAGCCTGCCTTCACCCTTGTACACCTAAGTCACCATCGGCTAACGTTGCATGGGTATCTCATCGCCTGTAGACCTACCTATTACTCTCAAGCAGTCCCACGTATCTTGTTGGTCACCTACCTAGGGACATAGAACTCTCAGATTCGCCAAGCATAGAATGTAAGCTGCGTCAACAGTCAGTAAGAATTAAATGAGAACAATCCAGAAGAGGCAGGTCCGTTGAAACAGACTTACGCGAAGCGAGTATGCGGTTATGGATAACATTTCCTCTGGTGGTTCGCGCTTGTTGGACGCCTAGGTATTTGAGCGAAGCGCCCTAGCCCGCCTAATATGCAGACAGAACTAACATGCATAATAGTTCGAATGATTTTTGGTAATGGGAATATCTCCTTTTCGCCGGTTTCAGTTCTTGTTAGATGCAGGATTAAGCTGTACACCTGGTCATCAATATCATTTTTTGGTAGTAACGCGCCAAATATTTCTTCACCGTTAGGCTGGAACGTTGGGTCATTTCTAATTTTGGAGGTGTTACCGACGTGACGGTATCGTACGTCGGATAGATGAGGAGACACCCAGGACTGAGTAGACCTTAATTAATTTCGACTACTTACGTGAGTTAGGCTCGTAGTTGTAAATAGATAGCCTTCCGATGTATTTGAATCCACACGTTAGGAAGCGTTAGGCCCTTATTATCTTGTTACTTATTATCTGATCCCTCGTCGACTCCGGAGTCATCTATACACTATTTAAAAGCGTAGAATTGAGAATCTCTCAATGGTCATACAAATAAAGTTGAAATTATTAATAATTGCTCTTTCTTAGCTGCCATATGACATTACACATCAAAGTTAGGGGTACACGGTGACTTTCGGACCCTGATTCGAGGTTATTCGAAGGACCAACTGAACTATTGAGGTGGTTAAATCAAATAAAATTCTATCCGAGAGTTAATTTTCAATAATGGAGAAATCCCTTCAAACTACCTAGAACCGGCATCAACCTTAATCACTATTGATGTTTACCTACTTATATCCCAAAAAGAAGACTTGTATACAATATGATCTCTCCAACCATCAACTCTACGTCCTGGCAGACAGTAGTCAGGGACATAGACAGATCTAATTCCGCAAATCCAAGTAGCCTCACACATCCATGATCTCAGTGAACCACAATCATGTTCCTAGTGAAAACGGTTCTTCTATTTAGCAACGTGATACTAGCCCGCTCAGGTTAATCACTTGTCGAAATATCTTTTCCTGGAACTCCATCCAGCAGGCCAACCCAAAGATCAACCAGTTCGCCTTTAGATACGAAGTCTAAGAGAAAGAGAACATAGTAGGATACTTCCGTCCCTGAATCCCCTACGTTCTCTTTCACTTTGGGGTTGGTGTTCTCCTGATCCTGCTTAGTGACTGTTCGTCGGTAAACCTATAACTCTTGAATTACGGCCGGTGACACGAGTCGGAGAAGAATTAGTTCTCGATGTAAGTATTGGACACTCTCATACCTCTGCTTCAACCTCCTTAGATGGGATCCTTCTGTTCTGTAATCCTCGATCAAAACGATTAACACTCATTATAGAAGTATAATCTCCTAAACCCCTCACTCCCGTACGTCTTCTACTAATCAAGTCATTATCCAAAATACACCGATTCTCAACTCCCTGCAATGTACTACATATATGTATAATCATACTCACGATTCTTTACTATTTCACTCTTCCCAGACGCTTGATTTGTGTATAACTTCTACCCTGACACTGATATTACTAGATCTGTATAATTTATTACGACCGTATCTATCGTATTTAATTCATTCTCATTACGCCCGGCTAAGCAGTTTATTAGCACTCCACACCTCTGCAACCTCCCACCATCTGAGAGTGGAACATCTAGGGGTAAAAGGCACGAGATAGGAGCGTCGACTACATCAAGTACCGCGATACTGTGTCCGGTATCCTTACCTTAAGCGGGACTCTATCAATCGAAACCCATACCATCTTCAGAGTCTCTCAGCCAATATGGCGGAACACCACAAACTGCGTTCCATATACCAATGCCTCGTGGACATAACCCGACAGCAAAACCTCCAACCACCGACGGTCTCCACTCCTTTGGCGCCGCCCTACGAATACTCGCACTGGGACAGCGAACACGCCAATCTCTTCCTGCCCTTCCTAATCCGCATGCGGCCCACAGTCAACGCCTGGGAATGGGAGCATCACCTCCTCTCCCCCTCTGAATCACACTATCTCCGGATGCGCCCGTGCTACACGCACTTCGACAGCCGCATACTAGCCCTCTCAAACGATTGGATGCGCATCCTAACCCGCCTCTGCAGCAGCGAGCACCAACTCCCACGCCACCAATTCGCAAACCGGGAGCCATACGCATTCACTAGCCTCCACACCCTAGTTCACAAACTACACGATCTAATTTCCGAGTACGACACCGGGGTACCTGAAGTACGGGGATGGGATACTTGGCATCGAACCCTCCGCCCCTACGTCCCGCGAAGCGGCGTCGCAGAAGCGCGCTCTACTATTGCGGTTTTAGTATCCCTTGGTTTCGGGGCTTGGTTAGAGGACGTAGCGCGTATGGATTGGAGAAGCCCGCAGGCGGTGTTGATTCATAATTTCGCGTTTGATGTTAAGACGGGGATATTGGGGTGGGCTAATGTGGAGGAGGGGAATTTATTACCGAGGCCTCGTATAAGGCTTGATTTGATGTTTCCGGATGAGGAGGAGAGTGAGGAGGAAAAAGTTGTGGTTGAGACGGTTAGTAAGGACATGTCGCCGCATGCAGATATCCTGGCTTGGCTTGATGGCGTTGTTGAGCCCGATGTGCCATATTCGCGACCCGTGCGGAAGAGATGTCGCGCTTCGCTTATCAAAGGCATATCAAACCCGCTACTCACGCAGTATAAACGCCTCACTTAGAAAGCGCAGGGCTGCGAATATTGGTTTCGGGTGTATTGGCATTGTTGGGACGGCACTGTTGGAGGTCTAGCCCGCGGCGGGGCGCCAGCCAAGAGCGACGGATACAGAGACCGACTGGCTTGGCTCCGGGAGAACATCGCCTTACCCAGAATACGACAGCAAAAACCGCCTCGTTATGACTGGTCAATTAAAACATTCGACACTATTGGTTTGATTTCGGCGAATCTTATAATGCGCTCTTATAAGTAGCGACATTCGGATTTCTAAGGCGATTGGAACCGAGAGGATATGGGGACAGCAGTATGACAAGCCCCGCGGCGGTCTATTGGGAGATGTCAATGGATTAAGCATGGGGTTTATATGAATGGACACGTCCCGGGTTGCATACTATGAAGAACGAATAGGAAATGACAGTGGGAAGGATCAGGGTGTGTTGCGCAGTTTTTTCATAGGTTATCGTTTGGTTTTCAGACAGAAGATCTGCAAAGTCGTATTAGCCGTTTGTTTTTCAATATAAAACTGCTTACAATAGTGCACTGCATAAACTGCATACAACGTTGCTCTTAGTGAAGCTGTATCCCTTCACCCGTGACTTTGAGAAGAAGCGGAATGTTTCGTAATTACTTATTGAAATATCTGAGAAAGAGGAAAGTATTGGTGGATGATAAAAGAGTAACATACAATCATCATCTGATCTTTGTGTAGCCGGCCTTTCTTGAAGACGGGATAACTTTTAAGATGCATCATGCATACTACCTTGTTGTATTCCTCCACGTGCGTAGTTTCGGAATTTGTTGGGTTGAACTCTGCACGGACGACAATACTAAGCTTATACTTCGTCTGAACGAGAAGATGGAGAATGCCTTATCAAGTAGGCAGTGTTCGATTGGGATTTATGATCGGTGAGTTGATGTGATTAGTTTGGTGGATATCTATTGTCGTCAGCTTTGTTAGATCGATCCAAGATGGGGCGAATCGATGCGAGACAGATCTGATAGGCCGGTTATAGATGTCATATCCATAGCCTCCATGGTTACGTCTTAGTAGGATTAATTAAGATCATACGTAGGTATTACATTCCAGGTAATCGAAGCTCATTCGTCTTATATAGATAGAGACCGAGGTTCTAGATTGTCTCGGTTGGGGTTACACATAAGGCTGAGCGAGAGTCGACGGGAGAGTATAGAAAGTGTTACATGAGTGGCTTGAGACAAACAAAGAGGATCCTTGGAAGCTTTCGAAGGATTCCACAGCCCCGCGCCGGTTGTACGACGTACCGCACCGTATAATACAGACAGTACCTATAATAGGCGATTGATCGTCTTGATTTGGTCGGGGTCGGCGTAAATAACCCTAGACATCCATTTACATTCTGTTGCGAAATGACGTGGTTGGGTAGATAGATCGACACTAAAAGGGATAGAACTTGTCATTATCATGAACTTTTCTTCACTTTTTAATACCGGATAAGCATGTTGGGTCGATACAGAGCAAATTGTCTGTGATTGAAAGATTACAAAATATAGTACTTGGGTACCTAAAAAAAAGGATGTTATTTCAAGCTTTCTTGGCTGTTTGCGGAAGAAAAAAGATGGATATCGTTCAATGGGTCGCACTGCAATTCTTAGTGTATGTGCGATACGGCGAATATACATAGTACTTTAGTACAGAACGTGCCTGTTTTAAGGTTGGCTACAGACAATGCAGGTGCTGCTGTGTAGCCACCAATTACGTCACACCTCGAATAACAAAGTCCGACCCTCCATCCCAATCAAAACTCTGGGGCTAGCGGAACCGCTGCATTAGCACTGTAGATGTTTCAGCGGCTACATGATTTAGATACATGATACCTTAATATTTAATTTTTCGAAGCTAATGTCTCGTTAACGGATACTTCGAAAAAGCCTTGCGCCAAACTACCGGTCACCGTTGCGACTTAGTCGATCTTAACTAGAACACTAGCGCAGGGAGCTGAATTCACGGGACTCAAACTATGTTTGTGGCGTCGGTTTGGTTCTCTTTTTAGTAAATTTCCTCGAGCTCGACAAGGCATACTGTGCATCCATCCGTACAGTACAGTACGTGAATGTACTGAGATGACCAAGCCACTTTGAAGCCATCGCCTACATATCTATCTGACTAGCCCCAACTAATACACTGTACCTTTACTTCTAGATACTTCCTCCTTTTTAAAATATATCTAGGTACACATCTTGGAATTATATATCTTCCAAATCTATTCACACATCTTTCAATTTCACCCATGGTTGCAATTGCGGGTTTTTATTGTTACCCCTCCAACACCATTGCTGAATCAACTACTTCGATACTTTGGCTTACCTTCCCAGTCAATGGTCATCGCAACACTTCAACATGAATAAATTGAACGGCCTCGTCAATTCACCCGAGGCTTCGGATCAAGAAGATAAAAAGAAGAGCGTCGAAGTGCCACCTCCCTACAGCGCAGGAAATAGCATACCTACATCCGAACAGACCCCATTCACATCCGATGATGAGCTAAACTCCGGATTCGAGTCGCTCAGCCTCACATCCTGGACCACGGAATTAACACCCGACACTTGTCTAGCGCACCTCAAATTACTGGCCGCTTTTCAGAATCTCAAGGAGGAAGTCGGTTATACCGACGGATTATGGGGATTATACGATAGTCATGTCCTCTCGGCGCAGGACAAGAAATCTAAGGCCGTAGAAAATGGCCTGAAACTCGATGATGAGACGGGTAAGCGCTTAGCTGCGCTTCGGGAGAAACGATGGGCGCTTTTCGTTGCGAGAGCGGTGGATCGCTATGAGACGTGGTGGAGAAAGCTTTCCAAGGACTTTCTAGGCAGTTATGATATGAGCAGAGAATCGGAGAAATACACACAATTCGTGTCGCACAGCAATCCGCTCGCGTGGGCTGAGAACATCCTACCACCTTTAGGTGAGTTACGCTACTATTCACGTGGGGTCCCCAATTGACTCTTGATACAGATGTCTTAATGGTCTGGCATGCCCATATGCTCAACCCCAGAGCATATCTCGAAGATTGCGTGCTGTATTGTCTAAATGGACTTTGGATGGCAGGGATGCCCTGGGAGCTCATCAACGACGCGATTGACAACGATTTCAATTACAATGTCTCTAGCGAGTGCGTCCTTGCCTGGGAGCATATTATAGAGCGAAAATGGGACAACATCCAGGACCCGCTCGTCAAAATCCTGAAATGCCCCACCTGTAACGAAGTCCTCCCGATACCGTGGACGACATGCGGCAAACCCGAAAACTACGATGGACCCTACAACGGCCTACTCGGAGAAGGATACGGAGATGGAAACTTCACATACACGTGTCATAAATGCGGAAAGACACTTACCAGGGAATTTCTCGAGGTAGCTAAGTTCGTCAAGGACACAAAAGACCTCATAGCCCACCACCGACCTATGCCAGGCACAATCCTCGACATCAAAACCGGATTACCAAAGATGGTTCCTCGCGGCGTGTATAAGGATAGACACGAGCGCACATTTCCGAACCGGTTGATTCAAAACCACCTTCGGAGTCAATTACTCGAGTTGACGTCGCGCGATAGATGGCCCCCAGCTTCCATGGAAAGCGTGCGTATCCTTATTGAGACGGCGATTAAAAACGATAAGATCATAAAGCATGTAGAGAATGTTACGGGCCGCGATGCGATAAAGCGGTATGTTCTGGGTGCGGATGCGCGCGCGCATACGAGGAAGATGATGTCGCGGTATTGGGGCAATCCGTCGCCTTTTGCGCTTGAACTTGGGGGCGCGGTGTTGAGACAGGGGATTTTCGTGGAGAAGATGAATAAGGTATGTATACACCAACTTTTTTCCCAGACGTTCTGGCTGACTTTATCTATAGATCGATTGGCTTCACAGTCCAGCTGCGCGAGACACTATGGCGCGATTGATCAAGAAGTACGACCGCTTTGTTAGGATCATGGCGGCGCACCCGAAAGAAGTCGTAGTCCCGACTCTTGATGTTGATCTCGCGTGGCATACTCACCAACTCACGCCTTCGATATACACGCAGTCCGTGTACTCTAAGACGCGTCAATTGATCGATCACGATGATAAGATTGATGAGGATAAACTATCAACTGCGTTCGAATGGACGAGTAGGACATACCAGGAGATGTTTGGTGAGGTGTATTCCGAGTGCACGTGCTGGTACTGCGAATCGATCCGCGCTGCGCATGTCTCGTCCGTGGGAAGTATGTTCCGCGTGTCGAAGAATGAGAAAAGTACGTCTCCTTCCTTTCCCTTCCCATTTTTTTACCAAATCATTCTTACTAACCCAACCCCCTTTACCACAGTATCCGAATCCTTTCACGCATCCGGCCGCGCCTCCCTCTGTCCCCCCGATAACTCCGCCCACATATCCGCACACAACTCCGTGCGTTTCACAGACCCCAACACCTCCCGCGACGCCGTACGCCGGCGTCTCCATCTAGCCCACCGCGATCACCTCGACAAGAGCTATAATAAAGCGCAGAAACGCGCGAAGAGGAAAGGAAGGGACTTACCCCCGAGAGATGAGTATTATTATAGCTATTGGGGGTATCCGTATATGATGTACGGACCGTTTGTGTATCCGGTTTATTTTACGCCGGGGGTTTACCCGTATGGGGATCCGGGTGCGGCTATGGCCGGGAATGGAGCTATGGGGGCTTGTGTTGCGGGGGCTTGTGGGAGTGGTGGGGGTGGGTGTGCTGGGAGTGGAGGGTGTGGTGGGGGGGTTAGTGGTGCTGTGAGTATTTTCTTTTTGGTTTTGCTGTGGATGGCGATAAATGCTAATGTCTTGTGTCTTGCAGTGCGGATCCTCTGGCCCGGCTTGTGGTGGTGGCGGCGGAGGGATCGGGATTGGAGGAGGATGTGGTGGAGGTGGTGGGTGTGGTGGGGGAGGAGGCGGTGGTGTAAGTTTCTTTTTCTTTACCCCTTCTTTCTATATGAACGGGATTGGGATAAATGTGTGCTAACAGATATTTGATGTAGTGCGGTGGTGGAGGTGGTGGCTGCTAGTCCAGCATACGATCCCCCCTCCTCTCCTGCTTTTATTTCACGGCGCTTTTCCTGTTTATTCATCTGGCATATGGAACATTGGGAGCGTTGACGATGTGATGATGAAAACTTGGGATCGATGAATCGCTAAATAAATACCCAAGCGAGAAAGCCTTGGCTAACGAACTGCTCCTAATAAGAGGAATGTGGTTTGGGATGATGCAAGATGGCTTGGGCTTAGGGTAAACATCTAAGTAGGGGTAGGGAGCAGGAGAGGGAGAGGTAGTAGTGATGATACCCTTTGTTCTTGATGAATTTGTTGGCGTGTTTGTGACTTGTGTATGATTGTATGTGCGTCTGAATGGTAATAAGATATTTTGCAGTTGTCGCCGCCATTCGGGGATTGATAAGTGGTGGCATTCTGGATGTTTTTCTACCATGGAGAATTCGTCGACAATTTACGGCTTAATATGAACCTGGAGTTAAGTTATAGCTCACCGGAGTCTATCGTAACTTACTCTTAACGCATTCGTACATCGAGTTACGAATAATAGGGGTGAAAAGGGGGATGCGTGGTCGGCCCGTCGAAGGTACTTGTCACCTGGCAGAAAACCCCATTTGAGAAACATATGTGGTCCGTGCTTTTCTTAGCTTTTCCAACAACGCCGCATCCGAAAATTTTCTCTCCCAATCTTGTTTCCACATCATTTAATTCTCGTCTCGGTCGCTTACTTGCCGACGACATGCAACATCATCTGATGCTGAGATGAGCTATACGAATATTAAACATGTTGAATAGGTTTGAATCTTCTCATTTGTCTCATTTTAATATCGCAGCGGGACCTAATTCCAGCCACTCGATACATTGCCACGAGTCTTTCTTTTCAGAATGGTCTTGATACTGTGATGCGTCTTGCGTCGTGGTCCTGAGATGGTTTGGAGATTTAGGAGCGGATGATGTTTTACGACATCATCCGTAGAAAGAAGAACAGCTGCAAGAATGAACGAATATGGACCATCATAGTCCACGCTCATCTTGTACCTATTTTGTTACAATGTTTTTCCTACATGAGCGAGGCTCCAAGAGATCCCACATTGTTGTATATCATATATCGGTCTTTTCATGTCAATCTTTCCGACTATTAACTCCGGCTAGGTTCGATGAGACGGTGATCCCCGCTGAATATGCGGTTCTCATTCGCCACCTTTCCTTCGGGGCGTTGGAAGACGTCACTCCACATGGCTTCACTGTCATCTTGTACCTAAATCTGCATCTTGCATGTGCAAGCGAGTTCCCTCTTTATGTACCATTCTGAATACAATACCTCCTTACCTTACTTGAAACCTGTCTGTCCTTGTCAGTCCGGATAAGGCCATCCTGTCTGTCGCACTGTAGTGTCGTGCTGCAGTATTCCGTATCTACTACTCCTATCTATTCTTAACAACATCATCAGAAAATATAGATCTTTGATGTATTTCACTCGACCATTTCTACAAACGTTGAGACGTCAAATCCTCAATCAAACCCCAGTTCAAACCATATCTAGAAAGATGTCAGGGAATACCAAATCCAAGTTTTCTCATCTACCCCTGAGTACTAGTGGTCCGATAGAATGCGCCGTCTCGGGAACCGTCTTATTGAACACACCTTATTTCAACCGTGGTTCGGCACACTCGGCCGAAGAGAGACGCGAATTCAACCTCACGGGTTTGCTACCTACTAGTATCCAGACCCTTGATCAGCAAGTCGAGCGTGCATACCAGCAGTATACTTCTAGACATGATGACTTGGCTAAAAATACCTTCTTGACGTCGCTCAAGGAGCAAAATTTGGTCCTGTACTTTAGAGTAAGATTACTCGAGATTGTTACCTCGTCTATTCCCCGGTAGCCTCCACGTCCGCACGCGTGCTTTTGATATGATTACGTTCAAAATATCTAACCTGAAGTGCGTGGATCGCATACTAACGTTTCATAGCTCTTACAAGATCACATGAAGGAGATGTTCAGTGTTGTATATACACCAACGGAGGGTGATGCGATACAGAACTTCTCCCGTTTATTCCGACGGCCTGAGGGGTGCTTTCTCAATATTAACGATATCGATAGAGTTTCTCATGACCTTGCTCAGTGGGGGAAACCTGAGGATATTGATTACATTGTTGTAACGGGTATGTTTTTTAGGAAACCGCCATCCCTCGTAACTATCAATGTGGTTGTGATGTTAATGCCTGCAAAACTCAGATGGCGAAGAGATACTCGGAATCGGAGATCAAGGCGCGGGAGGAATTCTTATCTCGGTCGCAAAACTCGTACTCACTACTCTTTGCGCCGGCATACATCCTAACCGAACACTGCCTGTTGTGCTCGATTGCGGAACGGATAATGAGAACCTTCTGAATGATGATTTGTATCTCGGCCTACGCCAGAAAAGGGAACGGGGGAAAAAGTACGATGAGCTTGTTGACACCTTCGTTAAATCCGCCCGCAAATTGTTTCCCCGCGCTTATATCCATTTTGAAGATTTCGGCTTGACAAATGGTGAGTATGTCCTTGTGATGGTATTAGATCCGGTGGCTAAATCGAATCGTTAGCACGCCGTATTCTGGACCATTACCGGCCGGAGATTCCCTGTTTCAATGATGATGTTCAGGGCACTGGGTGTGTAACACTTGCGGCTATTATGGCGGGGCTGCATGTGAGCAAGCAGAAACTCCGAGATACGAAAATGGTTATCTTCGGCGCCGGCACCGCTGGTGTTGGCATCGCTGACCAAGTACGCGATGCTATTGCCACCGAAAAAGGTATCGGCAAGGAAGAGGCCGCAAAGCAAATTTGGTAGGTTCCCAAGTTTCTATGGGTTGGTATCAGAATTCTAAACTACTGGTAGGCTCATCGATAAGCCCGGTCTACTCACAACAAAAACCGACCTGGACCAAGGCCAGCAAACCTACGCCAAAGAAGTCTCAGAATGGGATAGCAAAGAGCGATCCCTCCTCTCCGTCATCAAAGAAGTCCATCCAAACGTCCTAATCGGCACATCCACAGTTCCCAAATCATTCACCGAGGAAATCATCAAAGAAATGGCCAAAGGAACAAACCGCCCCGTCATCCTCCCCCTATCAAATCCAACCCGTCTCCACGAAGCAGTTCCCGAGGATATACTAAAATGGACAGAAGGTCGGGCTCTAGTAGCCACGGGCTCACCCTTTGCCCCTGTAAAAGGTCCTTGGGGCCCCGAGGGCAAGGAGATTGAGATCGAAATCGCGGAATGTAATAATTCCGTCGTTTTCCCCGGGATAGGCCTCGGCGCCGTACTCTCCCGCGCAAAAAGAGTAACAGATAAAATGCTCGTGGCCGCGGTTCGCGGCGTCGCGGATTTAAGTCCAGCGCTAAAAGATGATACTGCGCCGCTATTACCCGGGGTTGAGGATGTGAGAGCGGTTAGTGTGAGGGTTGCGAGAGAGGTTATTATGGCGGCGGTTGAGGATGGCGTTGTGGGGGAGAGTGGGATACCGGTTGAGGATGGGGGGTTGGATGAGTGGATTAGAGAGCAGATGTGGGATCCTGTGTATCGCCCTTTGAAACGCGTTGAGCCTGCTGGCGCTAGTCGGGCGGCGAAGGCGGAACTTAAGGTCGTGGGGAGTTTGGAGAGGGTTGAGGATAAAGTTGCCCGGGAGTAGGGTGGTGTTTTGCGTGCGTTATATTCGTTTGTTTTTCTTTATAGAAGGTCTTCGATCGACGAGAGGATGGTTGTGTATTCATACGTTGAAATAAGAAACGTCCGAGTGCCTTGTATTAGGTGACTCGAGTCTAAGACATACGTCTATTATAATATTCAACGGCTAGATACAGCCGTTAGTCATGAATAACTTTAGTATCTGGTTCTTAGTAATTAATAGCTGCATATGGGACACTTCAGAACACTCCAATCCCCTATATAACTCAAGTTATGCAAGTAGTATATCATGATAATCCTATTCATTCTCTTCATATGTATAAGTACCATTATACCCATCGGCCCTCATCCCTAAGCCTAACACATCAAGAATTTCAGATAGAAAAACCCTATCATCGTCTGTAAACTAAACCCCGCGACTCCATTAAGGTAAACAGCGATACCTAAGACCGCGAACCGGCGCGCAAAAGCAATGAGTAGCTAACCTACCTACGTAAGGCGTTTACCTGGGCAAGACCCCTTCACTTAGCTGCCTTCGAAGAGAGGTACTTGAAGCCGTGCCTTGAAATCTTTCTTGCCCATTATCAACAGATTCTTCTGGATAAGGCGTATCAGATGAAACCGTCTCACACACTTCAAATCAACCCCGCCCTCGCAGCCTCACCACCACCATCTTGCACAAGCGCCTCAACCTTCTGCTTCCCCTTCCCCAATCCGCCCTCCCCAACACCCATACGACGGGCCACATACCGCTGCGCCACAACCCCAATACTCAAGCTCAGAGTCTCTTCCACCCACTCAGCAACCCATTCACGCGGATCCACACCGCCGCTTTCCACAATCTCGCGGATCTCGTCGGGTACATTTGCACCGGCCAATCCCTCAGGTAAACGTTGCTGGCGCTGGGGTTTCGGCTTCGGTTTTTCGTCTTCTTCGTCCTCGGATGAGTCGTCTGAATCTGAATCTTCTTCCTCGTCGCCGTCGCTACCAGGCGTCAAAGGCGAAGGAGATGCGTCCAGCCATCGAATCCATCGCGATGGAATAGATTGACTGACGGTGCTGTATATGATTTCGTGGATCGGGTCGAGGACGTATACAGCGAAACACACTTGTGTATCGGCGGAAGCAGCGTCTTCCGCAACTGGGCTAGTTTCTTTTTCTTTCTCGCCCGCCGTACTACCTGCGAATAGAGCCGAGTCGGCGTCTACGATGATAGGCTGAACGGCTAAGAAGATATCGCTAGTGCGTACGGGATTCTCCTCGCTCACCGGCTCAAGAGCTCGTTTCTGGGCCTCGCTCACGCCACCGCTAGCCGCGAAGTAATCGTGAGAGTAGCTCTCGGCGCTGACGCGGCATAACTTGGTGCCCTCGACGAGGCCCTTAACAGCGCCGAGGTCGCGCGGGGAATCAACTTGGCGCCACCATGGGCCGTCGCGCCAGCCGGCGGAGCTGGATGCGCCCTTGTAGAAGGCAGCGTCGGAGGAGCGACGAGCGGTGCTCTCGTGGCCCCGCTGGATGACGAGTAGGTCCCCGCCTTCGACTTGCGACATCACGCGGCTGAAGACGCCGTAGATTAGCGGGTCGAGAGATGGGTACCCGACGATGTCGTGCGTGATGTGGATGAGTAGACGCTCGTGCGAGGAGATAGGTGGCGCGAGCGTGTGGAGGATGTCGGCGAAGGTTGGGAGGGCGCGTTGGCGGATGCCTTCACCTGTAGTCCATAACATTAGCTTGACAAATACTCAAATAGATAATGATGCTGAATAGACTTACGTATGCCCCCGAGAGCCCCAACACCACCTCGAACTTGCTCAGCCCATTTCTTGGCTTCTTCGTTCTGCTGGATCTCCTTATATGCAGCCTCGGCTTGCTTCATGGCGGCGTTTGCCGTGGCGCTCGCTGTAGCAAACAGACCACCCCACCACCCGCCTCCAGCGCCGGCGGCAGCTGTCTGTTCTACGGGACCTTTCTTCTCGGCATCCTGGAGGTCAGAGCTCGTGGCGCTGGGTGTGAAGCTGGCGTGTAAGGAACGGGCGCTGTCGGCGGATTTGCGTACGACGTTGGCGGATGGCTTGTCTTCGGAGAGGCGAGCGGCGCCTGGTGGCGGTGTAGCTGTGCTAGTTCGCTTCACTGGGGCTTTGGACGTAGCTGTTTCCTTTACGCGGGGAGTGTGTGGGCGGGCTGGTTCTTCGCCGCCGAGTTCGTTCTCTAGCTCGGCGAGCTCTTGCTCGAGTTTGTTGCCTCGAGCTTTAGAGGCCGTGGGCTTGGATTTGCTAGTTGTCTTCTTGCCTTTGCTTTCATCGCCGATGCCTTCGAAGAGCTCGTCGAAGTCGTTGTTGGCGGCTGCTTTTGGCTTGGCTGCTTTAGGTGGCATGATGGTTCGATGGTCGTTGTGGTGAGTGAAGTTAAGCCCTGGGGTCTCTGCTAAAGAGGGGTCGCTAACGGGCGGTCAAAGCACAACAGGAGACTCGATGGAAATGTTTATGTTTAGAGGAGTAAATAGATAGAATGTTATTGAAGTCTAAAAAGAATGGAGGAGAAAACTAGTAGAATATAATTCATTCGTATCCCCGGTGATATGTAGCTAAGGTTAGGAGTACGTGTAGTAGTTCTGGGTCTATGCGAGTAGTAGTGTAATGTGTGATGTAGGTACGCGGGACCGAGGGGAACCAATCATCTGATAGGATTCGACTGCAGCTGGATTTTATGGATATTCACCGGCAGATGTAACAAACACTATTTTAACAACTAAGACAATTTGTCAATCTGAACCGACAACAAAGATGTTGAAGATTTAGGATTGTATAAATTAAAGTGACGATGACAGACAAGCTAAGCTAAAAATATATAAGATGACATATGTAGGTAGGATGGAGGTTTATTTATTAATGCTAAGGTTGAATGAAGAAGAGTCTCGGGAAGGTGTCGGGAGTCGGGAACATCGAAGCTTTCCCTCTGTCGTCACTGAACGGGACCCACGAACCACTTGGCAGGAGCGTACCTAGGTACTTAGGTACATAGGTACATACATATATATATGGTATGAACTATTGAACACTGTAAGTTTCTGCACCTGATGAAATTCTGCAAGCTGCACTGTACCTAACCTAGACGACTGAACCAATGAGAGGCACGTATTACAGTATGTAACAGGGAACTTAGTTGACTTGGTGCTAGGCCTAATGCAGTTGAGTTATAAAGGACCATAGCGAGTTTCGTGTTATCCCATTGGCTAGAGGCCTATTCCAAAATTGATTTAGCGTTACAATTAGGTACCTAGGCAGTGGCTAGTGTTCCCCAATTAGGATCTCATCTGTGGCTTGATGGGCCTGAACCTTAAGAAATTAGCAACCGCTCCTTGCAAGTGTCAGTTGTAGCAGCGCAGTAGGAAGGCCGGGGATGAGTGCGCACGCAAAAAGAATATCCTACCTACCAACCAGATCATCATCTTCAACTCGACTCGTACCTTCCCAAAAACCCAGATAATTGTCTGCTCTTCTCTACCGTGCAGATTTAAAGTTCAATCAATTTTTGTAAGTCAAATTCAAACTTCTCTACGTCTTTATATTTATTTCTCGTCCCCGACCCAAAAACTTGTTCTCTCTTCATCTCTCTTCCACACAAGCAGACAAGTCAGCCAAGCTCCTTTTATCAACCTTTTCTCACCACGCCTTTCGTCTGTTACATCCCAAGCCTGCCTTTTTACTGATAAATCATTTCAGCAGCAGCATACATTCGAGAGACACTCAATTACTTTCTTCAATTTATTTTTTCTTCGTCTAAAGACTCGATCACTGATCATTGTGCTCTACTGCACCATTGTCATCGCGTCTTCCCTGGTTTTTACAGCCAGCTAACCCATTGGTTTCGTCTCCCAGTTTTCTACAGTTTTCTACTACTGGATCGACGTCTTCAATACTATTCTTCAACCTCATCTTCTAATTTTTCTACGACGACTTTACAAGAAAATTTATTCTTCGTCTTAGTCGTCGCTGGTAATCAAATCACACACCCATTCCACCTCTTATTTTTTCAAACCCATCTCTACTCGCGATCAACTTAATATTCGCGACCACACACTCGACATATTACTTTTTCGATGGTTCTGAGCCCATTCTCTAATTACATAATCTTCGGTCCAAGACTTCCAGTCTTTTTGACTTTTACACTGTTCTACACACACATCACTCTCACTTACATACGATTGACACTGTATCCACGCCTACCTGACCCACTATACTACTACTCGTACTACCATCACTCTACATCCGCGTCTTCACCTCTCTACCGAGACCTCCAGAAAGTATTCTTTCATGGACTCTTCTACTAGTATTCGAGGACGAAGTCGCAAGCGTCATACCCTTACTACTATGTCATCAAACCCATCCACCGAACCTACTGAACAGTCATCATCCGCCACACAAGCCGCCAGTATGGCTTCTTCTTCTTTTACCTTTGAGACGCCTAGTCCTTCCGCGTCTAGAGATGCACGAGCACGTACTCGTCAGGTCGACGGTCCTAGTACTATCGCATCACCAGAGGATCTTACCAGCAAGGGTGGTCGCTCCCTACGAAAGCGTCCCCGTGTAGACTACACATTCGACCAATTAGATGATATTGAGAACGCCGCAAAGACAACCCCCAGCACTACTTCCCGCGCCTTGAAGCGTCGCAAGACGGACGTCGCTTCCAATGAGAGTGACGTCGATGAGGATATTCCTGAAGTTCAGATTAAGAGACGTGCTTCGGAACAGCCGCAGCCGTCATCTGCCCGTCGACGTAACACCAGAAAGTCTACCGCTGAGCCGCAGGCTTTCGTACCACAACACCAAATGGATGATGTCGAAGTACAAGACACCATCGAAGTTGGCGGCCATCACAGTTCCGAGTCTGATGAGTCGGCTTTACGACGCACCGACTCCAGTTCTACAAATGAGTCTAAGCAAGAGCCTCAACCTAACCCAGAAGACAAGCTCAAAACCAGAGTTCAAGTCAACGGCAACATTTGCGGCGCGACCAAATCCCAAGAGCAAGATGAAGCTCATAACCCCGAAGAGACTATCCCCGCTCTCAGCAACGGCGTAGCCAAAATGGATTCTCTTGAGCATCTTACACCGTATATCGAGGGCGCCTACGTCTGCTACCCGCAGTTCGATGAATTAGAGCAAGACATTGAGCCTATTCCTGAACCAGAACAGAAGCCAACCCCCAAATCAAGCACCGAAGTCGATACCCAGGCTGATTCCCAAGGCAATGTTGAGACCACCATCAATGGCGACGCGGATCGTGAATTATATCCAGAGCCTGAGCCTAATGAGATCAACCAGGGTAGCATAGAAGAAGCCGCTACGGAAACAGAAACTGTCATCCCCAAACAACCGGAGAGCGCTGTAGAGACACCAGCCGACACCACCGTCAACACCCCTCCCGCGGAAGCAGAGTCTTCAAACATTCAACCCCCAGAGAATGGGCAGTACTCTTTCAAGCAGACTCGGCCAGCTTCCGAGTTTATAGACTTGTTCAAGGATATCAAGTCATTGTCGCCCGAGGAACTTTACTATAGAGCTCAGACTGCCAATAACGCTCTTTCAGCTTGGCAGGAGGAATTCAAGGAGCTTCGCAAGATCACTGATGATTACGACAACTCAGTGCGTTATCATAAAGAGGAGGAAGCGTTCCAACGCAAATTTGACCTGGCCGTTAGCAAGAATCCTACTGCTAATCCGGAACGAAAAGACTTCGTCGTTAAGGGCTCCAGAGCACCGGCGCCTAATGCCGAAGAAGCCGAGATAGCCTACCACAAGCAACAAGATAGAATTATGGCGAACGTCTATGGATTTGAGTACGACCACAGAATGGATAAGCTTGGAAATCAAGACCCCATCGCTCAGCGAACTGGTCTAGGACGACAGGGAAGACTTCGCGAAAGACCCAAGCAGACCGCCAAGGCTGCCGAAGCTGAGGAGCCTACTGTGGTGCAAGGGAAGCGAACTAGGAAGGCCCCAGAGAGATTTAATGGAGGTGAGACCACTAGCAGAGGTTCCACTCCAGCTCCTACGAGAAGCCGAGTACGTCGTGGCGGTCAGGTTCAAGAGAACGATCAAAACCAAGCCCAGGAAAATCAGGATACCACCTCAGCAAACCTAGCACCGACGGCTAACGAGAACGAGGCTCCCAGAAAGAAAGGGAAGGGTGGTAGGCCCCGAAAGAACCCACTTCCAGTTTCTGTACCCGAGGCCGAACCCACTCCGACCGAAGAGCAGGAGCCTGATGAGGAGTTTAATCCCCAGCCCGAGCCAGAATCCGATTTCCAACAGAAGGCACCTCCCAAGACGCCGAGGTCGCGAGCCAAGGCAGGCGCTAAAGCTCAGTTGAAGATTGAATCGCCGACACAACCAAAGTCCTCGCCCAAGAGAGCCGCCGAGCCAGACGAGGAAGAGGAGCAGCCTAGTCGTAAGCGTAGACGCAGGGGCCCCGCACCATCATCCGTCCCCGCTGCCACCGACGCAGATATCGAAGAGGAGGACAGCGCGCTCAACGGCAGAGAAGCGGAGACTCCAGCCAAGCTGGGCCGCCAGAGAAACCCTAAGAAGCCCGCAGTTGCCTCCATATCCTTTAATTCGACCTCTACCATACCCTCCCCCGCCCCAGCCGAGGAGCCGCGTCCCCATACTGCTTCGTCCACCGCGACGGCCGAGACGGTGGCGTCCACAAGCAACTACCAGTTGCGCGAGAAACGTCAGCGAAAATTTACAAACGACGTAAATGACGACGATTTCATGGACGCGCCAAAGCCCAAGCGAGCCCGACGGGCGCCGAAGAAGACACAGGGCAAAGCTGAAGCTGCCATGTCGGCTCCAGAGCCAGCTCCGGAATCGGAGGAGCCGACGAGAAAGATAATAAAGCTAAAGCTCTGGTCAAAGGGTAAATCCATCCCACCTCCCGCCCCGGCGCCCACGAGCACTCCGTTAGCCCCTCCCATAGTGAAGACTCCGGCTAACGCGAGCAGCAGCGTAAGTGGGAACCCGAATGGCATCGTAGTCGATGCCGGGGTCTCCGAGCCGACCGCTAGTAACGGAGAGGCCGGAGACCCCAGCAAAGACTACAATTCAATGACCAAGTCAGAGAAGATGTCATTCTCGATGAAGGGTACGTCCACAAAACACCTCTAACTATACACTCTCCTTCAAATGGGCGCTAACATATAACGTAGCCCGATGGAAATCGGGGTCGATGGGATCGGCCGTGGAGAAGCGCCGCGCAACACTCGCGGCAAAGAAGCAGGCGCTTGGGCCTGTCCCTCAGCCCTCGTCCACCCTGGACGAGGGTGAGGATGAGGATACTACTGCGAGGCAGTAGAAGGCGGTGTTGTCCGGTGTGGTTTGTGGTGGGAGATGGTTGGAGGAAGGGGGTGGTAAAAAAGAAAATTAAAAAAAAGTTGCATATACATTGTACATAGCGGCGTTATGGTTTGTTTTAAGGAAAGGAAAAGGGAAAGCGATTAGCATCATCATTGTCATCTTGCATAGATGGTCGGGCGGGAACATTGGGATACCCGGGTGTCCAAACCACCGCATTCATGAAGCGAGCATTGTTTTGGTTGTCATACGGGGACTCGGTCGAGAAAGCATCGGAGTTCGATCAGAGGCATAGGGAAAAATTTGATTTCGACTTTGACCACGATAACTGCTTTGTTCTGTACCTCGATTGTGAAATGCTACAGTGTATAGCTTCAGTGATATGAGAGACGCAATAATCAAAAGGTACGGTGACGCCGAACGTCTCTTCCATAATCGTAGGATCAGGTGGGTTTCAACATTGTTCTTATAGTAGCCCGTAGAGGACTGTCCCAAACACCTTCGCTCTTGGCGTGCGATTCCTCGGCATCTAGGAAGGTCAAATTAATAGTGCAATGTCATTTCTATGCTACTAATTACGCACTACAATTGCCCCGTGGCTGGCTGGGATAACTAAGAGAGAGTGAGAGTATACTGAGAGGGTTGGAACATTTTAAGTAATGGCGAAACTCTTCATGGTATCCGTATCCTCGCCGTCAGAGGGGACACATTACTCCCTTTCATGTTTAGTGATGCTCATTAGTCTTTGATACTAAGAGAGGATACATATATTCTTATTTGGCATGGGGAAAGGGGTCTTCAACTTGGGTGGCTTAGGGTAATGTTGATTAGATAGGGGTAGTTCTCTTGGCATAGCCAATTTGACAGTGTGGAATTTCCTCAGTTTTTAAGTCGTCCTCGTCGAGAGTTATGGATGATTGGTATGTATAAATCCTTAACGGCTCTGTCTTACGCTGTCTCTAGCTGAACGCTATATTGTGAGACATCTGCCGTGTAATGCTATGGTCTCACCTTGATACTATGATCAATTTCTTCATTGATTTGAGACCACACCGATTCAAGTACGCACGAACCACCGTAGGAATCACTGTAAAAACCAGGTCATGTTTGGGAACTGAACGTTTTTCATTTGTCCAGGATGCTATTTCTTTTGGTATGTCTCCTTTACGCCCCGTAAGCCGAAATGCAAAGTGTGACCAGTCCTCCTACCAGACACGCCAGTATAGCTTAGATGTCTGCATCATTTCTTTTTCCCTCATCCTCTGTCGTGAAAACAAAGTTGACTGGTTGTTGTGTCGTATCGGTGTCTTCCAATCGTCATGACTTCTCGTCAGTTAAGGTAGGTTTGGTGTAAATCCGCCTCTCTCCGTCGCTCGCCCAAAATGATCCTCGCTTACATCACGACACCGGAGTTGCTGGCAATACGCTGTATGGTTGTGTTAAAAATACGGTGGGGATCAGAGTGATATTGGAGCACTTACGGGCCATAATTCGGCAGCCTCCTTACCGACGGGTCCGGTGATGGCAGAGCCCTTCATCTCACCCTTGGGGTTGACGATCTAGAACAGTGATGTTAGCCTGTTGGTCCAATACATTCTTGAACAAGAACGTGTAGCTGCGATAGCCCTTAATTATCATTCTCCAGCACAAGAGATTCCACAACACGGGCTTCATGGAATCCCTATCCCTCCCCATTCCCATACATGACCTCCTATGCTGCTCCCATGTGAAAAAGGTTAACTTACAACACCAGCGTTGTCCTCAAAGTACAGGAAGACACCGTCGGTTCGCTTCCAGGGCTTGGACTGTCGGACGATGACGGCGGGGTGGACCTTCTTGCGGAGTTCGGGCTTTCCCTTCTTGACGGTGGCCATGACCATGTCACCGACACCACCGGCGGGCAATCGGTTAAGACGGGCACCGATACCCTTGACGGAGATGATGTACAGGTTTCGGGCGCCGGAGTTGTCTGCGCAGTTCATGATGGCACCGACGGGAAGACCGAGGGTCATCTTTAACTTGCCACCGGGGGCACCACGCCTGTGAAGTGGGATGTTAGTAACTCTGTCTCGAAAATCTTTCGTTTATGCGAAGCCCATGGTCTTGTGGCCTATTCCGAGGCATTCCCGACCGGATTGAAAGCTTGGAGTCAAACACCCGACTCTTTCGTCATTCCAAAATTCCAGGACAGCGACAGACCCCCCCTCCCCAAACCTCCTCTTATGTTGCGAATGGCTTCGTCGCTTGGTTCGTCGACCTGTTCATCCCTCACCAAATTCCAATCCCTCCTCTTCCCTTATCGCGCTCTCCAAGCTTCCCAATATCTCCTTCAAAATCGCATAAATCGAAAATTCGAGCGGAAATAAACACTTACGAAATCTTGGCCATTGCGACTGAGTTATTGGAGGTTCTTTACGGTCGGGGTATGGTGCGGATCGAAAGACGAGGGTGGTGGTTATCGCAAGTGGGAAAAAAAAAGAGGTTCAATGGCTCTAAATTTCTTTGCGTAGTAAGAGTACTCACGCGAAATGTGCGGCTTGGTGCAAAAAAACCCTAGGGACCCACAAAGTCTGGGAAGCGATTTCCGAAAATAGTAGGCTAGTCACGTGATAGACACCAGTGGGCTTGCAGGTATTTAGGTAGTCAATGCGCAATATAAGTGGGGTGGTGGGGGTACGCAATTCGCAACATTTTAATTCCTGCATCTTACAACTTTGGATTGAAACCTTTAAAGATCGTTCAACATAATCTTCTACTCTAAGGATTACTCTGCTTACATATAACGTTTCATAATATTTCATCTCACACTCGAATTTCATAGATAAATAAGCGAAAGAAACACGGGTTGGCGTACTTCCGTCTATTGATAATAGCACTTTTCTAATTGCCCCGCCTTCGGAGTTTCTATTTCATATCCATGGATACCCCCTCTTAATGGTCATCTCTCTCAGCCCAAGGCTTAACAGCTTCAAGTAGTTTCAAGTGAACATCCCCATCCCCGGTATGCTTAAGGAACTCTCCTAGTATATCCTCACCAATCCTCTGCGTCATGATCAGGAAACCCGCCCAAATGAAATCCGCATAAGTCACATTACTACCCTCAAAGAAAGGTCCCTCGGGGTTCTCCTTCAGCAACGCAGTAACCTTCTCCAAACCCGGCGCAGCCTTTTTCCACACTCCCTCACCGCCTAACTTACTGAATTCCTCAAGAGTCATACCCACGGCCGCTTCGCGGGTGGTGCGGAAATGCGCTTCGCTGCCTGGGCTGATGATTCGCTTGAAGATGAGAGGTAGGTAGTTGACTCCCGCGGCACCGAAGATTTCCGGGAATACGGAGGCTACTTTGGGGACGTATTGTGAGTCGAGAAATAGCTTTTTCTCTGGGTACCGCGACTCGAGGACTTCGGCGATTTTGGCGGAGTCGGTTACCCATGTCCCATCTGGGAGGATGATTGTTGGGACCGTGTATTGATCAGCCTTGGGGACGCTAATGGTTGTCAGCATATCCATCCTGATTTGTCTCGTACGAATAGACTTACTGGTCTTGAAACGTGGGCTTGATGTCTGGGTATTCGATCTAGGATTGTGTTAGTAACATTTGGAGCAAGCTCTCAGGCACTGGTAAGATATACCCATTCCGTCTTGTAGGGAATTCCCTTATAGTTAAGGGCAAATCGAGCTGTTTCACATCGTGTTAGACTACCAGGGCTACATCAGAAGGTATCAATGGATCGTACTCTTCCATGTGTTCAATGACCACGCCTTGTTCGTCCCCTTATTCGGTAAGTCATAGAAGATGATCTCTTGGTTAGCCATTGTAAAAGTGTGGGCTTTAGTGCTTGGAGATTGAAGATGGAAGATTGAAATTTGAGAATGTTACGAGTTAATAGAAGGTCTTGTTACAAAAGACTCAAAGTGAAGGAGCCTTGTTGATATTTATCTCAAAGCCTTATACATTACTAAGTAGGAGCTAAGCATTTAATACTACTGAACGGGTGGGTACAACACAGTACGACCCCGCCTTCAAGCTGCAGGTCATTAACATGGATCGACGTATAGACTACGAGTATAAAGCTTAACGTTTCATTCTATTGACACACTTGCGGATTGGGTAGGAAGGATTCCATATCCATCCGTTCAGCTTCACGGCTTAGATCTGATTGGTGTGCCTCATTCTTGGTGTGTCGGTGTCCATTATCTCCTTATCTCCATTAGTACTCCCTTGTCCCCGTCTAGGTTGGATGACTCATTACCAGCATGTTGGCGAGATATAGCGTCAATAAGGTTGATATTAGGATTCAAATTGACAAGCCCGCGTAGGCAGCAAGGCGCGTTATTTAAACTTGAAACGCGTGATTATGTGCTTGTTGGCGATAGTCGTGAAATAAGTATCCGACGCTTTTTGAATTACTCCGGCTTATTAATAAACAGTGTTACTTCGGAGGGAAAGTTACGCGAGGAGGGTAATTCTACAATTTGAACCGCCCGTAGTTATAGCAATGTTGAAGCTTTATGCGGTGTAATAAGCCATATTAGGGTACCTTCTTCTTCTCTCTCTTTTCATCATTCTCTGTAGTCTGGAATGGCATTATGGGTTCGGGAGCTTATACGGAATTGGTAGCATCCTGTTAGGTAATCCCTGAATGAAATGCTGCTGAACGTTGCTTTTGATAGTGAGTTAGGACTGTAAGTTAATGCTATCATAATCTCTCAAACACCTATCCAAAGTATTTCTTTGAGTAAATCTGAAAACAATAACGTTCTTACGCGTAGCAAAATTTGGAAGTGACCTGCGCAAGAGGTTCTTTATCCGAGCAACTGCCTGTGCCATTAGTTGTAAGGATGAGAATATAAACTGCACTTGGCTAAGCTAAAAGAGAAAGTTGTGTGGGGACCAATCAGATTCAACTAAAATGCTGACCTAAGCCTACATGTATAGCAAATGGTTTCCCTCGAAATTGATTTTCAGTGGTAAATTATATCGAACGGCTACTGCGTTCATGCTCAAATATGAATGTCTGGGGCGCAATTACTTCTCTTCCTCACTCGTCTTGCGGTACTCTCATGTACTCATTATTGAACTTTCCCTGCCAAAATTTAGTGAGAGTGGGATGGAACTCACGACGGTGGTACACTGCAGATTAGCTTTAGCCAATGAGAGTGAGGGAAATCACGTCTTGATACTGTGATTTTTGAGGCAAGAAGGTTCAATATAAGTGGGGACTTCAAACATCGTAACTTTCTAAAAGGAACGTGCAATTGCTCTATAAAATTATCAGTCGATGTCGCCAATTTTGAGTGCCATTTTCGAATTTCCAAGTTTATTTTCAAAGTGAGACTGAGGATTCAGCCCCACCACGATCAAAATTAAGCTTGGCGAATAAACTGAGCACACCGATGCGCTAATCGTTATCGATAAGCTTCCCCGGTTCCAGGATCAGCCACCTGCAGCAAGCAGTTTGCTTAACTGCGAGATCTTCACCCAATTCTTAGTCTGTTCCAATCTTCACCTTTACATCACCTTTTCTAGAATCGACTCAACGTCAACACGCAGCCATGGCGCATGCAGCACCTGTTGATATCTGGAATGGAAATGGCAACGCCTTGGGAGCTGCCTCTCCCAAAAAGGTAGCTTATTTTTACGATTCGGACATTGGTAATTTCGCCTATGTTTCCGGCCATCCTATGAAGCCTCATCGCATTCGGCTTGCGCACAGTTTGATTATGAACTATGGTGTGTACAAGAAAATGGAAATATACGTAAGTCATCCTATCGTGATACGACTGATATTATAAAGAAGACAGCTCACAGCTTTGTAGCGCGCGAAACCCGCCACTCGACTCGAAATGACCCAGTTCCACACAGATGAATACATCGACTTTTTGCAACGAGTTACTCCCGAGAATATGGACAACTTTACAAGAGAACAAGGAAAATACAACGTCGGTGACGATTGCCCCGTGTTCGATGGGCTATTCGAATTCTGTGGAATCAGTGCTGGTGGTAGTATGGAGGGTGCGGCACGTCTTAATCGACAAAAGTGCGACATCGCAGTGAACTGGGCCGGTGGACTTCATCACGCGAAAAAGTCGGAAGCAAGTGGCTTCTGTTACGTCAATGGTATGTTTTATCTCTAGCTACCCACTCACTTACCTCTCCACCAACACCAATCCATTTTGTTAATTCCCACATACGTCGTCCACACTAACCCCGCGCTTTCTAAATAGATATTGTTCTCGGAATCCTTGAGCTCCTTCGATTCAACAAGCGCGTTCTTTACATCGACATTGATGTCCACCATGGCGACGGCGTCGAAGAAGCTTTTTACACTACCGACCGAGTCATGACAGTTTCCTTCCACAAGTACGGCGAGTACTTCCCTGGTACCGGTGAATTACGCGATATCGGTATCGGTCAAGGTCGTTACTACGCGACAAATTTCCCCCTACGCGACGGCATCGACGACTCTTCTTACAAATCCATATTCGAACCTGTCATATCGAGCGTTATGGAATTCTACAACCCAGATGCGGTTGTTTTGCAATGTGGTGGAGATAGTTTATCAGGTGATCGTCTTGGTTGCTTCAACCTGAGCATGGACGGCCATGCCAACTGCGTGAAGTTTGTCAAAAGCTTCAATCGACCCACACTAGTTCTAGGAGGTGGCGGCTATACTATGCGTAATGTCGCCCGTACCTGGGCTTTTGAGACTGGTCTCTTAGTTGATGCTCAGATGGACCGAACGTTACCATTCAACGAATACTACGATGTAAGATTGTTTCATGTTCTTTTCTTATTTCGAATGCTAACATATATATTAGTACTACGGCCCTGACTACACGCTCGATGTTCGATCCTCCAATATGGAGAACGCGAACAGCCCCGAGTATCTTGAAAAAATCAAGAACCAGCTGATCGAAAACCTCCGACGTACTGCCCATGCCCCATCTGTGCAGATGCAAGATGTCCCTCGTCATTCTCTAGGCGCGATGTCCGACGAAGAAGAGGCGGAACTTGATGATTTGGATGAGGACGAGAACAAGGACGTTCGCATGACTCAACGTCAATGGGACCAGCGCATAGAACGAGACAACGAATACGAGGAAAGCGATAACGAGGAATTAGACCGAGCTAACGGAGTTCGCCGAAACGGTAGTACCCGACGTTCAATCCTCGATTATCGTAATTCCGATGCCGAGGCTGATAGTGGTGCTATAACTCCCGCTAACGGTGCCGCTGAAAACGTCATAAATTCTAAGGAGACGGATGACATTGTCATGGAGGACGCAGGAGTTAAGGAGCCTGAGCCTGAAGCGGACACTGACTCCGCCGCCAAGTCAGACAAGAAAGATGCGGATGAGGAGGTCCAAGCCGCTGGCATTGCCGAGCAAGAGGAAGCACTTAAGAAGGCTCAAAGTGCTGCTAAGTCTGATAAAGACGGCAGTGAGAGCGAGAAAACTGCTGCTCCCGAGAATGACACCACAGATGACAAGGAGGCACCCAAGGAAGCCGACCTCGTCATGCAGGATGCGGACGACGTAAAGAAATCGCCACCCGCGGAAGCTGAGAAAGCATCGAGCACAACGCCAGAGGCCAAGGGCAACTCCGAATCCGACAAAGTCGATAAGGATGGCGATGTTGATATGGAAGAATCTACCGCCGCCGAGTCAACAAAAGAAGACAACGCAGAGGCTAAGAAGGAAGAGCCCAAGAAGGATACTCCTGCTGCTTCTCCCAAGTCATCAGGGGATACTAAGACAAGCGAAACGAGCAAGGATGAAGCAACATCCTAAGTATGAGCTCGAGGCACCTCATGATACCCCCATCTTCGATTTTATTGCTTTCCTGGAAACGTGTTCAGACTAGCGTGTGGGAGGGAGAGGATCAAACAAACAGGCTAGGTGTTTAAAGGACGTCTTCACGACCATCGGTGTAAATTAGTCACAGCAAAAGGCGTTTTGGTGCAAATTGTGGTTGCGGCATAGTCAGCGAAGATTTCGTCAGACTTTTTATTTTTTCGATTTTAGCGATGGCTTAGTTCTAAGTATTTCATAAATAAGATACTTTCAAGGCTTCTTTGAGTTTACGGCTAAATTTTGTCTGCTTCGTGAGATAGCAGATGTCATTAATGTTCTATGTGAAGGGTGTTAATCAAGCAATTTCTATCCGATTATGCCAACATCAGGAAGCGGTATATAAATATCCTCTACGCGCCACGGCTAAGAAGTTGTAGTAATTAGTATATCGATAATAGAAATAGTTGAGAGTACGTTGCCTTATTGCTTTTTTAAATCTTATTTGAATTTAGGGACACACCGAAAAAACGGACCTATGAAATTTCGGCTATGCAAAAGAATACCATTCTTATCAAAATCCATGATGAAGCCGAATCATGGTGTAGCGCTATCTCGTTTGTTAGTTCCTTGTAGCCTCACGATGCTCTAGAAAAAGAGGGCCCCTGATCTTAGATTTCCAATTTCCCTTTTTGGTAAGTAGAGATCCGGGTAGCGGGTAGCTGCAGGGAGTTTTACGGGTCTGTGGCTGGTGAAGTACATATGTACATGTACATTTCGTGGGATGCTCAAGCTTTGTAATTATGGGTCACGTGTCACTCTTTCAATCTGGTCCAAGCTTTCTTATCGATTAAGGAGCTGTCCGTCACTTCTTGGCATTAGTTGATTAGGTAATTGAATTTTGGCAGGCAGACCTGGGCCTCGTCACGACAACCGGTAGTTTACTAAAGAGCTTCAATCTCAAGCTCGCCTCTTCCATAACCCAATCAACATTATTGAACACAATCGCCACAACCACCTTCTTCCCTATTTTCTCGAGTCCTTTGGCGTTTATTTTACGCAGATACAATACCCCGTACATTTTCATTTCATCTATTGTAATTGTCTTCGCGAGGGCGCAAACACTTCAAAATGGACCGGTTGAACAGAATGCTTGCCGGTGCTAGCGGCATGGGACTTGGTGGTACTGCTCCGGGCACGGTAAGAAGCTCTTTTTTCACTCATACCTACAAATCCATACGGTTCCAATATTCTGGATGGCTTGCGACGTGAACTGACTGGAATACATGAATAGGATAACCAAAACCTGATCGACAACTCCGAGACAGTCTACATATCCTCCCTCGCCTTGTTAAAGATGTTACGGCACGGACGAGCAGGTGTTCCTATGGAAGTCATGGGCCTTATGCTAGGAGAGTTCGTCGATGACTTCACCGTACGAGTTGTGGATGTCTTCGCTATGCCCCAAAGTGGTACCGGTGTCAGTGTCGAGGCTGTCGACCCGGTATTTCAACAGAAGATGATGGACATGTTGACACAAACGGGACGGTAGGTTGATTCACCAACCTCACCACTAAATCGATGCTAATAATTTGTAGACCCGAATCGGTCGTCGGATGGTACCACTCTCACCCTGGTTTCGGATGCTGGCTCTCGTCGGTTGATATCAACACCCAACAGAGTTTCGAGCAACTTACACCGAGAGCTGTCGCCGTTGTCGTCGACCCTATACAATCAGTCAAGGGAAAGGTCGTCATTGATGCATTCCGTCTCATCAACCCCCAGTCACTTATGCTCGGTCAAGAGCCGCGACAGAGTACCTCCAACTTGGGTCACTTGAATAAACCATCTATCCAGGCGCTTATACACGGACTTAACCGACACTACTATTCGATTGGAATCAACTACAGAAAGACCGCCCTCGAAGAGAACATGCTCATGAACCTACACAAACACGTATGGACCGAGGCACTACAGATGGAGGACTTTAGACACGAAGGCGAGCACAACAAAGAGCGTTTCCAGAGATTAGTTACGTTGGCAGAGGGCTACGAGAAGAGAGTAAAGGAGGAGACGGAGTTGACAAAGGACCAGCTCAAGACCCGTTACGTTGGAAAGCTCGACCCCAAGAAGCATTTGGAGGATGTTGGTCAGCAACTCATCGAGGACAACATTGTCTCGGTGTCGAGGCAGATGATCGACAAGGAAGCGACAATGCCGAAAAAGGAGGCAGCTGCTAATGGCCAAGCTAATGGCGACCGAATGGATGAAGATGAGGAGTTGTAGAGCCGCATTTCTCGACCCCCGTTAATTCGGTTTGAGAAATATGAGAAATTGGTCATCCGAAGTGTATCATAGGCGTTGGAAGGACTAGCTGACCCGGTTTAGACAGCTCAGCAATGGATGGTTTGCTTTGCGACTTCGTCTTGCCCCACGTGTTTATCGAATATGATTTGCCAGGGGGATATTCATGCATACCAATACCATCACATTTTCCGTTGACTCTATCCTTTTTATCTCTTTTAATACGATGGGGGCACATCAGCATATGTGGCCGCTTTACTGACTTTGTCATCTACTGCTGACTTTTCGTCATAGGTCGGAAGAGCCTTGTTCCCGCCAGACAATAACATTCAATTTCACAAAGATGTTGTTTTATTACTCAACGAAAGTACACACTCAGTGGTTTGAACCGTTCGTGAACAAGAGGCATTGTATAAACTCAACAAAGGCGACTATATACTTATACTACAACACTCCTGCTGTTCGCAATCAAGATATGACTTACATCCGACAGAATTGCCATATAAATCGAGGAGATGGCTGGTTCGCACGGCAGTCCTCATCCCAACGCGGGACTATGTAAGTTTATTAAATCATTTGGAACAAAGTGCTTTCCAAGAAAAAAGAACCCATCCTTCCTCGGTATATCATACGACGACGTTCAATCACAAGAACAACCCCAAACTAATCTACCATCAAACCGCCCTCAACATTCTGTTCAGATTGAACGAGATTCATTCGATCTTGTTACTGAGCAAGCGCAACGTACTTCGATCCCTAAACCAGTAAATAGGGAAAGGAATCCAAAACCTTCACTTATACCCGTCCCCTCACGCCCCTCTCGTCCCTCCACTAAGAGAAAAATGGACGACGATAAGCGGCATACGCACCATCCCCGTCTCCCCGCCGCCATCAACCTAACCCCAAGCTCCAGATCCACGCGCCAAGGCTCCACCGTATCAAACGATGGGAGCGCAGTTAGTTCTTCCATCGACCCCAGGGATCTCTGGACTACATCCCCGTTCCGCGAATCCCAGCTCGTGGGATTGTTCCACGTGATTCAGAACACGCTTTCGCATGTCCCGTACGTAATTTGCGGTCTTGCGGCGTTGTATGATCATGGGTATCGCTCGCGGCGTGTGACTAGTGTTAGTATACTGTGTCCCGCGTATGCGAAGGATAATGTTAGGGGCTGGTTGGCGGCGAGGGGGTATGCGAGTTATGCGGATTCGGTTAGTATTCCGATTGTGGTTGATGGCGGGAAGCTGTTGTGTAGAGTTAGGATTAAGTATGTGGATGAGGGGTTTGATATTTTGGAGGTGGAGAAGGGGAGGTTGGGGCCGGTGAATGTGTTGAGTCTGGCGAGTCAGATTGATAATGCGGCGGCGGGGTATGTGGATATTTGGAGGAGGTTGAGAGATAGGATTTTGCATCAGATGGAGAGGAAGGATAGGGAGGCCGCGAGGGTTGCTGCTGATGAGGAGGCGTTGGGGTCGATTGCGCGGGACGTCTTTTGGTGTCTTACTGAGGCCGTTAGGAGACGTGAGCAACTTCAGGCGAAGTATATGCCTTCCCTACTTAGCGAAGACTTCTGGATCGCATTCACGGCGCATTATCCTAACGCGAAATTCGAGATGGAACGTGCGGGCATTGATGTCAAAGGGATCTCGAAGAAACACGAAACGGCGATTTCAATCCGCGAACATAATGATATGTTGAGGGCATTCGGTCACGAGATACCGCATGAGGAAAGCGGCGAAGGCGTGGTTAACAAGCAGGGCCCCCTTGAGAATATGCGCAATCTGATGAATACTAGGAGTGTGTATAGTCTTAACTCGCCAACGCTGGTGGCGGCTCCAGGAGAGCCGTCTTCGCGCCCTCCCACTGCTTCAAGTCTGCCTGTACCTGTACAACAACAGCAATCATCTACCTCTAAATCCACCGGTATGAACTCCAGTGAACCCCACGCCGAGAATTGGCCACTGACGGATTCCTTCATGAAGAAGCCGAGTAGTTCCCCCGACGACCGACCGATGGCTGGGAATAGCCGTATTCCAGTCCGAACGAGCAGTTCCCGCGGTGACCGTCGAGGCGAAATTCCACCTCCCCCTCCCCCACCCAGGAATCCGGCTAGGACGCTGACGAAGCCGAATCCGCCGAAGCAGGAGTCCTCGGAGGATAAGGAGAGGCCCGTCACGAAGTGGTTTTAATTGCTCCTCGTAAGTCATTCTATCCCTATTACAGTCTAAGAGGCGAAGGTTACGGAAAGGTATGTGAGTGTGGAAGCACACCCCCTGTTTATTGTATGATTGATTCGTGTATTGTTATTGTTCCGACCTTGGAAGGTTTTACACTCTCCGACGCCTTAGCTTTGCTATAGATCTTAGACAAAAGAATATAATTGTTTATATGCATTTATTGGTATAATAATTTGTGACATAATGAAAATTGTGAAGGTGAGAAAAAGGGAGGCTAGCCCTAGAATTGCCGTGTTATTCCTCTACTTCAATGTTGAGTTTCTGGATCTATTCGGTGCCTTTTTGATGCCTCATTTACTGAATAATTGCTCCCTCTCACTTATTCGTAATGTCTTGAGGCCACAACTCAACATATCTCTCTTGACCTGTTTCAGTGCCAACCCTCAGGGTGTGCATTGCTAATGAGATCGGATGAATTGCCTACCGCGGCTTAGCTACGCAACCAGCTAGGCATCAATGTGGTCTTTGTTATGTCATAGTATATTTTATTTTTCACAGCTATGCCAAAATCGACAAAGCAGTTGTTGATGAATCTTTAGCCAGGTATAATCAAGCACAGCAATGCGGCCGAGATACGAATACTCAGATCCACAGCCCAAAACAATGACTTCTTTGTTTACGAGGCATACGTTCAATAAACTTTATATGTAGGTATTATACTCAGGATCACAGACGTTTTGTCCCCTGCCAGGTGTCTTCCAAGATGCCATAATGAAGTTGACTGTTGCAATAGAAGCGGGACGGCTATCGTAATACCATATGATCCAACAGATTCTAGCTCGTGCGCTAGATTTGGCCATAGATAGATAATAGAACGGCCACTATATAGAAAAGCATTGCGAGGTCGGCGGCCGTGCGGTAGAGTTGACACGTGTAGTAATTATCGAAGCCATTTTTAGTTGAAAGTATATAAGCAACATACAGAGTCATTCCGCATATAACGTTTTTAGACAGGAGTTTACCACGCAAAGACCACGCCGATCGTGCTCGGAAAATAGGGGACCTTTTAACTAAATTAGCTAGGACTGCGGTGACACATATAATACATGCCGCTTTTTAGAAATCTCGTTCTTTCAAGGACGTTAACGTCAGCTACACCGATGTACTAGATACCAATGTCTGTGTTCTGTCAAGCAATATGGGGCCTGAGCTTTCTTTTAGCACAATAATCAACGTTGTATAGATACTTAGCATTTCTTTACCCTCCAAGGATACGTACTACCTCTTACCTTTTCTCTTCTTGTTTTGAATTCCTTTGAACTTCCCTAAAAAGACTTAGTCGGGGATCTTACCTTGTGAAGTAAGAACGGGTATGAATAAACCAGTACAGTTGGAATTATATATGAACCCCTCACAGTCGACGCGCCGTGACTAAGTGGTAAAGTTGCCCTCAGATATACTACAGCCCTTATATTCGTAATGTCATCCTTTACATCTCTGTGCGGGCGTCGTTTCATGACAAATACCTTTGTGGTCACTACTTTGCATGGAGTTCAAGACCGTTGAGGATTTCGACGTTGGGGTAATGATGTATACTCGATCTCTTCATGGAGTAAACAATGTTTGAGGGCAATGGCCATAATATAACGGAGGGACGTATCGCGGGTTCCCAAGGGTATTCCCTTTGTCTCTCTCCCCAGCTAAACGTCACAAGATAGGCCAGCAGGAGACCTTACCCCGCCATCATGGAGTTCCCACATGGAGGAGAATCGATATTCTATCGATACCAGGCCATCTTCCTCCGAGATTGGTTCGGTGACCTCCTATACTGTACCGGCCCGGACTCGGAGCGCATCAAGGATCACTGGGATATGATCAGTATCGACATGGAAAAGCAGAATTATACCGACATAGACCAAGCACAATTCCACCGGGCAACATTGGGCCAATTTGAGGACCTAGAAATGTATGAGCTGCGCCGAGCCAACAAAGTGGTATTCACCGGAATGTTCCTTACCAAACTGGATGGAGTCACTACTGCTAGGAGGGAGTTCGAGTCGTTTTACATTCAGTTGATCCTACGCCAGATAGACTTTGCTTTCCCATATACTTCGGCCCCAGTAACCACCAATTGCCCAGATGAGTCAACTCCCGAAGTAATGGCACGACTTTTCGATAGATTCCTCCGATACCAAGGCGAGGATGATAAATGGGATGTATGTGGACGGTCTTATTTTATGGGACGAGTTCGTCATTTCACTTCCCAGGGGCTCCCAATCGAGTTCTGTCTACCAGCATTTCCTTGCAAATCGTCCAATCGGAATAAGGTTACGGGCAAAGACCCAGACCGTGGTGAGCAATTGGCTTTAGAACGCTTACACTTCTTCGCAGAGACTGCTGAGAGGATATATAGTGGAGGCGCAAAAATCTGGATTATTAGCGATGGCCATGTCTTCAGCGATTGCAGTGAGTCCTTCCTCAAGAGTTAATATGATAGGATGTACTCACAATTGAAAGTTGGCGTTGACGACCAGGACGTGGACTCCTATGGCCAAAAGCTGATCGAAATGAATAATAACATCGGCAAACAACGAGGAAAAGCGGACAGAGTTGGCTTCAAGTCTCTCATGGATCTTTTTGAAATCGCAAGATATAAGAGACAATCGAAACTGGCGCAAATTGCCAAGCTCGATATACCTGAGATTGAACACAATGTTGAGACACAGGTTACAATGGAAGCCGAATTTTGCCGACGACTCTTAATGGCTGGGTGCCAATCCCAAAGATCCTCACTTCGGGCACGTATTAACTTGCAGGATCCCGCGATTCTGGCTTTATATCGTGGGTTCTCACGGTTCATGCTTGAAGATCTAGAGCTTCATCCATTTACCCAAGCCATGAGTCGATCGAAGCAGAAGAAACTTTCTTCAAAGGTCGCATTTGAGATGATTATGGTGAGACCAAATCCTACGAGTTTCACGAATGAAAACGGCTGACTGGAACCATCTTTAGAGAAACCAAGCGTACTCAAATCTTGTGGAACTTCTGTACCCAAATCACATTCGATTGTCGATCCATGCGTAGGTTACTCAATTCCGATCTGCCACACTCTAAAGCACTCGTGTGAGCCCGTATGCGGTGCGGCTAACGAAACCTGTCATGTAGTCACAACAACGCTGGACCTAAGTTCGGAATCCAGCTTTTCGACCCAGCCACAACCCAGGCAGTTGAATCGCTTTCGCCGGATAGCGGCCCGATGGTGTCTCGGGATCTACTTCATATACCCACCCCATGGCATAACTGCGTAGTCAAGGTGGCCGGCGACAATATGCTGTACGTAACTAAGTCTAAAGCAGTACGAGAAGCGCTTCTCTCCGGAATGACAGGTGGACTAGATGCTCAAAGCAGCACGCCGGGCTCATTTGGTCCGCTTTATTTCGCCCTGTACCCCAATACCCTGGTTAAATCAGACCATAGAATCCAGGAGTTGGCGAAGCAAGAGGAGGTAACTGCTGAGCCCCAGAAACCAGTGGAATCCCAACAACCCACGAAGACTGAGGAACCGACAGGGCCCAAGCAAGATACAGAGACCAAGGGACCCGTGGAGCCTCAGCAGGTTATTGCCCCTGCAAAGGAGGATACCTCGTTGTAGGTAACCAAAGCTCCCAGCAAGTCTTAGTCTTAGCTAACTTAACCCTTAGAGAAAATAACACCTTAGATCACTGCCCGCCCGAGTCGGCAGCCGATTCTGCCATCATTATGTGCGAATCGGATTACGTTTTCGTGTAAGCAGACCAGAGGGTACTATCGCATGCGTATCGGACGGAACAAGAGAAGAAACGCGGGTTTGATGGTATGGACTTATTCGGTTATTCTAGTAGGATTTCGGGGTCTGTATACCCTAGGAAACTTAGCAATCTTAGATTTTGGTTATCTTGGAAGTGATAAACTCGACGACGTGAATAATGAGACGTCGGACCAACCAACATTCCGTGGTCTATCATGAACCGATTGAATGTTTCTGTTTTAACCCCACACAATCGTATCTTCCAATGAGCCAGGGCCAGCTGTCCTGTTACCTATCCCGTCTGCTTTGTCAGCCCAGCTGAGCTTCGAGACTTGGCGTTCTAGGTATCAACATCGTGTTTATATCTACGTTTACATTTCCAAGAAATCACTGCGCGGAAAAGCGACCTCAAATTAATTCATCGAAAAGCTGAGTTTCCCAAAGGATGCCTGTCACGACGAGACCGTCCCCTTCTAAGATGGGGAAGAATAAGGACTACGAGACCGCATTCCACGCAGATGCTAGGACAGTGTTCGACATTGTCACCAACGATTGCCATAGTCCCTATGAGAAGGACCCACGGTGGCCCCAACCAATTCCACGTTCATCATGGTATGTCGACGACACCGGCTTCCGTGGATTCAAGGTCCTCGCATCTTCGACCCTAAGGAGGCTACTAAGGGTACCGTATCTATATACAACAATGGTTTTGTTAGTGGGGTTCTCCGCGCCTTCAATCAGGATCTTCACCTAGTTATCCGACCTGACGATGTCTGGCAAGCTATAATTTCATAATTCAGCCTTTTTATCAATGGGAATGCCGAACGTGTGCGACATATGTTAGTCGCTCACAAAGGGAAGCACGAGCTAGTCCTAAACCCCATGCCTCAGGGCCTCTCCCAACTCGACTTCGGCCAGCTGGCTCAGCAACTCGTCTCCGTCGTCGAGGACAATGTTATTGACGCGGAGCTGCGTCAGTGGATGATGCCGAATTTCTCCACTACGACAAAACATGACAAAGCTGTGGCGGCGTTCGGCATAATGGGGGCGATGCAGCAATACTTCAAATACCAAATCATGATCGGATGTGGCTTACCTAGCGTAACACTGCTGGGAACTCGGCAAGACTGGGAATTGCTCGCAAGCCGGGTTGACAGGTTACATAAATATGGCGAGGAGTGTGAGCACTGGGCTACTCTGCTGCGACCGGTCATGCGCTATATGCTGAAAACCTTTGACGAGCCAGACTCGCAGGAGGTCAAGAATTTCTGGCTTCGCGTTGCGTATGAGGCAGGTATTGAGGGTTCAATCCCGGGCATTCGGACGGTATCTGGTTGGATTACAGCTTTTGCGTATTTCGATGGCGAGGGAAAGGCCGCGAGAGATTACAAAGAGGACTATATTCGTCAAATATATGAGAAGATGAGCGACTCGCCGCCAGAGCGCAAACGGCTAATACTAGACGGAGTGTTGTATCCACTGATTAGGTTTTCGGAGATTCCAAGGGGCATCGTTCTACTCCCTATCACGATAGACGACCTGGAGGCGGGCGTAAAAAGATTCGCCACGGCCGTATCAGGAACTATTGGTATGTCAATCTCGGAGAATGGAACAACCTCTCAACCATTCTCGGCGTGGTGGGTTGTACAAGAATTTAAAGAACCGCTTAGATCGCCGGTGGCCGTTAAGGCTGGGGATTCCGTTAAGGACTTAACTACTAAGAGAACCTCAAACACCTTCTTGGACTCGTGGATATCCTGGATTGTTGGAAGTGGATCGGGATCTCGACGACGAAACTCTTCCATGAGTAAAGCCTGTGACAGCTAGGACGTAAGTATTGGGTAGTATACTACGTGGGTATGAAGAAACTGACTGAATTGACTGTTGATTGTTTGCGTGGCTTCTTAAGGGGGGTTGCAGGCATTCCTCCATCAGAAAGTCCGTAAAGAGTACCTCCAGAGGGCTCTATTTCTTTTTTGAACTCACCAAAAATCAACTCAACTTCTCCTTATGCAACTGACAACTACTAAAAAGAATATGTGGCGATGATGATCTCAAGCATTGGTGTGGTTCGAAAATGGTTCGCAACTTGAATGGATGACGGTTGTGTACCCAGGTACAAGTTATTATCATATGGCCATGTGAGTGGACTATGCAACAGGTTGGCATAATCTGCTCAAATGTGCTCCCATTCTAAGATTAAGTACCTTAGCAAACAACTTTATACGGAAAAGTACCAGAAACTAAAAAAGTGTATACTCTGATAATCAATGCACGGTCCAATGAAGTGGCACAGGAAATACAGATTAGCGTAGTACAAAGATAAATAGATGGCAGGATGGTTCGACAAACGTTGTAATATTGGAAGGCACAGTTCACCGAAGGTACAGTACAGTATATACAAGTACACACTTGCCTGATTCTTCAGCGGCCATTTTCTTTTCTTCACTTATTGCTGCAAGAAAACCTTTTCTTTTTCTAGCTTAAGGGTTTTGACTTTCTACAAAAATCTTGGTGTTTATTGCTTTTCATGGCTGCTGAACGCCACGAAAACACCAACAACACCAAGACATTACGCGCGACATCCAATAATTCTGATTTCACTTATTTAAAAATCCAAATCCTTTCGTGAAATTTATTGACTGCAAAAGACTTGCTAATTTCAGCCAAGATGGATATGGGATCTATGTCGATGTCCATGACAATGCCGACGTCGACGGCTACAGCCACCGCGTCATCTGCAGCCGCCACCACCACGGCCGCGATGAGTATGTCCGGAACGGACATGGGGATGGGAGATAGCCACAGCTGCAAGATTTCTGTACGACTCTTTCTTTTTCCTCCCCCCTCTTTGGAGTTGACCTGGCGAAACTAATAAACATAGATGCTCTGGAACTGGAACACCGTTGACGCGTGCTTCATCACTGAATCATGGCGCATCACGTCCAAGGGTATGTTCGCCGGCTCTTGCATCGGTGTCATCCTTCTCGGCATTCTTCTTGAGCTCCTTCGACGCTCTGTCAAGGAGTACGATCGCTACCTAGTCCGCACGAACGCCAAGAACAGTAGCGTTGTCGCCGTGGCTTCCAACGATGGCAATGAGAGCGGCCGCACCTCACCTAAGCCTGGCCCTCAAGCCACTGCCGATCCCTCTTCGGTAACTACCGCCCCTATTAGCGCTGGCTACAGACCGAAGTTGCACGAGCAGGCTATCCGAGCCCTACTTCACACTGCGCAATTTGTTGTAGCCTACTTCCTGATGTTGTAAGTACTTCCATCCCGTGTCTTACATGTAGTCATGTTATTCTTGTGTACCCCCAAAACATACGGAGTCCGACGTGACTAATACTGTTTCATTAGGCTTGCCATGTATTACAACGGCTACTTCATCATCTGCATCTTTATTGGTGCGTTCATCGGCAGCTTTGCGTTCCAGTGGGAGAAGCTTGGCGGGTAAGTGCTTGACACAACCTTATAACTGTTGTATCTTTTTGATCTAACAATGACAATAGTGGACAGCAGACTAGCGCTGCTAACGAGGCTACTGTTTGTTGTGGTTAGATCCGTGCACAGGATTGACGAATTTGCAATCTTTTATGATTGAGGTGGGGTTGTGCATAAGCATTCGGAGTTAGGGGATATCAGAATACGCATTTTGCGTCGCATTTCTGGTCAAAAGACCTGTTTAATTCTCTGAATAAGGCGTTAAGTTAATGATACCTTTTATTTTACACTTTTGCTGAACTATCGTGAGCGTGAAAGCCAGATTAGATATGTTGAGATATGCCATATTAACCTTAATATTTTAACATTGTGATTAATCGCCATGGCGATGAACTCCTTTCTAGAATGGCTTTAGCAGTCATCTTTTAAACTTAAGTGAAGTGAAGCCGTTTGGAGGGTACGGGTGTACATACTTGGCTTTGAATCTTCGATAGTTCCGAATTAGGAAACTTTTTGTTTAAATGTTGGATGTAGGTACGTACCTCCCGATCGGCGGGGATTAGTCATACGACCCATCATAATTTTTTGTAAGAAAGCCGATCATTTTTAGCATCCTAGTCAGGACAACTTCACCAAGACCTCTACCTATTTTTTCAATTATTCTCCAGGATTAACCTGACAATCACCCCTTTCTTTCGCGTCTCATTTCTGAAGACCTCTCTGTTTGCCTAAATAGTACTGTCAATTGCCGACACCAAAATGGCTGCGGGCGAAGACAGTTTCCTCGACCTGGAAAGGCATCGGGTGGAGTACGAGAAGCAAATTCTCAATCAGACGAAGCTGCTTGATTTCTGGAAACAATTACAACAAGAGTACGACGCGTTACGAACAGACGTAAATTCGCTAGAACCTTCGCCGAGTCCACACGAATTAAAGAAAGTACGCGATGACTACAAAGGAGAACTTCTGAAAGAGAAAGAGCTCGATGATATTTTCGGAAGCGACAAGACAAAGAAAGCCGAACAGATCCTCAGCAAACTTACCAACCGATTAGACTATGTCGGAAAGAACGTCGCCACACTTACCAAACAAGTTGAAGACCTTCAGAAGAAACTTTCGGCGGTGGAAATCGTTGCAAATCCGGGCGCGACCGATGAAGATGGATTGCCGATCACGGAGATCATGGAGGAGCTTGATGATGATGACAATGTCGTGTCGTATAGCCTGCGCACCCCGGGGGATCAGCAACCGCAGATTCTTGAAGCGCTGAAGAAAGCTGGTATTACGGACTTTTCGCCTCCTGCCGATACTTCATCGCTACCCGAATCCTCACAGGAGACGCCAAAACCTTCCAAAGAGATTCCAAGTATAACCATCCAAAAGCCCGACGAGGACCAGAATAGCGAGCTACCGAAAGAAACCCAAGTATCTCTAGCTACCCAACCTACGGAACCCAAAATGGAGGAGGCACCGAAGTCGAAACCCGCACCTAAGAAGAAGGGGGTGACATTCAGTGAAGATACAAAACCTGCACTAGTGGAAGAACAATCAGATACTGCCAAGAGATTGGAAGAAATTCTGAAGAAGGCCAGAGATCAACAGAGCATAATATCGGACCCTATCATGCCCGCTGACGAATCTGAAGAAGATGCTGCATTACGAGAAGATATGCTCCGCTACAACAGGGAGACAATGGAGTTCGAAATGGCTCCCATTGTTGCCGAGTTGACGCTAGATAGCGACAATGGTAGTGACGATGAAGACGACTACAGCGACTATGACGAGGGTGATGACGATGACGACGAAGACGAGTTCGGCATGACGAAATTAAGGGTCGATGATGAGTGGAGAAAACGAATGCTGGAACTAAAGGAAAAGCTGACCGATTACGACTTTGGGAAGCACAAAGCCTCGAATGATGAGGATGAGATGGTTGAGGGAATTGGTCGCATAAGCATCAAGCGTGAAGGTCAAGCTACTCCCGATGTACCTGTCGAAACTAAATCAGCACTCAAGTCAGAAGTCGAGGATACAGCGTCGCAAGATACTAAGAAGAGCGTTAGGTTTGCTCAGAGCCTTGATATTGCCGAAGAGACGGCTCCAGTTGCAGCACCAGCGCCGATGAAGGAAGCAGAGCGTCCCGAAGTCGACCCTCTGTCCGAAGTCGTCATGGAGCGTACTAGTGGCGCACCCCAACCAGTGGTAGCCCCATCCTCCAAGAAGACATCCCGATTCCGTAAGGAGCGAAGCAAGGCAGCACCTATGAACATGACTCCAGTAGCTTTAGGTGGCGCTCCGATTCTACCAGACCAACCCGACATAATTGGAAAAGAGACACCCTCCGGACCCGGGGGTCAGACCCTAGCGACTTCCGTACTGGAACACGAACCGTCCTCGGAACCGAAAGAACCGGATGAGTTCGACGCGAACCTTCTGCACAAGCAAGCTTCAGAGGAATATTATAAGATTCGCAACAAACTCGTACATCGCCAAGGTGGCTTTATGAAGGAAAACAAGAACCCGGTCCAGCCGCTGGATGAAGAGGAGGGTGGACCGAAACGAATGAGTCGCTTTAAGGCGGCAAGACTAGCTCAGCAGTCTTAAGGCATATCGATAACCTACGATGACTCGAGTTGAGCTAGGAGCTGGATCTGGATCTATTCTGCGAACGCGACCTATTGTTACGATGCATTCGAATCGTCCTTTTTAAGTAAGTGGCTACTGGTGAGGTCAAAAGTTGCATGTGTATCTACCATTTCTCGGTAGATGGATGGTTGGCACATACACGGTTTGCATGGTACATATGGGATAGTATCAATGCATCACTGAATTAGACCGGATTCACGACTACCAAATGTCAGAAATCAAATTGTCTCTAACGAAGGTAGGTAGGTCCTGTGCCATGTGCCCATCGTAAGTGTCTTTTATTTGCTCATTTGTTCGTACCCCATCCTCCACCAAGATGCTCCATGATCACGAGCTTTCAAATGCATAATTAGGTACTTTGGGACGGAACGCTTATTAATCTGACAATTGATGCGTAGCGGCTGTCATCTGCTATGCCATTACTAGCGATTCCAACATCGAAATAATGAAAACAGGGCTCTCTGACGCCGTTACCAATGGCTTGGTTTTTGATTGAGCTTCCGTGGTTTTGGCGATTCGTTTCACCCTGTACATTTCAATTCCATTTCTCGTGTCTTGTTCACATGTAGCTAGTAATTCGAATGCCTTCAATCGTATCCTTCGTGAACTCTTTTTGCCTTGATACTTTTTATAATTTTTGCGCTTTGCTCACTGACCATTGCCAGTCTTATCACGCATTCCCTAGAATTTCCATATTTTTTACTGATTTATTTTTCCTGTCCTCCGCCAATAAACCCTACCTAATTTATCTTCGCATTACTAAAATCCAACTCCGGATGCTGGGACTGGAATTTCTTCAATATATCCGCCTTCTTCTGATCCTCCGACGTAGGCAGGCCCATCTCCTTCTGTCGTTGATCGTACATCATCTTCTCAACCATACCCCGCGTCTCGCCGTCTAAATCGCTGAGCTTCGAGTTATCAGGTTGAATCTTGGTGACGTCGATTTTGGGCGCGGAGGTTACTACGTGGGCCCACCATTCCATTTTGTTCGCTTTGTCGAGGTGGATTTCGACGGTTTTGGTTCCGTCGGGCGCCGAGGTTAGCGTCCAGGTTGAGTCTTCGGTTGAGATTGCGTGGGGGAGGTCGCCCTGTTATGTGTTAATACGTTCACTATATTTCTCGCATAAACATGCCTTAGCTGCTTTGTGGATGGGTGGGTGTACGCACATCGATGACAGGTTCTTGCCCCTTGATCCCTGCCTTTAGCTTCTGTCGCTTGATTTCGACGATAATGTCCCGGCCTTTAAGGTTTCCAGGCACGGTTATGTTGATGTCGAGATCGGCGATGGTTTGGTTCCATTTGTATGGTAAGGCTGCCTGTTCCTCGGCCTCTTTGGCGCGGGTGGCGGCTTCTTGTTCGGGTGTGGGGTCTGTTTGTACGTTGCTGTTAGACATTGTATGCTATATTAAAGGAGGTGATATCTAAGTAAACTCATACCGTTATCAGCCATTTTACTATATTCTCAAGTCTTCTGCTGTTTATTATGTATATGAGATGTATGAGTTAAGAAGTTGTAGAAGAATTAGTTCGAAAGTGGGCGAAGCTTAGATAGCTCGATGGAGGGGCAGTCCGGTTATTAGTGGGGCAAGTTCTTCCTTGCAGCTTCTATAAGCATTTCAACCAATCATAGCGAGCCTACCCTTGTCTTATTTGTTCCATCCGCTCGGATAGGTACCCCAGGTACGTACCTAATATCGACCTAAAATTTAGGAGAGCTTGAGCTTCTTTCCATTCTTGAATTCTTTCATAATTCATTCACAATCTTCGCCGTTTCATTCCACCGCAACCACTCTATTTCCCTTATTTTCTTCGGTGGTTTGTAGTCGACAACATATCCATAGGGGATATTGTATCGCTGGATTTACCTTGCAAGACGAAAGAGGGCCACAACAAATGAATGGGAGACTATTCGCGCTCGGCTAGGCGACTACGATTTCCTACCAACATTACCGCGGCGCGACCGACGTGAACCTGCGGAACAGGAATAGACAGGTCACAAACTAAAACAGCAGAACCTACATAACAAGAATCGATAAATCAGAAACCATGTCACGCAAATACACATCCGCCGCATCGCGGACAACATCCACCCCATCCTCCGCGATCCCCTCCTCAGCCAAGCCATCCACCGAGCTCCCCGACGAATTCTGCCCCGTATGTCGACGAATGCGATATCTCAACGCAGACATGGAATTCCTCATAAACCCCGAGTGCTACCACCCAATGTGCAGCAACTGCGTAACCAACATCTTCGGCAAAGGCCCCGCGCAATGCCCCTACGCAAGCTGCACCAAAACCCTCCGCCAACGCGGTTTCCGGTCCGCATTCTTCCGCAACCTAACCGTGGAACGCGAGGTCGATGTTCGTCGTCGCGTGCAAGCAGTATTCAACATGGTACAAGACGATTTCGAGACGTTGCGTGATTACAACGATTACCTCCAACAAGTCGAAGACCTAACCTTCGACCTAGTCCAAGGCGGAGACATAGAACGCCGGGCCGCGGAGGAGAAATTGTTAGCGTATGAACAGAAACACAAAGAAGACATCGAGAAGAACAAGAAACGCGGTCGCGAAGCAGAGTCCCTACGCAAACAGCGCGACGCCGCAGACGCAGAAGCAGCGCGCCAGCGCAGGTTAGAAGAACAAAGGGAAGAGGAACGGGCTAGGGCGGAAGAAGCTACTATCAACGCGGAAGTCATGGAGGCGCTTGCGCGCGGGGAACCCGGTACGGCGGCGGATATACAAGAGCGTATTATTGCGCAGAAACGCGCTCGTGTTGCTGAGATCGCGGGGTCGCGTTTTCCGTCGTTGCTACCGTCTACTACTGCTACTGCTACGAATAAACCGAGTAATCTACTTTCTATACGTGGTTTACGCGATAAATCCCAACGCGACGAGGACGCGGATTATTATCTTCGCCCGTATGATCCGTTCGCAGGGTTGGATTTATTACCTACGCGATACACCCTACGTGGTGAGGGCGACGGGTATGCGAATCCATGGCTTGAGGAGGCGAAGACGAGGGATGATCATAGAGTCCCTGGGTACAGTACGAGAGAGTATGCGGCGCGCGCTATGTTTGAAGCGTTTGCGGGGCTGGGCGTGGTGATTGGGGAGGAGAAGGAGAGTGAGAAGAAGGCTGTGGGGACTGCGGGTGCGGTGGATGTTGCGGGGATAGGGGCTGGAGTTGGGGCTGGGGTGAAGATGGAGGTTGATGATGTTTTTAGTTGAGCCTGTCATTCGGAAAGGCGTTCATGGGACGGTAGGCCGTCAAAATTCAAGGAGGACGGTAGAGTCTTGTCCACACTGCCATGTGGTCATCTTCGGGACCAAAGATACCGGGTGGAGCATGCATGCGATGCGTACCTATCATACCCATAGTTACGCGCGTTAGAAAGGGGGTACATCATTACTCACCACCCATGGGACCGGAGTGAGGTTTCATCATTTTATTTGCATAGCGTCGGCGTTTAGGCTTTGCATTTACATTTCCCTAGGAACTGCGCTCATATTGGAGCATGCATGTGTCTGAATGGTTAAGATAGAAAGGACGGAATTAAGATCTCAGCGGTGATATAGAAATAAGACGTTAAAGTGCTCTAATTGCTATAATCGTCGTGAGTTTTAATTTTGATCTTGAATGTAAATATTCTCCTATCTTAGTAGTTTGATATGTCATAGGTAGGTAGGGAACCTATTCGCTCATATTGATTGCCCCGTCAAATATAAATGTCTATCTCAAATACCACCCTAGCCCAACCATCCCAATCACACCACTTTACGCCGCGCAAGAAACGGAAAAACTAAGTAGGAAGTCATTAACATATGCCATTATACAATAGCCTACTATTAAATGTGATTTGCTTTATGTTGTTTCGTTTTGTCGGGTGTTGTAGAAATCAAAGGTTTGGGCTAGGGGGCTTGGGAATAATACAGGTATAGGTAATGTCTCTGGTCCGTCTGTCCCTCAAATTCGAATTTGATCCCATTCCTATCATCGCCCATCTTCTCCCATCATCGCGGGTTCTCTATTAATCGCAAGTCCCTAATCGCGATGTCCACCTCTGCTTCAACTTCTCGTGGATAATCTTGGTTTCCTTGGGGGAAAAACGCTATCAAGTTGATCGTCTTATTTCTTCTTGTTTAGGCACCTTGCGTTATGTTGGGAAACACAATCCTATAAATTACGCAAGTACCTTTGCCACTCGCCCAATTCGTCTTGCTCTCAAAAAACCACCTGTGTTAATTCCTCTTTCCTTCGGTCTCAACAATTCTTCCGATGTAGGAAGAAAATTCCATGGTCAAATCCAAGGATAACGCCTCGCTCTATGCGTGCTCTGATAAGTTTGGGTTGCGTCTCGTATAATACCCCTCATTTCCAACTGTTATAATTCTCCATGCCTCACTATTCACTTTCCTATTGTTGCCAAGGGGTCTGTGTGGCAGGTCGAGGGAACACAGGCATCGTCTCCAAATGATCTAACCCTCCACCTATTGGCTGTTGTCCGTGTTGCCAACCCATCCCTGTTTGGTGATTCACGAAAGCGCCTTGCCGGAAAGGATTCGTACTTCCTGTAGGTTGTGGCATGAGACCGCCGCTGGTCTGAGGCCTTTGTGGTTGGTTTTGGGGTTGATTCTGAGGTTGACCGAAATTTCTCGCAAACGGATTAGTTCCAGTAGTAGCGGACTGAATTGGTGCTTGAACTTGAGGTTGGCTTGGAGGTTGTGATTGGAAAGGAGAGCTCGAAGATGGATTTGAGAAAGGAGTGACAGCTTGAGGGGATGATCGGGCGAAAGGATTCGTATTTTGCCGGCTTAGACCGCCAGCTTGGGTCTGCGGGCTAGTCGGCGGAGGGAATGAGTTGGTGGTCATTCCAGTGGGATTCGCCATCATCATAGATGCCCTAAAAGGATTAGTTGTTTGTTGGCCAGGCTGTAGTCCTCCCGTCTGCATAGGGGGCGATAGCGTTCCAGTCGGAAATGATGTAGCAGTGTCCTGCGGTATAGAAGGTAGGGTGCCTGGTGTGAAAGCTGGTTGTGGTGTATATCCGCCGAAACCAGCACCTGTGAAATTTGGCTGCATTTGATTCGGTACTTGTTGCTGCTGAGAGAAAGCGCCGACGTTCTGCTGTTGAAAAGGGCTATTATTGGGCTGAAATCCAGTAGGTTGGGGGACAAAGCCATTGCCCTGGAGCTGGCCCGTCGGCTGCACCGCAAAACCGGTATTTGAGGGCCAAGGATTGCCTGTGGGCATTGGTTGGTTAACCTGGGTTATCTGCGGTTGCGGGTTTGGCTGCACGGCCATTGCGGTCTGATTTTGTTCTATCGAATCGAAGAAATCGATAAGGTCGGGATCTGGTCCTTTTGTCGCTTGTGGTGGCGGTTTCGACGATGGCGTTGGTGAACTACCCGGTTTCTTGAACACCGGCTTCGCATCTGCTGCGCTCTTGTCTCCTTTTGAAGAAAGTCCGGCGCCTCCTTTCTTCTTGGCATCAAGTTCTGCTAAGTACTGTCTTCGGTGGATTTCGAAGTCGGGATCCTTCAAATATTCTTCTAGCTGACGTCGAAGATTGATCGGAGCGTGCTTCAGCTTAGGAACCTCGACTCTAGTATGAGGCTCCCACTGCCTGGCTATAGATAGATATTGCACGACGTAATCTGTCTGCTTCGTAAAATTTTGATATATTTCCAAAGCCCTTTCCGCATCCGGTCTTGACATTTCGAAGAAATGCCCTAGGTTTGGTCAGCCTCTAGTGTGGGTATCTTCAATGGGATGCTTATGGACTTACCCAAAATGTTGATCATGGCTTGGTTCAATACCTGGAATAAGGACAGTAAGTCCAACACTAAAAGTCTGAAGACGGTGATGGTAATTTCGTTCTCGGGATCCTCAAGCACCTGTTCACCAGCAGGGTCAGCATCGCCCGTATACGACGGAAATGTCGACAACGTACATCGCATTTTAGAAGAGCAGTCAGTTGGTGTTGAACGACTTCGGTCTCTCGGAGTAGTCCCTTGTCAACCGAGAGTTTCTCCAATCGCGTCTCCTTGGCCCGAACCCAATCTACTCTCGTTTCTCTATACGCACGCACGCGCTCGCCGAGATATCCGGCATAGTGCCGTATATTTCGACCCTGAATTTGTGCTACCGTCTACATTAGAAATGTGGTCTTTCGGGTTACCGATATACCAAATTGCCCCGTATTATATCAGCAGATTACTCACCATCAGTAAAGGAACCGATCGCTAGCATATTTCGATGTTTTGCAAGATATGCTAGTGTCGCGTCCGGAGACCCTTCCCTGATCATCAAGTGGATGGTGATCAAACTTTTGAGTACGACAGTCCATGTTGAATCCCGTAATCGAAACTGTAAGGCCCGAAATACTTCTCCTACTCCAGCTTCGCCTGCGTGTGTAGCGACAAGGATATGTTCGATGTACTTGGTTTTCGGAGGGGCGGCCTGGGTCAATATCATGTCAGCCACATCTAGCAATACTGATATTTTGTATACTTAATAGACAGGGCCGATCCGTAGGATGGACTCACCTTGATCTTGGTTGCACCCTTGACCGACTTCTCAAAAGAACTAGACATGATGGTGACGGTAGCAGAGGTTAAGCCTCAGGCTGCCGAGTATATCTATTGTCAGGCGTCGTCACCTTGGGGGTTTGGGTATCGATCGGGATTATCGGGTCGGAGGTCTACGAGTAGGAAAATAGAATTAGAGGAGGCTCGGTGGAGGATTGGTAGGACTATTTGTCAATGTCGGACAAAGGCGACAATCATAATCGGGAGTGCGACGTCAGGGACGATCAGGTTCGTAGAGGACCAGATTGAGCGGATTGATGATCCGAAGTAGAAATCGTGAGCATTAGGCGGATTTTGGGATTTTGGGGAGGGAACTTCGTTACGACTATTCCATTTCGAGACGACCCTCTGTTTTGTTTTAATACAATAACTATTGATACATTGAATATCTAATTTCGCAAATGATTGACTCCGTTATCGTTTGTCGATGTTGATGTTACTGGGCGGAGGGATTTCTCTCGTCCTATTATCTACCGAGCAAGGAAGCTCAGGATAAGAGGATAAGGGAAATGGAGGTTTTGGAAAAAAAGAGGCTAAGCAGGCTAGCCAAGTCCTAGCCGCAACGTTGGGTGGTCGGGATATCGGGCTGCCGTTGTTGGCTACTAATGCTGCTCCTGCTGCTGCTGATCTAATTTAAGGTTTGCACCGTCATCCTGTGCCCACGTACAGATACCTATCGACAGTTACAGTACGTAGCACTTGAGTACCTATGTACCTACTATACCCGAATCCACCGACTTTTCGTAGTGGGTTTCAAATTCATACAAACATCATGTGCTTACATACGTCACATAGGATATTCTTCATTTCATTCAAGATATAAGGGGCACTAGTTCATTGACGGACGATTTTCAATCTCGAAAAGGCTATCTTTCAGGTACAGGTATCCTAGTACCTACACCTACTCTAACCCACAGAAAAAGCTACGTATTTCCGATGAGGTCATATTAATTGTACGTGAAAATCATTCGAAAAGCAGACCCAAAAACAGGTTTATATCTTCATTGTTCATGAGCAATTTGAACCCAGAAAGGGTTTCCTATGCTATGATTCAGAACTTCTATCTATTTCCTTTGAAGTACAATATCATCCTATGAAAACGCGCACAATCCACTTATATACATAGGATACCTAAGTCGGATAGGTTGTAGAACTAAAGAGAAAAAGAAACAATAAAACAAGCCTTCCAAACTACCAAATAGTAATCAGAGTTGCCTTTCGCGTCCGATGTAAACAAGGTCGAGGTGTGTCGAACGCTTATTTCATGATTCCGCCCTCTCGTTACAATAGAACCACTTAAGCCACCATAAGGAGGAGAGTTCCAGAGCTTCGAGAGGAGGAACACATCATACAATACACGCAGCTTTCATCATCTATCGAAAAATTGTTAGCACCGATTCAAAATTAAAATAAGAGTAATACTTTTCATGGGGTAAATACTCACTTTTATTTGAAGTGGAAGGATGAAGAGAAAAGGAAAAAAAGAAACCCAAGCTTTGGTGGAAACAGCAATAGAAATGGATTTTTTGCGCCGGAGCGGGTCTATAATTGTCCGTCAACATACTGTGGGCCTTGCTGATATAATGCATGGATAGTTATGTACGGTTCTTATCGATACGGTTTTATCTACCTAGGTACATGATATGTAGGTATTGTCATCCGTTCAGCTTAATCTTTTCAGCATCCTCGTATTTCTTTTTTCTTTTTCTTTTCTAAGAAAAAGGGAAAACCGGAAAAGTCAGATGAGGATTCCATGGTTCGATCCTTTTCAATTCCCCTGCAAAGGTGTGCCCTGAGATGCATCGTCGGCATCAAAGGGCAGCCTGTATCTCGCCGATGGCAACCTATCTTTCAGTTGAAGCACACGAGATCCATTCATGATGAGACCCACGATGATAAACAAAGTTCTATTCATGATATTACCACCACTGCATCTACGTCTGAACTCACTGGATCTGAAGATAAACATATTATGCGTGCATTGAAGGATGAGTCCTGTAAGAAATAAAACTTCCAGTTACCTATTATGAACTAAGTCTGAGTAGTTCATATCCAGATTTCACGCTCCCTAATCCTACGCACAAGAATGACTATCGTGCTGGAGAGAGCGTTATTATTTACGGCTTCCTCAAGAAGCGTAAAGATAAAAGAGCCGGCTTGAGCATTTGTGAATTGGTTCCCCATAACTCCGACGTCGTCATTCAGATTGAGTCTCGCCGTCAAGACTCCGATCATACCCATGAGAAATTCAAGTCTATCCCGGCTCACAGCCCGGTCATGATTCAGGGAGTCCTCCAGGAGTCTTCAAAGGGTAGTTCAGACCCGACACGGCGACATTTGAAGAAATGGGACGTAAGGCTGCAACATATACATTGCCTAAACCCTTTCCCGAAAGATATTATCGTCTCCGAGAATGCTGTGTGGCCACCCAAATTACGTCATATGCAACTTCGGTTCGATCCTGCTCTTCGCGATAGGTTGAAATTCCGCCATGATCTGCAGCGACTGTGTGTTAACTGGCTACATGAGGAAGGGTTTACTCAAATCGATACTCCTATTCTCTTCAAGTCGACTCCAGAAGGTGCGAGAGAATTTTTAGTCCCGACGAGGCGTAAAGGCTACGCCTATGCGTTACCGCAGAGCCCGCAGCAGTACAAGCAAATTCTTATGGCCGGTGGCATTGGGAACTACTTCCAATTCGCCAGGTGCTTCCGTGACGAGGATAATCGTGCCGACAGACAGCCCGAGTTCACCCAGCTAGATTTGGAGATGGCTTTTGCCAATGAGGGAATGGTAATTGAGTTGGTTTCACGTCTCATGACCAAAATATTTCACTACCTCCACACCAACTACGTTTCGGTAGATGACCTTGGCGGACGGCACCCAATATATCTTCCGAAAGACGACCTGCCGTTAGTGGACGAAGATAAGGCCGCATATGGGAAGCAAGGTCAACCCCAATCCCGAAATGAAAATAAACCTAGCGAAGGAAATAGTGGGAGAGAGGGGGACGGTGTCTTTCGGTATCCTCCCACCTCCCTTCAGATTGCTAGGATACCATATGAAAAGGCAATGCAATGGTTCGGTTCCGACAAGCCCGATTTACGTATACAACGGCCACATGTATCGAGTGTGAGTACTACTTCCTACGGGCACATACTCTATATACTAACTACATCAGATCCGTACCCTCTCAGATCTCCCAAAAGAATTCACTAATATGATCACAAGCCTAGAAAATCCTGTCGTGGATTTTTGCAAGTTTCAATTAAATTTACCACCTAGCGAGGCTAAAAGCTTTATAAGCAAGTTTATGGACGCTCTGCCTAACTCCACAATCAAATTAACTCCTGAGAGTACCCCTGCTGTCTTCATATACGATTCTAGCAAGCCACTTAATGGATTATCAGCCTTGGGGCACGAAAGTGCCGAAAATATTTCGGGGATTCAAGATGATTATTTCCCTGAAATTAAGGACGGCGACATTCTCATCATGCAAGCACGGAAAGATGAGCCTTTCTTCGGGGGTTCTACTGACCTCGGCAAGCTCCGAACCGCAATACACTCAGCGGCTGTCCAGGCGGGTTTGATACCCAAAGACCGCTCATTTAGAGCTGTCTGGATATACGAGTTTCCCCTCTTCACGCCGAATGGAGATGACCCTGGACAAGGAGGAGCCTCGGGGTTCTCTTCTACTCACCACCCCTTTACAGCTCCTCGCGATTACGTGCTCCTCAAGACGGACCCGCTCAAAGTTAAGGGCAGACACTACGACCTCGTCATCAACGGCGTAGAGCTCGGCGGTGGAAGCCAACGTATTCATCAAGCTTGGATCCAGGAGATGATTATGCGAGACGTTCTCAAGATGACCGACGAGGGCGTTGCCGAGTTCTCGCATCTTCTTGAGGCCCTACGAGCGGGGTGCCCACCGCATGCTGGGTTCGCGTTCGGGTTTGATCGCCTGCTGACGGTACTTTTGGGTCTCACATCGGTTAGGGACGTTATTGCGTTCCCTAAGGTGAAGGGGGGCGAAGATCGACTCGTTGGTAGCCCGGCGAAGATTACACCTGCGCAGCAGGAGATGTATCACATCTTTGCGGACTCGGAAGAATAGGGATGATATTCGTCGTGTACGTAATACATTAGGATTGTAAAAATGTATACAATATTCAACTCTAAGCAATTTTTCAGGTCCTGGTTCTGCTAACTATTCCGACGGAAGTTTTCTTAATGGCACTCCTCGAAATGTCTCATGTGTTCAATATCTCCACCTGTTTTCTACTCACATGATGAAAACAAGGCGAAAGGTACACATACATCCCATTCGTACCATACCAGACGAAGTATAATTGATAATAGGACAATGGGTCAGTCAATTAATTCGGATTCCACCTATCCCCATCCACGACTTTTCAAGAATGCATACCAAGCCCCCATCCTCCGTGAGCCAATCTGTTCAATTACCCCTGACATCCAACACATATGATTTCACAAACTACACCTACCTAGGTAATACGCAGCTAAGTCAAGCAGACTTTACCAACAATTAATCCACACTCTCCCCATCCACAGCAGCAGCCTCCTCCTCCTCATCAACGGCATTCTGAGACATGTCTTCCTCTCCATCGATCGCATTTCCAACTTTCACATCATCCGCAACCCGCTTTTCTCCATCTTCGGTCTCGGAACTAGATCCGTCCTCCTCTATGTTACTTACGGCGACAGCTGCATCCGATATAATAACAGCCTCTTCTAGCGGCGGCAAACCCTCTTCGTCCCCTAGCTGCGCGTACGTACCGTTTGCGGGTTTGGCGTGGCGTGTGCGTTCTCCGATGATGTTGGATGTGTCGAGGGCTTCTTTGTCTTCGTGGGCTGTGTTGGGTGGGTGTTAGTGTAGCGATAGTATAGCGTATTGGGTTAATGAGGCGTTGGTAAAGAGTGTAGGGCAGAAGATAGGGGGGACGCACTCAGCTTCAAGTCAGCAGTAGCGATCCCCTCGTCAATAGGAATACCCGCGTCTGTCTGCACAGGGGCATCTTCGTCCTTGCGGCTGGTGTGGGAGATGTACGGCTTGTCCGCGACGTTAGCGGAGGGGGCGGGAGCTTCGTCGCTGTAGAAAGACATCTTGAAATTTTCAATATTAATAAGTCGAGATATTCTTGGTGTGCTTTGGTGATACTTGAGTAAATTGATGGTATCTTCAAGAGCAGATATCTCAACTCATCTTCGGCGGGGAGCCTTACTCTTATACACAACTTCAACACCATCACTCATCCTCTATCTCCATGAAAAGTCCCTCAAAGTAACGAACTCATCCCACCCAGGCACACTCACCTAACGTCATCATCGTCATCGTCATCAACGCCTCAATCGATCGATGCTTACCTACCCCCCCCCCTAACAACCCAACACATTCGCATCAACCCCCTCCTCTCTATGAACCCCCTATCGTGAATCACAACACCGCACACAAATAAGCACGACAGTCCGTTATAATCGCTTCAGTGACGATATCCCCACGTTCAACCGTTCCTTCCATTTCCCCTTTGCTTTTTTTCCTGAGTATGGCATAGTTTCGGCTCCTACGACAGAGTTGTGACTTATTACTTTCGCCTTCACCCCGGGTTTCGCGCACTCTCAGCCCCGCATACCCCCGGGGAGATAGATAGGAATCGTCATGTTGGCGTAACTCTAGAATTATGTAGGACAGAAGGAAGTGTTGAGGACGCTTCTTGTCATTTATCACACTCAGGAGCTGGATTTCGTTTCGAATACGAGGAAAAAAAGCAAAACCTGGAGTTGTAGATGACGAGTCGGCTATATGTGCGTGAATCATATATCAACTTTCACCTTACCCCCGGTCAAATCCGAAGCATCCCAAATAGATGCCTATCACATCTGATCTACTAACCTATACGAAGGTACTATTCAGCCCTACCTCACGCAACCAACCAAACCCCATCACTTACACATACGTCACCTATGCCATCTCCTATCACAACTCACTATAACACCATCACCCAAAGAACCACCGCAAGTAAAATCATGACAGTCATAATCAATTCCTTCTACGTGCCTAATCATGCATGCATCGTTTCTAAACCAAAAGGGGTATCAATATCATATATCCATGCTCACTCCTCACCCCTCGCCCCCCCATCTCCCCGTCCCTCACCCTCTCACCGAAAACTCGACGGCCCACCCCCACCACCATCCCGTCGACTCGCCATACTCTCCTCCAGCGCCCGTCTCAACTCCTCATCCACCTCCCCATCCCCATCCCCATCTTCACCCACACCCATACTCCTAACCCTACTCTTCCGTCTAAACTCCTCCTCCGCAAGACTCTGTTTCTTAACATACTCCAGCACAATATCCTCCTCCGTCCTCAAACTATTCGCCCGTGCCAACTCCTCCTTATGCGCACGTTCCGACTCCTCAATCGCGCGGCGTAACTCATCATCATCCCCTGCCCCTTCCTTATTCTGTTCATTTTGCGAAGCCTCAATCGCTTTTCTTAATTCCTCTTCCTCATCTGAATCTCGGGATTTATGTTGAACCTCCGAAGCTTGTAGCGCCTTTTTATAATTCACATCTTCATCATCAGCACTACGCTCCGTCTGTGATCTTTCGAGTGCTCGCTTGAAGTCCTCGTCTTCTTCGCTTTCCTCGAGGTCGTGCATTTGGATACCTCTATGCTGTGAGTCCGCGATACTTAATTGCACGGCTTGTTCGATTAGCGCTTGGTACTCCTCGTCCGTGATATCCATGAGATCTTCGGGGATGCGAGGAGGTAGTGCCGGCGGCGAGGCCATGGGGTCGGGTATCGGACGCTTGATATCGGACATGTATCCGGAATCTTGTCCGCTGGATGCGAAGGACGTAGTCGAGTTGTACGATCCTACCGTTGTAGATCTAGTTCGTAATGCCCTGACGCTCGAGCGAATCGCTTGTTCAATTCGCGCATCTTCAGAAGCATCACCGTTAGAAGTTTCTCGCACTGCGGTCAGAATAGCTCGTTCGAACTCCTCATCCTGTTGTTCACGTGTACTATCCATGTTGGAGAGGGGTTCTTCCTCGATAAACGTGCCACCTGTTGCCGCTGCTTCTGCTTTCCTTTTCTTCCATGCTTTCTTCTGTTCATGCAATCTCTTCCGTTCGTCGAGAGACATATTCCTTGTGTGAAGCCATCCTGTCTTCGGTGGTTCATTGCCAAGGATCTGCTCAGTTATAACACTTCCGTGGCCCGGTACCATGCGGGGAGACGCGTCCCTAGATTTTCCTTTCTCTTTCTGCTTCCAGGTATAAAATCCTCTCATTTGCTCCTTTTGTGAAAGCCAGCGAACTTCAATATCCTCACGCTCCGCTGGTGATGCGTTGGTAAAATCATCTTGACCTTGAGAAACTCTGGATGAGATAATGTATTTTTGGGCACTCTGGGCAAACATTGTCCGTATTTCGGCATGGACTCCCTGCATGGTATATGCTGGAATAGACCATATAGCTACCGTAGGTGTTAGTATACTCAATTATGACGGGAGTTGGCCTTGTCGTAGCTCACCTGCTGCGGGTTTTAGCACCAACCCTCCAATACCCTTGCCGAATCCCTTCAGCACTCCGACACCACCATCCTTCTCTGCACCTCTTAGAGGCTGGGTCACAAGCCCAGTGATCCCATCGTAGAAGCCAAGACCGAATTCCTTGCTAGCGATCTTAAGACCACTGGCAAAATCCGTGACTTTCTCTGCGGGTCGGACAGTATCGTCGTTATATAGTGTCGGCGCATTTCTGAAACCTCTCGCAAGTCCCAGACAGAAGTTCATGGGTGTCTTCATTCCAGCAGCCACGATATTGTTGACGCTCTTGCCGACGCCGATTGCCCTTTCAATATTGTCATTGCTCATCAAGTTCGGTGACGCTGCTCCTACCCTTTGCATTGAGTTGTTACGTTGATGGCCAGGGGTAGAAGGCGGTTCGGATGGAGACCTTGAACGAACTGATGGGAACGAGGCAGTAGGCGCTAGGTTAGGTAGACTACTATTCTCGGTCCTCATACCAAGAGGGTGGGAGGGTATACTAGCTAAATCTGCATTTGGCAAGGTCGTAGTAGAGTCGGCAGCACTCACACGATCCACTGAAAGCGTACTGTTATTAACCTCCGCTGAAACAATAGTAGTTGTGTCATCGTCAGCTTTTTCAGTTGACTTTGATGATTTCGGGCCTATTGCTGCTTTGAAGACGCCTCGTGGAAGGTCTGCCACAGACATGGCGATGGTACTAAAGTCGCCCACTAGAGCAGACGTACAAGCTGATATGGGGTCTGTCGGGTGGTCCTCAGTACTGTATTCATTGGCACGGAATCTGAGATGAAATATTAGCATAATTAGGCCATGATATGTAGCCTCAAACAGGATGTACTCACAGTTTCAAATCCGAGTACCTTAGATACCCGTTATTAACGAGTGTTGCTGCCGCAAGAGCGCTGAGATGAATCTGAGTTCGGCGAAGACGCCATACAGCAACTCGGCTAGGAGCTAAAGCGCATCGGAGTCTATCGACATCAAGATGCTTATGAAAGCATTGAGCTCCAACGTCTGCACCCTTTTCTTCCCGAATTTTCTCTCCCAATTCGTAGGCTCGCTCTTGGGTTTCTGGTTTCAGCGCCGTTCGGATAGCTTCGGCTAATCCCTCTGCAGTGAGTTTCTTGTACGGAATAGGTTCGGGACCTGCACCGGCCCTCGCAACCATAGCGCCCCAAAAAGGTTGATCTCCAAAGAATGGAACAACAATGGTAGGTTTACCCGCATTGATTCCGGCCGCTGTGGTTCCAGCGCCTCCGTGATGGCAGACGGCGGAAACATGCTGAAATAGCCAATCGTGGGGAACATTGCCAAGCATAAAGACGCCCTCTGGTATACCGACCGAATCCGCTCCTAAGCCGCCCCATCCCTTAGAAACAAGTGCTCGCACTCCCGTCTCGGCTACGGCGTCAAATATCATTCGGGTTAAGCCATTAGGATCATCCACGACAATAGATCCAAATCCTATGTAAACGGGAGGGGGGCCCGCCTCGAGAAAAGCGGCTAATTCAGGCTCCGGAGTGAAAGATGATGCCAAGTTAAGGAAATAAAATCCAGCAATGTCAATATGTTGACCCCAATCGTTCGGCTTGGGGATGAGAGCTGGTGACCTATGGTACGTATGAGATTGGTGTGTATTTTAAGGGGTTATTAGTTTTCGACTTACCAGCAGTATGTGTAAGGGATCCGGAGTCTAGTCAGCACGGCAGGTGCCCAGAGTATAGAAAGAGGCTCAAGGTCAAGAATCTTTGTACGGAACCGATTGATTACATCTCCAAGTCCTTGCCATGTCATCATTTCAACCAATGCATATGAGATGTAATTCGTGGTGATCGGATCTGTATTTGAGGATTGAATATTCGCCAGCGGTTGTGGGAACGCTCTTGTCGGCGACCAAGGCATACTTTATTTCATTAGTGGTGAATCTCGTATACACTTTCTTCTGAGACTTACGTGAACATTAAGTGTAGAGGTACTCCTAGTTTTTCCGCGATATGTATATGCGCGAAACTAGGTGGGTTTGCGATAATCGCATCTGCGACAAATGGCTTGTGGCCAGAGAGGTCACTTAAAGGACCCGGACTCTCCTCAGATTCATGGTCGTTGCGCCGTTTATCAAAGCGCGGCGCCGGTCCAAGACCATCTCCAGTCTCGATAGCAGATCTCCAGCAGCCAAGAACGATCTCTTCAATTCCCTTTCTTCGCTTGGCGATCTCACCGCTTTTCAACGTATCGATACCGGGCATTAATCCTGGGTTCTTGACCATAAAGGCCATGAGTTCGGCGGGATCGCCTCCGATGTTGAAGAATTCTAGGCCATTATCTTCGACGAATTTCTGAAATGTCGCATGCGTTGCTACTCTGACTCGGTGACCGTATGTTTTCTTCAATATTTGACCGAGCGCGACAAATGGTTGTACATCACCCCGAGATCCCACGATCTGTATCACGACGTTTAACTGGGGCGGAGGGGTCTGACCCGGTTGACCACCTAGACTAGGAGGGATATAGGCAGGAGGGAGAGTAGATTCGACCGCGGTTTCGCTCTCTCTTAACTGGTTACGTAGAGCGGGTGCGATAAAATCGGCTAGATGTGGACTCGTTTGGTTTATGTTGATGTTGACTCGACCGTCGTCTAATATCAAACCTCATATTAGTTACTGAAGTATTATATAGCTATGAGATGGAGGGGCGTACCCGTAACAGCAGCGCCGGCATCAAACCCATTCTGGTGAAGAGAAAATTGGTCAAGGTTTTCGCTGTATGCTGGGGGAATTTCCTCGTCAACTGCAAGTTCCGTATCGACAGGCATGAGACCAGTGTTATATCCATCATTATCATTTACAACGACCTCTGGAGCTTGGCTGAAGGAAGTACGGCCAGGAGTTTGAGCTCTGGCGCTCTTCTCGTCGACGATCGTCATTATGATAGGTTTAGGAAGGTTATGAAAGCATGTGGAATAAGATTTAGTCTATGGTAGAATGTTGTAGACACGATGTTATGAAGAATCTTGAAGTTTTGAAGTTCTGGGAAACCTGATTCTAGCGATTAAGACACGAAGAGGGGAATGACGAAATACAGATAAGGGAGGGGTATCACATGTAGTAACGATAAAAAAGAAGAATCATAATCAGGTATCACGAGGAATACGAAGAGAGAAAAAGAATACTGAGTAATGGCACTGAATTGGAATATATTGACTAAGATTTCTTGAAGTTATGAGAATATGAGTGTAGTATTAAGAGTGAGGGAGAGAGGAAAGAACAGTACCGTATTTAGGTTGATATCGCGAAGCTCCGCGCCCGGCGCAGCACGTTGATAATAGTAGAATAAGAGGGTACTTATTGTGTAACGAGCAAAAAAACAATTATTAGCTGTTGGACAGGGGTTGGAACGACAAGGCTACAGCGTTCTAGAGCTAAAGTCCCTCTTATCAACCAATCAACTTGCTTCATATTATGCGGGTGCCTGCCTAGGGTACGTGGTTTTAAGTACTCCGCAACTGCTCTGCCACCAGTAATACCGCTAGAGTGACCTGATTATATACGCCTTTAACAGCCCTAGAGCTCGCGATTCTCGCATTCTATAAGCGAATCTCGGATAGTCTCAGCCTCAATATTTTAATTTCCAACTGGCTTATATGTCTTATAGTATTTTTAACATTACCATCATCTGAATAACCTATTCCAATTAATGTCTCAAATTTGAATTGTTGTACAGTGTGTTAGAAAATACTTGAATACTTTGAGGTACTTTTCATGCGCGATGGGGTCATTGGAAATGAAGGTCCATTTAATAGGTCGATGACGACGGATTCGTGGCTGTGCCATAGTGCGAGTCAGCCTTATTGGAGAACGAGTCCGAGCTGAAAAATGCCTTATAACTCTCCACTATAATGCCCTGTACGAAATTTTCGTAAGTATATGTAGCCTAGAGCACGACACCGTATTAGATAATACGTATCTACAAAGACAATCACTTACCTAGCTTAGGCAGCATTATAGATTTCAAACCCGATGCTATAAAGTTGGCAAAGAATTGGATTTAGTGGACTGCAGGAATATTTACTATAAAAATCTTGTTGGTAGGACTGCAGGCAGCCGTTATAAATGTCTGTTCACTGGTTATGAGCGACCGCTACTTTAAATAAGTAGTTTTGAAGGAAGTAGAGCCAACGTTCCTCGGTAAGCGAGTCGCATATGCTGGGAGACTAACGTGTTGGGGGCCGGTTATAAACGTCGCCAAAAAGAGACGGAAACACATACATATGTACATATGTATGTATGGGCCGGCAGTAAATCCGGTGAGTGCGCCGTAAGTGACTCCGTATTACATAACGGGACGTACCGGAGACTAAACCGGATTAAGAATTTTGGCTTTGTAACCAACTCTTCGGATTCGCTTTCGCACCTTCAAATCACGAGTCGGTTTCTTTTATCGTCCGTCGGTAGCTATACAGTTATGCTGTTCGATTTAATATTCGGTTTAAGAGGTTAGTTATCTCCACGCCAGTTACGTGAATCGTAATGGCATCTTCAGAAATAGAGAAAAGCCTACAGATAGATAGACAGACGTTGCGGATGGTAACGGAAATGAGAGGCCACTGCATTCCATATAATGAACAAGAAGATGGCAAAGTATCGTCGTAAATGACTACGATACCTCTAATGCTTTAGAGAGGCTGGACCTTAATAGTGTGGATTGCTTTAGACTCTGGGAGTGTGCGTAGGTATGTTGTAAGATTAGTGAAAGATCGACTGGAGAGAATTCCGATTAACGTCATTAGATGGAGTGGATATGTGATAGTGAGTGAGATCGAATTGGGTGGTTTCGACTTTACCATGTACAGTTACAGGATATTATATCGGAGTGGTATATCATAGAATACTTCCTGTTCCTTAGTTGGATCTTAATATGTCGAGTATTTGCCCGGTACCGTGTCATCGCGACCCTGAGAATAGCGGGTTATCCGAGTTTATTTACCTCTTCTAGGTCATTGGATGTTCATATTCGTCCTCCTCACTGGTATAACGCGATCTTTGGAGAAAAAACTGTTGCAATTGCATATAACGCCCGATTTATGTCATCTCCATTGAGGCAAAGAAACTTTTTGCGCGAGTCCGCCAGGTTTTTGATATGGTACAAAGGCCGTTTGTTAGAATCCGAGTCATAGCTCTAGACTGGTACATCAAATTTGTCCAACATTTCTGCTGATGTCGAGACTCCTTCCCCTTGCCTTCATCAATCGATATCTTGCGTATCTAATCGAAAGTCGCAGTCGTATTACCGCGCCGCATCGGATAGCTACGTAATATCCTTATTAAATCGTCCCACCACCGGTAGTCGTTTAGCTCGAGAATCGTCGAGTGATCTTCGCAATAACTAAGAATTCATTAGTATTCATGCTACCCATCATCATTTGACCCGCATACCATGTAAAGCAACAACACTGAAGATGAAGACCAGAGAGAGAACCAAGACGACGACGGGATCAACCTTAAGACCAGGGGATTCATCGGTGTAGAGTCCTGGATAAAATTAGTGCCGGGTTTCGCATCTATTTTGTAAATCCTTCACGTACTCAGCATTGTGCTGCTGCTACCACCGGCACCGGCGGCGCGAGTGCTACTCGGTCGCACATTTGCGAGCTTTTCCTTTTGGTCGGCGGCAGCTCGTCGTCGGATGGCAGTTCGTGCGCCTCCGGGAGGAGCAGGGGAAGAGGGACGGCCGGTGCTCGCGCCAGTAGCGGCGGGCGAGTTAACGGGAGAAGCAGGTCGGGGAGAAGACTATAGATATCCAATGTCAGCGCAAACCCGTAGAGTACCAGACGATCTTCAATGCTAGTTCACACAATGTTGCGATGAGTCTTTAGAAGCCCAGCCCCTTATCACATGAATTGGATTCCTACTCCTTTTGGAATAAACATACCATTGCGAATATTAGAAGAGTAAAGTATGGATAAAATGACGAATTAACCACCCTCGACTTGATTGATTAAGCGTTAAAATGTGCGAGTAGATGAAAAGAAGGTAAAGTCGCGTGTGGATTATGTATGGTGTGGTATCTTTTTTAGGGAGCTATCTCCAAATAAAAATCCGGGGTTCAATTGAGGCCACGATTTTGGAAAGCTCAGACCCTGGCCTCCTTTCTTGATTACCTAAGTATACGGAAAAGGGCTTTATCCGTTATTCCGTTATACTGTATTACGTAATGAATGTCAGACAGTATAAAGTGGATCCTCTTTCAATCTGCAAAAGACCCCACTAGAAGCTTCAACCCATGTGATGATGATCGGACAGATCCGAAACCTAAGAATACCCCACCTCAATTTTTCTAGGTAAGGAATTCTTTGCTGCAGGCTCTCATCATAAAGCGTAAAAGCATCGTGATGTGGGGGTGACGCACCCTGCAACTTACGCGCGTCACATTTACAGAAGTTAAATCCACAAGGCTAACCAATGAATTGAGTTATTTTCCCTTGTCACCAGTTTCCATCACTTCCATGAATACTCCTAGTTGTGGATTTCAAAGAGAAGGCAGCAGTCAACAGTTGGGATAAGGAGTTTCGACCGTTGCGCTATTATTTAATAATCAACTAATTCCCCACTAGTCGTTTGCTGTTTTCTGAGGAATCCAACAATTACGATCAATCTAGTCTGACGGGATATTAATTGACCTGCTTATCTCTAAGAGGGGCATATCAATCTCATCGATATTACTAATTTCACGAAGCTCTCCAAAAGCAAAACTACTTCTATTTCTTCCTTAATAACCAAGATGGATTTTGATTGGTCTACACCTTTCCCGGAAGGGGTCATATCCTTCCTTGATACTGACTTGTATAAGCTAACTATGCAATGTGCCGTCTTCAAATATTACCCTGATGTACCTGTCACCTATGCCTTCACCAACCGCACTCCCGAGAAGAAACTCTCACGCAAGGCTTTCTCGTGGCTTTGCGAGCAGATTAGCAGTAAGTGTCTACCGCCATAGCTAATCACTCACTTTTATTCATATCTGGGTGCTTACGTTTCTTTTCCTTCATTATAGAGCTCGGTAACATATCACTGTCCGACGATGAACTCCGATACTTGCAAACGCATTGCAAATATCTCACCCCTCCTTACCTAGCCTTCTTGAAAGAATTCCGTCTGAAACCCCGTGAGCAACTCAATCCGACTTTCGTTCCCGTAGGAGCAGATACCGGAGCCGATGACGAACTAGGTGATGTTCACATCGAAATTCGCGGGAAATGGGTGGACACTATTCTCTATGAGATCCCTCTTCTAGCTCTGACGTCCGAGGCATACTTCAAGTTTATGGACAAGGACTGGAACTATGATGGACAAGAACAAAAAGCATATGAGAAAGGTATACGCCTTCTTGAGGCAGGTTGCATATTCTCCGAGTTCGGAACCCGGAGACGACGCGACTATCATACCCAAGCGTTGGTCTTCAGGGGTTTAGTGAAATCTAGTAAGGAGGGGGAGAAGCGCGGATTGCCGGGTACTCTTTCAGGCACTAGTAACGTCCACCTAGCCATGCGATTCAACCTACCGCCAATCGGAACCGTCGCGCACGAATGGTTTATGGGTATCGCAGCCATCACAAATGACTATACAGAGGCGACAGAGGAGGCTCTACGTCGATGGGTTGGCTGCTTCGGCGAGGGTGTATTAGGAATAGCATTGACCGATACGTTTGGAACTCCGGAGTTTTTGAAGGCGTTTAGCAAACCCATCAGATATCTCCCCGATACTCCGAACATACCACTCCTCGATGAGGGTACTCGCCCTACAACTTCGTCCAGGACATATGCCGACGTCTATGCCGGTGTACGTCAGGATTCAGGTGACCCTGCGAACTTTGTTAAATTGATGCGCGAGTTCTACGACAAGCAAGGCATCAAGGATAAAAGGAATATTGTATTCTCTGACTCGCTAGATATCGATAGATGTATCGAGTATAAGCGCGTATCTGAGGAGCAAGGTTTTCAACCAACCTTTGGTGTTGGCACATTCCTGACTAACGACTTCACTCAGCTGAGCACAGGCAAAAAGTCAGTACCACTCAATATTGTCATAAAGTTGAGTTCTGCTGCCGGAAATCCGGCCATTAAAATCAGTGATAATATTGGGAAGAATACAGGCGACTCAGCCAAGGTCGCAGAAGTCAAGAAGCTTTTGGGCTATGTAGAGAAAGAATGGGCGGGCGGAGACGAGACGTCGAGATGGGGCAAGGCCGATGACGTTACTAAACCTTGAAGGTATTGTCAATATGGATACGGAAAATGTGCCGGCGCGCTTCCAGCTGCGAGTCAGTTAGGAGACGGCTGGTAACTGGGCCATTTAGATGGGATACATCGCCACCACCGTAGTGGTTCCTGAATCGCGCTACGATACCCAACTGATCTCGATTTTTATTCTGGGCCCTCGAGATTTGCATCGGACCCTTATGGTATTGTTGATTCTCTACATCGCTGGTGGACCATTAATGATTCAATAGACAGGACATAGCTAGTCAATTCGGAAGAGTCTAGGCACGATGTAGACGACATGGAACTTTATCATGATTCCCCAGGTTTATAAAATAGACAAGATGAGCCCAGTTCTCTGGAGTAATGGCCTCGCATAATCAAGTTAACGAAGTCCAGAACGTTTGTAGATCCTTCTCCACGCTGGAGAAGCACTGCTCAATTATCCAGTTCTCTCCTCTCTTCGGGTTATACTAACTATTCAGATGGTTCGGTTTGCTCTTAGCCTTGCCTTGGCGTCTTTAACGTCAATCGCATATGGCGCATTCAGTATATCATCTAAGAACAATGTTGCCGTCTACTGGGTAGGAACCTGCCCCCTTCCCCGTCCTCCATTATTCCATGTGGCAGGTCTTGGCGGCGCTGACCCATGAAAATAGGGTCAAGGACCGAATCAAGCTGGCTTAGCTACATATTGTGCGGATCCGAATATCGACGTTATCGTTTTATCGTTCGTATACCTGTTCCCACAGCAAGGAAATGGCTTCCCCGGACTCAACTTCGGGAACCAGTGTGGCGGTACCGTGTACGCCGGCCCGGGGTATAACGGCGTGAACAACGCTAGTAATAACCATCTATATGTCTGCCCCAATATCCAGCATGATCTAAATACTTGCCGCGCAACTTCCAACAAGAAGTTCATCCTTTCCCTTGGTGGCGAGACTTCGCAATACCAACTCAACGGCGCCACTGATGGAACCAACTTCGCCAACACATTATGGGGCCTCTTCGGCCCGCGCACGACGGCATGGGTCAATGCCAACAAGCCGCGCCCCTTTGATTACAACGGCGTAGGTTTCACAGTCGACGGTTTCGACCTGGACGTCGAGCACCCACCCACCGATAACTGGGCCGGGTACAACGCACTCGTCTCCCAACTCCGCACGAACTTCGGCTCCGGCGCCGGATCGCAGTACTTCCTAACCGCGTCGCCGCAATGCGTAGTCCCGGACGCTAATCTCAACGGCGTGCTACAGCGCGGTACATTTGATATGTTATTTATCCAATACTATAACACACCCCAGTGCTCCGCCGCGACATGGGTTAACTCGAATACCGGCTATAAACCCGGTGCTACGTTTAATACCGCCGGGTTCACGTTTGATACTTGGACTACTTGGCTCGCGAGTACGCCGAGTAAGAATGCGAAACTATTTATTGGTCTGCCTGGGTCGAGTGGTGCGGCGGCGGCTTCTAGTGTGGTTACGCCTGCGCAGGCGCAGAATTTGATTGATGCGTATTATTGTAGGGGGAATTTTGGCGGGGTTAGTGTGTGGGAGGCTACGTATGCGGCGGCGAATGTGGTTAATGGGTTGAATTTTTATCAGAATTTGAAGAGGGATTTGAATACTTCGTCTTCGGATACTAGGTTGTCCTGTGTGGTGAGTTGAGCTTTTCCCTTTGATTCTTGTCTTACCCCTTTTTAGTGGCGTGTGGTTGTACCCCACCCCCTTTTTACCGAATGATTTCTTGCTATAAATTGTTAAAAGTAGTCAGACCGCTAACACGTTTCTCTTTACTTGAAGTAGGCTCCGGCTCCGTCTAGTACTAGTACTACTAGTACAACATCTACTAAGTCATCAACGACTACTGCTGCGGCTACGACATTTCCGGTTACGACGAACGGCCGTTGTGGTACGGGATTCAATTTGGCGTGCGCTGCAGGACAGTGTTGCAGCCAATACGGATACTGTGGTACCGGCAGCACTTACTGCGGCACGGGCTGTCAGAAGGGCTTTGGTACGTGTAGCTAAGAAGCGTATATATCAGATTGTATATACTATGGGATAAAAGTGTAATTGTAAGATAGATCAAGGTTGGGTGCTTGTATATATCATGTATGATGAATTGATAACACTGTTACGCTTATATGAATTTATGTATTGGGTTTGCGATCATGTGGGATCGTGGTAACAGTTCCCTTGCGCCTTCAAGTTTGTTAGGATTCACTGGAGCTTCTCTAGATGTCTAGAACCCACTATATTTATGTCTCGGTGAAAGTAGCGATTTTCTATTGAACACCCCACGTAAGCCCAAGGTTGCATGCATATTAGATGAACCTGTTTGAAACAAGGCCTATAAGTGTAGATCTTTCTATCAATAAATAGATGAAGCCTCAGTTGTTTGGAACCTCGCAGAGTCTAACCTAAAAGGGAAATACTTCGTGTAACCATTGGTAAGAAGCACGACGACGTCATGCGGGTAGTACGGATGCGACGTTTTATGAACTACGAATAGAAAACTTAGCCTAGCGAATACCTACCTAAAACCGTAATCCCTTCATTTCAAACTACATCAAGAGAGGTTTGTTGGATTTGTGTAGAGAATACTATTGAACGGAGTTGTTTTCTTCGTCTGGATGACTTCATCTTGTCCGTCTCCAAGCAAACACATAGCTTTGGAAGCTCGGACCTCAGAAGATATTTTCGGCTCTCCTCGGCTCTTCCCTGTCTTCAATTCCGTCACTCGGTATACTAAACTCTACATCTTTCCAAATGTCATCAAGAGTGGATTCAAGTTGAGAAGTGGCAAACAAAACGAGGATCAGGCCAAGTCCGGTTTCTCCTGGCGCCGATACGCCGACGTCGTCATTCGCCGTGCCGAACGCTTTCTCGGTCAAAGAGACGACTGTTACCTAGGCAGCGCGCTGGGTTTAGTCATGGCAACAGAGCATTCCCTGGTCATCCGAGCTGTGGTCTACAGAGAGCTGCTGAAGACATCCCCGTACCAAGGTAGGTAATGAGGTACCTACCCAAGCCGGAGTTTTAAGTAACTAACTCACTGTAACTATTAGACTATTAGTACGGTGCATAGAGTGGCGCAAATCATGAAGAAGAAGCCCCCACCATAAAAGAAAGATTAAGCCAAGCTTTACAAGGGCCTCATTTGGGACGGCCCGCACCGCCGGACTGGAGATATGACTAAGTACCAAGTACAAGCGTATGGAGATTTCCAACAATAACACAGGTGAGTTGATATGACATAGCTAGCTGATAGGAGTCTAGACAAATAGCTCTAGGGTTGGATCTACCTAGATACCGTCAACCGCGATAAGAATGCTAGCAGCGCCGCTTTTAGCGGCCAGACCAGGACGACCCGGCTTGAATATCTAACCAGTCGAATCTGAAGATGATGACTATCGACAGACTTAGTCGACAACGATTCTTCAACTCAAGGGTTGCTTTCCTATTTTGGCCTATATTTGAAGGTGCTCGGGAACAAGATACCCCGTTCGTCCCGTTTGCCACGGTCCCAACTGCATCAGGCGTTCCGACAGCCTATGATATTTGCATAGGTAGGCATTTCGCAATTCCATTATAGACAATCGCGTGCCGACTTAGGGAAACTGATACGACCGAGCCAGACTGAGTAACCGTCTGGTTAAAGTATTCAAATGCGGACCAGTTTAATCTCCGAGCTACTCTTGATACACTGCAATAGTAACGACAGTGTCCATCATGTTCCCCCATGGCCGACAATACCTGCCTAGCTTAGGTATGACAACCACGCGTCGAATAGCACCGGCTCAAAGGGACAAGCAGACTCCAACTCGCAAACACCCGATTGCTCGGAACACAGGTGCTAGTGACCACATGACAATGGCCAAAATACCTATTCGGGCACCTAATATTATCATTTAGACGATGTAAGCTTCAACTTCACCAACAACATACACTCATAAAGCAAAGGCGACCAACCAAATAATTTCAAGGGGATATTGATCAGCTATGGGTAATACGAATCCCACCCCTATGGCTTTGTGCTACCTCATCGGTAAGATAGATTACATATCCATGAGACGGTCTTCTAAAGCGGCCTTTTAGTGACATTCCCTCCGCAACGGGAATGGCGGTTGTTTGTGCCGCTTTTCTGTGCCTCCTCGGGTACCCAGGTAGATTTGTCACGCTCTAGATTTTTCTCTTATTAACCCAACGTAACACACTTCTAAGGCCATACCTAATGGCTATAACCACTCTTATAAACGACAATCTAATTAACCTCACCTAAACATCTTAAATGAGAGAAACCCATCTTTTCTACAATGGAGGAAATAGACTATGTGGTAGTGGGCGCTGGTAAGTAACTCAAGTATCACAACCACTAATTATACTGTCTCAGATTAATGAGAGCGTGTGGTTTCACAGAAAAAGCCACGAACACAGTACTAACTAAGTACTCTCTACATAGGATTCCACGGACTAGGTGCCGCAAAGCAGCTTCACTGCCTTCAACCCGATAGCTCCATCGCAATTTTCGATGGCGAGCCATCTTTGGGCGGCAAATGGGCCGAGAACCGCTTGTTTCAAGGCCTGAAAAGCAACAATCTCCTGGGGACATATGAGTTCCCTGATTTTCCTATGGACGGCGATAAGCTTGGTGTGAAAGCCGGAGAGCATATCCCCGGCAAAGCGGTCAACGGCTATCTAAAAGCGTATGCTAAGGAATTTGGACTCCTGGATTTTCTTTGTCTGCAGACGATTGTTCTTTCTGCGGAACATCATGATACGGAGACGGGCGGATGGACTCTAACCCTAAAGCATACCGGGATAGAACAGACCAGTAAAGCATTCGCCCGTCATCTTGTTATTGCTACGGGAATACTGTCACAAGCTTTTATCCCTCACTTTGAAGGAGAGGATCGATTTGGTGGGAAGATTTTCCATAGTGGGGAGTTCGGGAAAAATAGTGATACCCTGAAAGCGAAGACTGTTACTGTGTTTGGCGCGGGGAAATCTGGCTGGGATGCTGTTTATCAGTATGCAAAGGCCGGTGTTAAGGTACATTGGGTGATAAGATGTGAGTGTTCTCAAAGCCCCTGAAGTTTCATGACTGTTGGCTGACTCAGATAAACAGCGAGTGGCCATGGTCCGGTCTGGATGGCACCCGCATATGTAACCCCTTTCAAGCAATGGATCGAGAAGCTTGCTAGTAAGTTCAATCTAACTTCTACATATCCAATTTATTTTAATATCAACCCTTGAAGTGTTGTTTCTAACGATGATTCAGATATGCGCATGCTATCATGGTTTAGCCCCTGTATTTGGGGTGATGCCGACGGGTACTGGTTGATTCGACAACTCTACCATGGCACAGCCATCGGTCGATCCCTAGTTGACCGATTCTGGAATGTGATGGCCCAAGACGTAATCTCGATAAACAAATACGACTCGCATCCAAAAACAGCCCTGTTGAAGCCTTGGCTTGATGTTATGTTTACCGGATGCAGCTACAGTATTCTCAATTACGAGTCCGACTTTTTCGAGCTTGTGAAAAGCGACAGGGTTGAGATACACATCGGAGAAATCACTTCTCTAAGTCCGGGAAAAGTTCATCTCGCGGACGGCACGATATTTGAGTCCGAAGCTTTCTACTTGAATACCGGTTGGAAACATGCACCTCCTATGAAGTTCTTGCCTAAAGGTATCGAAAAGGAACTCGGAATACCTCACGAAATAGTAGACGATGCTCCCACCGAAGACTTAGCGAACCAAGTCTCCCTCATCAAGCGCGCCGACGAAGAAATCTTGAATCGCTTCCCAAGACTTCGACAACAGCCAGTGTTCAATAAGAAGTTCATCCCCATAACTGACCAGAAAGGCATTAGCTTCGACAAAGAAAGCCAAATGGCATCAACACCATACATGCTCCATCGCTTCCTAATCCCACCATCACCCCGATTTCTCCGTCCTCGCGATATCGCTTTCATCGGCCTACAAACCAATTTCAGCAATATCACGACCGCCCACATAAGCGCGCTATGGATAAGCGCCTATTTCACAGGCCAACTAACCATAGACCCCGCCAAAGCCATCGACGACGAGGAAGCCCTGGCAAAACTGCGTTACGAAACTATGTTACACAATCGCTTCGGAAAATGGCGGTATCCCACGGAATGGGGTAGTAAAGGACCGAATTTCGTCTTCGACGCTGTGCCATATTTCGATTTACTCCAGCGAGATCTTGGTCTAAATCCTTTTAGGAAGGGAGGTTTCTTGGCGGAGATTTATAGTTCGTATGGGCCTGAGGATTATCGGCATATCACTGAGGAATGGTTGAAGAAGCAGAAGGGAAGCCAGATGAACGGAAAGGCTCGGAGTGAATGATGTTGTGTGTATGATAGTTTCTTTGATTGTTGTTGGTTTGTGGTAGAGATATTACTCATTGCGCAAATAGCTTGTCTAAATGAACGGAGACGGTATGAGATATCTATGCCTTGAGAGTTCCCTTTCTCTCGCCTCCATGCTCACATTATATGTCTCTGTGCTAATATCGTGTCATAAGAACAGGCGTATAAGGGGAATAGTAACGACATTGTTGCGCGAAGAGCTCAAGGCTGACTATTACGAAGTTCTAGATACATTAACGGGAATTCCCCCTTTGTCCATTGGTAAGCTGCCTAATACCTCTCATGATGTAACCCTCTCCTAGAAGTTAGACCTCCAATCTGGCTGACTGCTTCCGCTCCTTAGTCTGTCCCTCTGCGGGTCACTCCAGTCCCCGCAGGCTCTTGGAAATCAAGTCATGTATTTCGTCTCCAGCACCTACATGAGTGGTGTAGGACCATCATAATTGGTGGAAGTTCGTCAGCGATACGAGACTACCTAGGTACCTAACCTAGGATGAATGGCGTCTGGCCCTGGTGGAGGAGTGTAACGTAGATCAAAGGCTTAGGGGCCCTCTGATCTGAAGCTTAGTAAGGGGATATTGGTAGGTAGGGGCGAATAGAGTCGGGGAGTTGGTTACTTACCTTGCGCTCAGTCTGCTGAGGGCGCATCTTTCCGGCCCTCCTGCAGATCGTCGATCTCCTCATTCATCAGGCTGTCGCTTTTCTGCAGTCCTTCTCTTAATTCTTCTCCCTGGTCGTCCGTCCACTTTGGATAATACAAGTTTCGAGTCTCCGAATGTTGGCCGTACGTCTTCTTCAGTGCCCCTGTGAATTTATCGATCGCGTCGTTGGCGGCATTGAAGAAACGCTTATCCGAGTGCTTTCCTACGTTGCCGCCGTCAATGACCCAATCTTTAAATGCGTGAAAGCGACGTCTTGCCGCAATGACCTTAATTGAAAATTCGTAGAGATCGACACCCTCAATATCTTTGGCCCACTTTGCTTTCTGACCAACCTCTCTCCAGAAAGCTTCGGGGCCCATTTCTTGACATTGATGAATGAGATCATGCGCCCGGTAGAAGAGGGTGGCCACCTGTTTCGTGGCGATTCCTCTATCGAGACGCTTTCCGGCTCTGCGCTTCATCTCTCTGCAGATGGTACGAGCAAGGGGTCCTTTCAAGGTCGGTATCCTGTCTTTGTTTTGCCATATGAATCCATCTCGGGGGATATAATCCATCAATAGCGTTGATGAAGGCATCTGGAAATAGCCATATTAGCTGGATTGTATATATCGAGACTGGTACCTTTGTTTGACAAAGCGGAGACTCAAGATGGGATTGGATTACCTTGGCTTTACCAGTGGTCGATGTTGCCGATTGAATCAGACTGCTGATTGTTTCATTTGGTAAGTAGATAGATTGAGCCTGAGTGTGGTTGATAGTTTAAAGGCTTGTGTGTATTGGCTAAAGGCGTTATGAATTATGTGAATGTTGGAGGTCGGAAACGGGAGGTGCGCCGGTGAGAGGGATCAATGTGCGCGAAAGAATTAGTGGATGAGAAGTCAAGATAACCTCTATAAGGACGCTTTCTCGCCTTTCCTTTGGAGGTAGTTCAAGTACAGTCGTTCTGTAGGTACCCAGGTAGGTATCGAGTTGAGGGCATGAGGAAATTTGTTGGTAGATTTAATGGATTGTAGGAATGTATGGAAGAGTTTGGAGGATTGCTAGGCGTGTTTGTATTTGGGTGGAATTTATAGCCATGAGGGCAAACTCAATCAATGAGGAAACCTGGAAGGTACACACATATGCGGTTGCCCATATTAATACAAGGAAGGAACGGAAAGCCAGTAGAGTCAACTTAAATAAACTCGCTCACGTTATCTACTGGCGATGGAAAAAATATCCGGAAGTAGCATTTGTAAGTTATGTGCTCAGTGTGATTAACTTCTCCTCTCCCATCATTGTGTTAGGGCCACAAGATTACGTGCCTTCCTGACGAGATTTATCAACAGTAGCCCCCAATTCAGTAGAGTTCTACTGTTGGTTTTCCAAATCATCCTACAATTCAACTTCCTGTATCAATTCAGCTCTAACTCTTTCCCCCTCCTCACTTCACCTCCCTTCCGCCTTCTGCTATCCTCCGACAGTCCCACGACGAAAACTTATTTCTTACCTCGGCTCTCAAGACCGACGTAGCTGCACAGTGAAAAGGATATTTAGGTATATTTTTTTTTTTTTGGCTGAATATATTCGATACTTGTTGACTTACTACACCTTCTTTATATTCCGCTGCTTCTGCTTCCCAATTCGTATCTGGACGGAGAGCGATGAACTGTGCCTTAAATAGCACGTAGATACACCGTAAACCCCATTAACCTGATTTATTGTAGTCACTTTTCGTTTTAGAAGTCTCTGTTCACTAGTTCAGGATGACCACCGACGTATGCAAACCTCGCAACGGGGGATCTGGAACGAAGCCCTGGAGCAATAAAGAGAATTCTAAACTCCTCTTGATAATTATGAAGGAGGTGAATCCGGACCTTGAAATTAGAGGTTGGAAGAGTATTGGTGAGAAGGTTATAAAAGCGTTTGGTGGGAGGTACACCCCATCGGCGGCGAAGTAAGTCGTCGCTCCTCCTTTAACAATCCCCTAAATTCCATTATAGTATGCGCAGAACAGTGAGCATCCAGGTGCTTTTCCTTGCCTCTGTATTCGTCACTGTGGAATATTAAGCATCTAACTTCAATTTATAGGCAACAGTTTCACAGACTTCGCAGAATGTATATGGAGGAGCCCCGGGTGCCCAAACATGGCGATGTGTCACAACCCAACAACTTACGGTTGCATCCTTCTAATCGGGTGGGGCATCAGGCACCCAATCGCGGAGAAATTATGGCAAGCCAGTCTACTCTGTTAGCTAACAGAGCACAGTGCTCTATCCTACTCCAGAGCAGAACAGAGTAAAGGAAGTGCTGCTCTGCCTTACTCCAGAGCAGAACAGAGTAAAGGAGGTATTATTCTGCCTTACTCTAGAATAGAACAGAGCAAAACAGGATGAAAAGAAGGATATTAAATTATATAACTATAAATATTTCTTTTATATCTAGTTATTTTTTTTATAATTCTTTAATTATTAATCTAAGATTATTCTTTTAAGTATAGTAAAAGGATTTTAAGCCTCTCTGACAAACAGAATATACTTAATTATTTAATTTATTATTAATATTGTTACCTTTAAATCAAGAAAACCCTGGATTAATTAATCCAGCAATGACTATACCTCTCTGAGGTATAAGTTTATCACATTTTGATAATTTTTTAATCAATATTAGTACTAGGTTAAGAAATGGTATAAGCCATCTATAGGATATTCCTTTATCATTATTAATCAAACCTTCTTTTATTTCACTAATTTTCAAAGATAAAACAGAAAATTTCTATACCTTTTAAAAATTATCTTTTAAGGGGTACCATAATTAAATATGGGATAAACTAGTAGATCCTAACCTAGAAAATAAAAAAGAATCAGATAAAAAAGAATTTTAGAATAAAGATTTAAGTGATTTATAATAATCTAATCCATTATTGCCTAGAATATCTATATTTGTTTATATTATTTAAGACCTGTTATTAATAGGGGAAATATTCCAATTTATTAATAAAATAATGCCTCCTAAGATATACTTGTAAGCCCCGGAATCGGAAATGCAGGAGGAAATCAATGTCAGAACAGGAGGGGATGACCAGGAGGAGGAAGAGGCCCTTGATTGGTAAGTTAAAGCAATGGCTATCCTTAAAGAGATTAAAAGGCTTGAAAAAGAATTGACTTTAAAAGAAACTAGATTAGGAAAGGCCTCTGAAGGATCTCCATTGGGAATCTCTTAATAACTGGCATCCCCTGGACTTCCAGACGATAACAACAATGATAATGGAAAGGATAGGAAGGAAAAGGGAGGCAGAAATCTTTAACCAAGAAGGGAAAGAATAATGATCTCTTTTCCATTTATTAAGGGATATAAACCAACAGATCTACTAATTTATAATAGAATTTTGGATGTTAAGGATTGGCTTACATGTATAAGATTTTATCTATCTTTTTATAGGGAAAACCTATTATAGGAGGAATAATAGATGTGTGACAAACCTATGCCTCAGAGAGGTATAATCGTTGCTGGATTGGCTAATCCGGGATTTTCTTAATTTAAAGGTAACAATATTAATAGTAGGTTAAATGGTTAAATATATTCTGTTTATTAGAGAGACTTAGAATCCTTTCATTATATTTGAAAAAATAATCTTAAATTAATAATTAAAGAACTATGGAAAAAATGATTAGATATATAGGAAATATCCATGATTATATAGTTGTTCCTTCCTTCCTTCCTATCCTGAGATTTGTTATGATGTGTTGCAATGTATTGCGATGTGTTGCAATGTGTTGCGATGTGTTGCGATGTGTTGCAATATGCTGCGATATATTGCGATGTGTTATATCTTAGCATATCAATCCAGAATTTAACCATGATAGGTTGCCTATACTCCATCCCTCATGATCCGACAAAGGTCTCTTATAGATGGTTTATAACATTATACCCCTCCCTTCTGAATCTTTACCCTTAAAGATAAAAAAAAGGTATGTATCTTTTTCCTCCTTCATTTCTATGCTCATTGTATAGAAACCATGTCTGGGAAAGTGCAAAAGTCAAATATTCATTCTAATCAATGGTAGGAATGCCATACTTGCGCTGATTACATTAAAACTCATGGTCAACCCATCCTTCCTTGTTCCAACTATGATGTTTCCGAAGAAGATTGCTTTTTATCCATTGGTTTTGGAATCTATAACCACTGTACTCATTAGAATCGAAAACACTGCGACATCCTGGAGATAAATACTCTTAACCATGTTTCCCAGGCCCGTACTCATCTAGAACAAGAACGCAAAGATACAGAAGACAAACTAATCCATCTACAAGAAAAGATGGCAGAGAAGATCAGCAAGTTGCAACAACTTTGTTGCCAGGAGGATTTGTTAAAAAGGTGTGGTCTAGAATTGTTAAAACTTGGTAAGGAGCAGGATATCGAAGAAGAATAGGCCCGCCTGGCAGAGGAACGGGCTTGCATTATCGAAGAACAGATCCAAATCGAACGGGGATACGGCGTTCCTATCTCTGAGGCTTCTTCCTTGGCCTTCCCCTCCTCCTTGTCTGGGGTAAATTTTGATCTTGGCTTGATGTCATTGTCGACTGCGGCTGCATGGGCCTTGGTTGGTTAGGGTTCTGGTGGTGAAAACCTTTAATCAACCTTTGGACCCTATTATTTATAAGATGTTTCTGTGGTTCCCAGGTATTATTTTCTTTCGAATAGTCAAGTTATTTAATAAAGTATTCGATCTGATCATTAATAATCCTAGAATCACAAATGGCTTCGATGTTATATTCTTCTGGATCTTCTTCCAGTTCGACATTTCCTTTAAGTTTGGTGTCTCTAGGTGCTGGTTTAAGCATAGCGATATGAAATATATTGGTTCTTAATTTCATACTTGTTGGTAATTGTAATTAATAATTTGTTCTTGAAAGGGCTTCCTTAATTAAGAAGGGTCCTAGTTTCTTAAAATCCAATTTTTCGCTTGGTCTCTTGGTTTGAATTTGAGGTGTTTTTAATGTAGAGTGTTGTTTGTCTTGTAAGAGATAGACCTTATCTTCTTTATGTAGAATTGATCCTTTAATTTTCTTTTTGTTATAGTATGTTGTCATTTTGTGTTGTAGAAATTCGAGGTGTTGCTTGAGCTTAGCTTGTAGTGTCAGGGTTCTGATAGCAAATGTTTCTGTTCTAGGTGGTACTATTTCTAATTTTGGGGTAGCTTTGTTTATTAATGGTTCCTATTCTACATTTGCTTATCGTCCATATAGTACTTCCTATAGTGATATCCTGGTGGTATTGCTAACCGAAGTATTGTATGAGGATATAGCGAGTGGTAAGAGTTCCACCCAGTTATCCTGTTTATAGTTAACGTAGTTCTGTAGGTATTGTTTTAGTGTCTGATTTAGTCACTTTGTTTGGCCATTAATCTAAGAGTGAGCTGTCGTAGAAAGCTTCTGTTTAACCCCTAGTCTCTTTATTAGGCTAATCCAAAATTTTGAGGTAAAGAACTTGTCTCTATCTGAAATAATCCTCTTTGGTAGCCCATATCTGCTAAAGACCTTTTCGATAAATTTGAAAGCCAAATCTTCGGTTGTATAAGTTTCCTTAAATGGC